TAAAAAAATATTTTATTGATTTTTTGCAGAGAGGAAGGGAGAGGGATAGAGTTAGAAACATGGATGAGTAAGAAACATCCATCAACTGCCTCCTGCACAGCCCCCCCACCGGGGATGTGCCCACCACCAAGGTACATGCCCTAGATCGGAATCCAACCCGGGACCCTTTAGTCTGCGGGCTGACGCTCTATCCACTGAGCCACACTGGGTTTTAAACAGCTGCCCCGCGCCCACGCGGCAGCCTCCCTGGGCCTCGCTGCGCCCCCTGCTGGACGTGGGCTGTCCGGCGTCGCCCTGGTTTTGCTGTGATGACCTTGGCGTGGTCGGCCTCCCTGCTCTGGTGCTGAATCATCGCCTGAGAGCCCGTTCTGGAAGCCGAAGGGCTGCCCGTGTCAAAGGCGACGAGGTTACGGCCCGGCGTCTGCCGCCAGGACTCGGGGACGAGGCTGTTCTGAAGCAGCGAGGCTGGGCCGGCCTGGTCAGCAGCGGCCTCCACAGCTGCCGCCGTCCTCGCCCTCGGTGGACATCAGAGATAGCTGATAGTCTGCACTCCCCTTTTCGCACTGAGGTCAAGGTCAGTCCTCGGGCTCTGTGTGCAGGACGGCGGCGAGGCCCGGCCGGGGAGCCGGGGGTCCCAGCCCGGGGAGCCGGGCGCTCTGACCGGGTGGTGCCGCGGACGAGTTCTTCCCAGGCTCAGGAGGCCTCGCCGTTTTGGTAATTCTGTGCATTTTGTTGATGGTTTTGCTGTGTTTTTTGTTTGTTTGTTTGTTTTTCTAATATTTTTTATTGATGTCAGAGAGGAACGGAGAGAGAGAGAGAGCGAGCATCAGCCTCTCGGGGCCTCTCCCCCTCCTAAGATTTCCAGTGAGGATCGGTAATAGGGGATCAGTAATGGGGAGGCAGCGGCCATGGATGATGAAAGAGAATCATGGACCAGCTGCTTCCTGCACGCCCCCGCCTGGGGATCAAGTCCCCATCCCCGGCCTGTGCCCTGACTGGGAATTGAACCCGCAGGTGGCGCTCTATCCACTGAGCCACCCTGGCCAGGGCGGTGCTGGGCGCTGGCGAGGGCTTCTGGGTGTGGCTGGGACAGCCGGCCGAGGGCAGCGTTCTGTCGGTCGAGCTTGCCGGTGTGAGTGGCTCAGGACGTTGGCCGTGAACCTGACGCTAACGAGAGGACAGCCAGGCCGCAGCCCTCCCCGTCCTGGGTTTCGCTTCCCACGGGCCCTGTTGCCGCCGTCAATGGGGGCCTGGAAACAGCAAATGGAAAATTCCAGAAATAGCCCATTCAGACTCTGAACCCGCCCCGGAGGACGGTCCTCCCTCAGTCCGGGACTCCACGCTGCTGCACTTCCTGCCGCCCGCTGGCCCCTCAGTAGCCACCGCCGGCGACCAGTGATGCTGCCGGCCGCGTGGCTCAGTGCTGAGCGCCGGCCTAGGAACCAGGAGGTCAGGGTTCGATTCCCGTCAGGGCACATCCGGGCTCGATCCCCCGGTCGCGGGTGGGGGGGCGTACAGGAGGCAGCCGATCCGTGATTCTCTCTCTCGTCACCGATGTTTCTCTCTCTCCCTCTCCCTTCCTCTCCGAAACCAATAAAGACGTACAGTAATTTAAAAAAATTATTTGCAAAAGAATCACTGGGCTCAGGACGTGTGCGCCCTCGGTTCGCAGGCGGCTGCCAGGTTTTGTGCCGTAAACTGTACGTGTCCCCTCAGGACAGTCCGGGCGCCTGAGGGACGTTTCCTTCCTGCAGAGCTGAGCCTGCTCCGCCCTCGTTCCAAACGAGTGAGCCCTGGGAGGGGCGGGAACGGAGGTACCAGCCGTGGCAGGTGCACGCGTGGTGGGGGGCACCGAGGGTGCAGTCCTGCCGCCTGAGCCGTGTCCCGGCTCCGTCTCCGCCGTGGCGTCCGGTGCTGGCGGTCCCGTCCTCCCTGGGCTCAGTGCCGGTGGGGCCATAGGTGACGGGAACGGCTCCCAGCCCCTCGGCCTCCCAGCGGGCGGGTGCGGCCTCTGTGGGCTCAGTGCTGGGGTCACGGGAACGGCTCCCAGCCCCTCGGCCTCCCAGCGGGCGGGTGCGGCCTCTGTGGGCTCAGTGCTGGGGTGGTCATGGGTCACGGGAACGGCTCCCAGCCCCTCGGCCTCCCAGCGGGCGGGTGCGGCCTCTGTGGGCTCAGTGCTGGGGTGGTCATGGGTGACGGGAACGGCTCCCAGCCCCTCGGCCTCCGTGGCTCCTCTGGTTCGGCCGCGGCGGCTCCGGGGTGCGCGCTGTGTCCGCCGTCGCTGGACTCGCCGGCGAACCCCGGGCCGCTGTGGGGGGGACTGTCCAGGCTCCGACCCCCACACTTGGCTCTGCCAGCACCTCACGCCCTCTCCCCCCGCCTCACCTCCCTCCTCCGAGCTGCCTCTGGCCACTGCCTCCCCATTACTGATCCCCCATTGCTGATCCCCCATTGCTGATCCCCTATTACCGATCCTATTACCGATCCTCGCTGGAAATCCTAGAAGGAGGAGGAGAGGCCCCGGGAGGCTGATGCCGGCCAGATGGTGGGGGAGGTGGGCGATAAGGCCGCCGCCATCTGCCGACCGGACGCCATCTGCTCGGCTCCTCGGCGCCGGCACTGCTCCCGGGGGCTCGTCTTGGGGCAGGGGCTTCCTCTGGTCTAGGGGTGTCGAACTCAATCAGAGAAGGGGCCAAAATCTAAAATCCAGCCTAAATCGCGGGCCGAATGGTTTACTGAACAGTCATAAACTGTCATTGTGATGGAAACGCAGCGGAGTGCAGTGATGACAGCGCGGTGCGGGCCACATTGCAAGGCCTGGCGGGACGGATTTGGCCAGCGGGCCTCGTGTTTGACACGTGTGCTCTGGTCGCTCTGGCCCGTCTGGGGGGACTGCGCCGTCATCTGGGGGAACTGCCAGGAAGGGCTCAGAGGGGCCCCTGCCTCTCCCACCTCCACCTGCTTCTCCGGAAGCCGGCCAGGCCTGGCTGGGGCCGGCGGCTCCGACGCTCACTGGTGCTGACACCTGGCTTTTCCTCTGCAGCTGCGCCTTCCCCTCCCCGGAGCCTGGGTGTCAGCTCCGGGGGAGCCGGGGACACACACACACACGCACACACACACACACACATGCGCACACACACACGCACGCACCCCGATACGTAAACCGAACACAGCGCTTAGCGCTTCGCAGGGCGGGGGCGCCCAGGGGCCTCCGGAACTCTCTGTCCTCGGAAATTCCTCCCGAGAAGGCGGAGGGGGACAGGGTTCCGCCCCGGAGCCCGCACGGGAGGGGGACCGGGCCCAGCGGGTCCGGCCGGCCGTCCGCCCCGCCCGTCCGGAACGAGCCGTGCCTTCCTCCCTCGTGCGGCCAGAGCGAGACTCCGGGGCGGGAGGTGTGTCCGAGCAGGTCCCGGGCCCGGCAGCTCCTCCTGCGGGACCCGTGTGGGGGCCATTTTCACACGAATCCGGGAGCCGGCCTCGGGGATCTGGAGCTGCCACGGCGCCGGGTCCCGGAACGTCCCTTCTGGTGGTGACGACCTTGAACAGGGCCGGGGCCAGGCGGCCACCGGAAGCTCTGCACCCTCAGGAGCCGCCACCTCGGGGCGGTCCACGCAGCATCGCGCATCGCGCATCGCGCATCGCGGCCGCGGGTTCAAACGCTTGGAGCGCTTTTGTTTCCGTTTCCTTCCTCTGGCCACAGCGAGGGCGTCGGGCTGTGGGGGAAGGAACGCTGGGACAGCGGAGGGTCCCACCCGAGGGTCCAGGCAGCTTGGGCGGGAGGCGGGGTGTGGGCTCCGAGGGGAGCTGCCTGGACGGGGGCAGGAGGGGCCGTGGTCCCCAGGCGGGCGCCCGGCACCTGAGGCCGGACGGAGGAAGTGCCTCCAGCCTCTGCGGCCGGAGCCCAGCGAGGGCTCAGAGCGGGGACCGGGACGTGGGCGGCGGGAGCAGGGGGTGGGTGCTGGGTGGGTGTCATGTTCGCCCCTGCAGGCTCCACCTGGATTTAGAATCAGAAATGGGCTCTTTGTCTTTATATATTTTTATTGATTTCAGAGCAGAAGGGAGAGGGAGAGAAAGATAGAAACATAATCATGAGAGAATCATTGATTGGCTGCCTCTTGCATGTCCCGGGCTGAGGATGGAGCCCACCACCCAGGCCTGTGCCCTGATGGGGATTGAACCCTGACCTCCTGGTCCATAGGTGGGCGCTCAGCCCCTGAGCCAGGCCAGCCGGGGGGGAGGGGGGGGGGCAGAGCCAGGCCTCTGTGGCAGGTCTGTCTCCACCAGCTCCTCCCGCTCTCCTCCTCCTCCTCCTCCTTCTCCTCCTCCTCCCCCCCTCCTCCTCCTCCTTCTCTCTCCTCCTCCCCCTCCTCCTCCTCCTTCTCCTCCTCCTCCTCCCTCCTCCTCCTCCTCCTCCTTCTCCTCCTCCTCTTCTCCTCCTCCTCTTCTCCTCCTCCCCCTCCTCCCCCTCCTCCTCCTCCTCCTCCTCCTTCAGCGGCCTCCCTGTCCCCGTGGGGAGCTCACCTGGTGCCCCCCACGGGTGCAGACCCTGAACTGGCTCCTGCGTCTCCTTCTCCCTGCCCAGCCGCGCCCACCTCCCCGGCTGTGAGAGCCTCCGCTCTGGTCCCCGCCCGGCCTGGCCTCCCCTGACGAGCCTGCAAACCGCTCCCTTCCCAGCCGTTCACCTGCGGCCGCACTCCGGGCGGAGAGTCCATTCGCTCCGGAGGGACGGCGGCCGGGAGCCCCAGCCCGGGGCCAGCCGGCCCCCGCCCGCCTCTGCTCTCAGAGCCCGCGCTGGGCGGCCGGTGGGTGCGGAGGGAGGGTCTCCCCGCCCCCGCCCCTCCCCCGCCCTCCTCATTTCCGGGGGAGGCTGCGCTTTGTGGGTGCGGAGCCGGCTGCCCGGGGCCGATGACATCACCGCGTCGCTCGCCGGGCCCGGCCCGGGCGTGAGGAGCCCAGCGCCCGCCGCCCGGATGCCCGCGGCCGCCCCGCTCTGCCCCGCCGCCGCCCCGGCCCCCGCCCGCCCGCCGCGGGCTCCCGGCCAGCGCGGGGCGCAGCGAGGATGGGAGGGGCGCAGTCCCTGCAGCCAGCCGCCGCCTGCGAGCCGAGCCCGGAGGCCCCCGAGGCCATGTGAGTGCCCCCGGCCCGGCCCCCTCTCCCCGGCTCTCCCCCGGCCGCCCCGGCCCTGGCTTTGTTCCCGGCTCCCCGCCCGGCGGGCGGCCTGCGTCCTCAGAGCAGATCCCGGCCGCCGGCCGCCCGCCCACATCGGGGTTCCTGTGTGTGTGCGCGGGGGCAGGGGGAGATGGGGGCAGCCAGGCCCGGGCTGCGGGGAGAACACGTGTGGGCCGGTGCCCCGTGTGCAGCCGGCGGAGGGGCATCCGTCCGGGGCTGGCGGGCTGGCCGGGCCGGGGGACCTGGCCGGAGCCCCTCCTGGCTCTGGGTGCACAGGGCGAGGCCAGGGCCGGCTCTGGGCCTCGGGTCCGGGATCCCGTCTTCTCTCCAAACCGCAGGGCGAATGTGCCCCGGGCGGGCTGTGCCCCGGGCGGGCTGTGCCCAGGGTCGGCTGTGCCCAGGGTCGGCTGTGTCCTGGGCTGGCTGCCCTGGGCACTGTTGGTGGGAATTGCCATTTCTACACCATCGTTGCCCAAACCTCCCCGCCCGATCCAGACGAGGGGAGGAGGGGCTCCCTGAATCCATCCATGGGGCTGCGGGGCTGCTGGGGGGCCAGGCTGGTGCCCCCCGAGCCTCCAGGTCCCCCCTCCCCCACCTACCCTCCCTCCCCCTAAAGGAGAGATGGTCCTGGGGCCTCGGGGCGCGGTGGGGGTGTGGTGCTGAAGCAGTGGTTCCTGGGAGCCGGGCTGCGGTGAGAGCTTGGCTGGGGTGAGAGCCGGACCGGGGTGAGAGCCGGGCCGGGGTGAGAGCCGGGCTGGGGTCGGGCTGCCCCGTGGGGCCGCCTCGCTGGTCGCTGGTCCTTGGGCTGCAGAGGGGAGTGGGTGGTGATGTCATGCTGGCTGAGCCGAGTGGGCTCCGGGACCTCCCTCAGGAGCAGGTGTGCCCGGTCATCTGTCTTCGACCCGCACTGAGAGCATCGTCTTCCCGGGAGCACTGCCTCGCCGTGTGCATGCGCTGAGGGCTCTCGCTCGCTCTCCCTCCCTCTCTCTCTCTTCCCCTTTCTCTCCACCTGCGCCGTGAGCCTACGCATGCCCTGGATTCCCTCCACATGTAGTGTATTGTGTGATGCATGGAACACGGACAGCCCTGGAGCCTCGGGCCTCGGAGAAAAGGGCCATTTCCACCCATTTCTCTAAAAGCCTCTGACCTGGAACCCGCTCACCGGGCCTGGCTGGTCCTCAGGGCTCAGGCCTGTCCGAGGGTCAGAGATTGGGACGGCGATGTGGTGTAGGCGTGAGGACACAGGCTGCTCAGCCCCCACCCCTGGTCTCTGGCCCCTGTCCCTGGTGAGGGACTGAGGGACAGGGTGGGAGGTCTGAGCGGGGGCTTCTGCGGGGTCCAGGTCTTTGGGGAGACGGTCCAGGCTCTGCCCCGGGGTGAGGCTGGCTGGCTGCGTTGCAGCGGGAGCTGCTGAGCGGAGGCTGGGAAGCTGAGGGCTGTGCCCAGGGTCGGCTGTGCCCAGGGTCGGCTGTGTCCTGTGCACTGTTGGTGGGAATTGCCATTTGGTGGGAATTGACACCAGCCGGGCCCTCTCCCCGGGGCGATCTGCCGCGTGGACGCTGAGCACGGGCCTCTGCATGGGCAGGAGGCTCCGTGAGGCCGAGGGGCCCGGCCGGTCACTGGCCTAAATGGCGTTTCCTCTTGTGGGGGCGACGGTTCCTCCGAGTCTGGACGCAGTGTTCACTCTGGGTGCTCTTGTCGGACGGATTCGCCGTTTTTCCTTCCCGAAAACGGAACGAGGGAAGGGCGATCTGGGCCGTGGAGGTGCCCGAGTCCCAGAGGAACCTCCGGGCGGCTGTGGTCCGGGTTCGAGAGCGGAGACCAGGGCTCTCGTGGGCTTACACCGCGGACATCCGTGTCTCGTCGGCCTGGAGGCCGGAGACCTGCAGGAGCCGACCGGAGGGTTGGAATGGCTGAGGGTACGGCGTGTCCTCGGTTCTGGGCCGGGAGAGGCCGGTTTAGGGATGAATCTCTTATGTCCTCGCAGGTCAGAGGGGGAGGGGAGAAAAGCTCAGTTCTCGGGGCTCCTCCCTTAAGGACACTAATCCCACGATGAGGGCCCCACCCTCATGACCTAATGACCTAATTCTGTTGGGGGTTAGAGTTTCAACAGACACATCTTTGGGGGAGACAAGCATCGAGGTCTTAGCAGGCGATTTTTCTTGGTCTCTCATTCCGAGATGTGTCGGCCCCGCCCCTGGGCCAGGTGCCGGTGGGCTGGGGTTCCCGGCCCTGCACTGCCTTCTCCGTGGGCCTCGCCTGCAGGTTCTCTGTAAGGTCTGAAGGCGAGACCATCCAGGCCCTCAGGCGACTACCACTGGGCAAGGGGTCACGCCATCCCTTTCGGTGGGGGCGCTGAGATGGGGCGCCGGCCGATTGTGGGGCAGTCGGCGAGGACGGAGTGCTGACTGAGTGACTGGACAGGGTGACATCCAGGTCCTTGGATTCTGGGCTGGTCTCTCCCCATTGACCCTGCTGCCTCCGTCCCCATGTTTCCGTCTGTCTGGGCCTGTTTCTGCGGCAGTAGTTTTGGTTGCCTAGGAACCACGTTAGCCTGAAATGTGATTGGCTGTCCGTGGCAGATGGATTGGCTGGACGGGGGCAGGGTCCCGGGTGGGCAAGCAGAAGCTGCGGGACACCCCACCCTCTCCCCTAAGATGAGTGGTGGAGACGCGGCCTGGTGAACAGCTGTGCTGTGAAAACTGGTTGCTCGTGGGCTGGTGTCTCCGTGTCGGGCCCGCCGGGGGCCTAGGATCTGCTTTCACACGTCCGTCCGCACGGAAAGCAGCAGCTCTGCTTCTGTTTACAAGTTCGCGTCAGCAGCTGATTCTGGAGAGCAGCATGGTGTTTGCATCAGAAGAAGTGGAAATCGATCGAGCACTGCAGGGTCAGCCTGAGAGTGAAGTTCTGCCTCTGACCCTACCGAGCAGACTCAGGTTTTCCCATTAGAGAAACATCGTACCCACCAATCCCGTGTCATACGAACATCGTATCTGCCGGTCCCACAGCACAGAAACATCGTATCCATCAAGCCTACGTTATAGAAAACTGTAGCCACCACTTCTACATTACAGGGGCATTGTGTTCACCAATGTTATCAAACATTGTATCCGCCAATCCCATCTGTATAGATAAAAGGCTAATGTGCAAATTGTCCCCACGGGAGTTCGACCAGGAGACCGGGAGTTTGATCGCTTGCTATGATGTGCGCTGACCATGGCGTGGAATGAAGGAAGGCCCCAGCTGGCAGCCGGAGGCCCTGATCGGCCCTGATGGCTGGCCAGGCCTAGAGACCCTCCCCATGCATGAATTTCGTGCACTGGGCCTCTAGTGTTACATAAATACTGTAGGCCCGATGCATGACATTCCTGCAAGAGCAGGCATTCCTTCCCCCGCTGCTGGCACCGGCTTCCCTCTTACACCTGGGACTCGGGCTTCCCTCGTAGTCCTGGCTTCGTCTGGACAGTCCAGAAGGACGCCGGTCTGACGTGCGGCCTAATGAGCATATTACACTTTTATTATTATAGATCGTACCCACCGATCCTACAAAGCTGGCATTCCCTAGGTGGACACGGTGCCTCAAACTGAGGGGTCCGTGAGCTTCGAAAAGGGCCAGCTCCCAAGCATTTCAGACTTCGGAGGCTGTGGGTTTGGTTGCAGCAATTCTTTCCGCTGTCGAAGCAGAAGCAGCCACGGACGGTCAGTAACCGACGACCCGCTGAGGCGTGGTCTGCAGGAGCAGGAGGTGGGCTGTGGTTTGCCGGGCCCAGTCACTGCTGGTGGGTGTGACCATGTCCCCTTCCGTCCGGACCAGGGCTGTCTCCAGACAGCAGCTCCGTCGGTGGCCTGGGCCGCCTCGGTGTTCCTCTGCTCTTTGTGTGAGGCGGCATCGCTCATGGGTGAAGGCGATGGGTGTCGGGTTTCACGTCCCCCTGCGTCCGTCCGTCCGTCCGTCCGAGCGCCTCCTCCGCTGTCCCCCGTCTGCGCTCGGGTTTCCGATGGAGCTCGCACCAGCCGGCTGCTCCGCTCTCTTCAGACGCACAAACCTCTGCTCTCGGCTCCCGCTCCTCCCTCCGGAAGCTGCTCCTCGCGGGTAGATAGGCCCCTGCGGGCACATGCCCTTTGTTCCTGCGATCTCAGCTCTTCCAGGAGAGCGGCTCCGGCACCTGCGGGCGGCACCGGGCGGCTGTGCGTCCTCTGCACACACGGGGGGCCGTGCGCGCACACGGGGGGCCGTGCGCACACACACAGGGCCGTGCGCACACACGGGGCCGTGCACACACGGGGGGCCGTGCGCACACACACACGGGGAGCCGTGCTCACACACGGGGGGCCGTGCACACACACGGGGCCGTGCGCACACACACGGGGGGCCGTGCGCACACACGGGGCCATGCACACACACACGGGGCCATGCACACACACACGGGGCCGTGCCCACACACACGGGGGGCCGTGCGCACACACGGGGCCATGCACACACACACGGGGCCATGCACACACACACGGGGCCGTGCCCACACACACGGGGGGCCGTGCGCACACACACACGGGGGGCCGTGTGCACACACGGGGCCGTGCACACACGGGGGGCCGTGCGCACACACGGGGCCATGCACACACACACGGGGCCATGCACACACACACGGGGCCGTGCCCACACACACGGGGGGCCGTGCGCACACACACACGGGGGGCCGTGTGCACACACCGGGCCGTGCACACACACGGGGCCGTGCACACACGGGGGGCCGTGCGCACACACGGGGCCGTGCACACACACGGGGTCGTGCACACACGGGGGGCCGTGCTCACACACGGGGGGCCCTGCTCACACACGGGGCCGTGCGCACACATACGGGGCCGTGTGCACACATGGGGCCATGCGCACACACAGGGGGGCCGTGTGCATACACGGGGGGCCGTGCGCACACACACACGGGGGGCCGTGCGCACACACACACGGGGGGCCGTGCGCACACACACACGGGGGGCCGTGCGCACACACACACGGGGGGCCGTGCGCACACACCGGGCTGTGCACACACACGGGGCCGCGCACACACGGGGCCGTGCACACACGGGGGGCCGTGCGCACACACACGGGGCCGTGCGCACACACAGGGGGGCCGTGCGCACACACAGGGCTGTGACGGGGGAGTGGGGGGAGCTGGGGGTGCTGGCTTCCCCCGGCTTGTCCCTGCGACTGGCCTCTGAGCAGAGTGTGACCCTGGGTCTGCCGTCTCCTTAAATGGAAGCGGCAGCAGCTCCAGGGCCGGGCTGGGCCGCCGCCCACACAGGCAGGCCCAGGGGCCCTGGAAGCTCAGGGTGACCGTTCAGGGCCGGCCCCGTGGCCACCGCGGCCCCGCGGCCCCCCGGGACCCGGGACCTCGCAGGGGGCTCTGTCTTAGCACAAAGACATCCTACCGCCCCCCACACGCTCTGTCAGCTCTCACTCAGGCCCTCCCTGCGGCAGCATCACTCCGTGTGTGTGAGTTGGCGTCCCAGCATCTTCACGATTTAATTTTCAATTAGCTGAGAAGTGTCTTCTTCGCTGGCCCAGGGCATTAGGCTTCCTCCCAGGCCTGGGGCACACTCAGGCTGGCATCCCCTCCCCAGGAGGGTCCCCGCCAAGCCCGCCCTGGAGTGGGTTAGGGGCGCTCACAGCGAGGCCGCCGGCCTGGTGCAGCCCCCAGGGTGAGCTCTGCCCTCCCACAGGCACAGGGTCAGGGGACCATCTGGTCTCCGCAGCTCCGAGCAGCCCGGCCCCAGGCCCAGCCTCCTCGCAAAGAGGTTCTGGCCGGAGAGCAGACGGCCCTGAGGACACTCGGGGGCAGGGCTGCTGGGCGTGGGCCCCCCTCAGCACCCGTCTCCAAGGCCCCGCTCGGGGAGGGCGAGGCAGGGCCACAGAGGGTGTGTGTGTGTGTGTGTGTGTGTGTGTGTGAGGGGGTGACGAGGGTCCCTAACCCCAGCCCTGGGTCCTTCCAGCCTGAGTGTCTCTTCTCAGACGGTTTTCGCCGTGGCCGTAGCCAGACACCTCTGTTTCCAGTGAGAAAACTCACAGATTCAAACTGACTTAAAGAGAAGAGGGAGCCCTGGCCAGTGTGCTCAGTGGATAGAGCGTTGGCCTGCGGACTGAAGGGTCCTGGGTTCGATTCCCCATCAGGGCACACGCCCGGATTGTTGGTCAATCCCCAGTAGGGGGCGTGCAGGAGGCAGCTGGCCCATGATTCTCATCCTGGATGTCTCTCTCCCTCACCTTCCTCTCTGACATCAATAAGAACCTATTTTGATAAAACACAGCCACGTGTCAGGTGTGTTCCTCAGACACGGGGACTTCTCCCTGGGCCTCGGGGACACTCAGTGGAGTGAGATGTCGCGAAAAGATGGCCGTGTCCGGGTGACGGGACCTGACGCCCTGAGAGCCGGCACATCCTCCCCGATCGCTGTTGTGAGAGGAAATCTGCGAGGCTGTCAAGGACCAATTTAAAGGCAAAACCCTCAGTGATGGATCACAGAGTCAGAGTGCGGGCTTTAATTATTAACGGACGCCGGCCCTTTAATAATTAAAGGAGCGGGACTCGTGTCTCCGAAGGTGCCTCTTGCACCAGTGAGGGAGGGGGAGACACGGAGAAGCATGGGGCTGTGGCACACAGAGGTGCACATAGACACACACGTATGCACGCATGTGTATGCAATATGCACACACAGGCACAGAAAGGAGAAGGAGCAAACAGATTCAGAGACACAGACACAGATGGACAGACAGACACTGGGGTGAGGACACAGCAGAGCCCGTGGCCCTGGAAGAGCTGGTCCCGGCCTCAGCCGGCCTCGGCCTCCGGGGCCCTCGGCGGGCCCACTGGTCCCATCACCGGGTGGCTCAGTGGTTGTCGCTGACGGGCTCGGTGAGAGCGTGCGGCAGACGGAGCGCCTGGCGTGCACCGCCTCCTCTCTGCTGGCGTCACGTATGATCTTTGGGAGAACAGCGCCGGCGCCGACGATGGCGGAGCCTCTGGGCGGGAAGAGGCCGGGGGCAGGGCAGGGGGTCGGGGTGAGCCTGCTCCGGGGACGCCTAGCCAGACGCTGCTGCGAAGCCGTGTGCCCGGGGCCAGGCCTGTCACCTGTGAGACGGCCGAACCCAGCGCCTGGCGTGACAGACGGTCACACGGTCATATCCGAACGCTGTCCTGCCGGGCGTGGGGTCCCTGCTCCAGGTCCGGCGTGAAGGCGGTCCGTGCCTGCTGTGTGCGGTGTGCACGCTGTGTGCGGTGTGCACGCTGTGTGCGGTGTGCACACTGTGTGCGGTGTGCACGCTGTGTACTCTGTGCACGCTGTGTGCGGTGTGCACGCTGTGTACTCTGTGCACGCTGTGTGCGGTGTGCACGCTGTGTACTCTGTGCACGCTGTGTGCGGTGTGCACGCTGTGTACTCTGTGCACGCTGTGTACTCTGTGCACGCTGTGTACTCTGTGCGCGGTGTGTGCGGTGTGCACGCTGTGTACTCTGTGCGCAGTGTGTGCGGTGTGCACGCTGTGCCCGCTGTGTGCGGTGTGCACGCTGTGTACTCTGTGCACGCTGTGCCCGCTGTGTGCGGTGTGCACGCTGTGTACTCTGTGCACACTGTGTGCGGTGTGCACGCTGTGTACTCTGTGCACGCTGTGCCCGCTGTGTGCGGTGTGCATGCTGTGTACTCTGTGCACGCTGTGCCCGCTGTGTGCGGTGTGCACGCTGTGTACTCTGTGCACGCTGTGTGCGGTGTGTGCAGTGTGGACACGCACGTCTCCTGTGTCTGCGTGTTCACACAGAGAGCCGTGTGAGTGCGTGTTCTGTAAACACGTTTCCTGTCACTCAGACGGGCAGCGGGCTGCCGGGTGCGTTTCTGTCGGAAGCATCTTCCCGGCAGGCTCCTGAGGTTCCTCTGCCCTGCTGAGCGGGCGTGGGGCCGACAGGACGGGGCGGGATCGAGGAGTTTCTGTTAGGAAATCCACCAGCAGCCGCGGAGCCGCCTGGGGGCTGGCGGGAGAGCTCTCCCTTGTCCGGTGCCAGCTGGGGGCGGCGTGGGGCGGCTGGGGGCGGCTATGGAGCGGCTGGCCGTGGGCCCATCAGTAGGGGGTGCTGTGGGCCGTCGGGGCTGGTGAATGAGGGCTGGACCTCGAGGTCCCACAGTTGGCAGGCTCAGCTCTTGGGGTCCCGTCCACGGCCGCTCTGATGCTTCTGCTCTGCGTGTTGGGGTCCCGGCGGGGTGTGTGCGGCTGGTCCTCGGAGGGGGGAGAGACCCTCACAGGCAGCACGCACACAGCGCCCTCCTCATGAACGTCCAGCGTGGAGCTGGCAGGGAGCCGGGTCCCCTGGGCCCAGAGCCGCCCCCCGCCCGCCCGCCAGCCTGACCGGGCCCTCTCTCCGCCAGGAGCTCTGACTCGGAGGAAGCCTTTGAGACCCCGGAGTCCACGACCCCCGTCAAAGCACCCCCGGCCCCGCCCCCGCCGCCCCCCGAGGTCGTCCCGGAGCCCGAGGTCAGCGCGCCCCCCTCCCCGGAGGAACCAGGTACGCGGGGCCGCCCCAGGGAGACGCGGGGCTCCTGCCGGGGGCTGGGGTGCTGGGGGGCCGCCGGCTCGGGGTGCTGGGGGGCCGCCGGGCTCGGGGGGGGGGGGTGAGGAGCTCGGAGCAGGTCCTGCAGGGGGTGGGGGCTCCTGGGTGCCTCTCACCCGCTTCCCCTGCCCCTGGAATCGGCCGAGTGGGGCGTCTCGGATTCCACTCTTTGTTCTGTAAAAGCTGGTCTGCAGGCTCCTTTAAAACACATTATTGATTTAGAGAGAGGGGGAGGGAGAGGGAGGCAGAGAGAAACATCAACGAGGAGACACAGCGATGGGCTGCCCCTGCCCGCCCGCCCCACTGGGGACGGAGCCGGCACCAGGCCTGTGCCCCGACGGGAGGGACGGGGCCTCCCGGGTCCGGGGTGGACGCCCCGCCGCGGAGCGCGCCGACCGGCGGGCGGTCCGGGGTCGTGCGTTCGGACCCTGAGCCCGGATCGGACTGAGAGCTTCTCCTGGGAAGCCGGCGGGCGGAGTGCCGGGGAGAACACTCCGGGTGGGGTTCTGTCCTGCAGCCCGGGCTCGGCTGTACGGGGTCCACCTGCTTTGCTGCCCCTGGAGGACCAGCCCGGGCCCGCCGCCCCCAGCGAGGCCAGCGTGGCGGGAGGGCGCTGCCGGCGAGGGGAGGAGGAGGAGGTGCCCCCGCCCCCCGCCCCGCCCCAGGAGCGGGGAAGGAAGGGCCAGCAGGAAAGGCCGCGGCTTCCTCCAGAGCCTCTGCTGAAGGGGCCGAAACACACAGAACAATAGGGAGACCGGGTGTGAGTACAGACCGGTCTCTCCTCTGGGAGCGTGTATTTCACACAACTACTGTCCGCGCACCAGCCCCAGCTGGTGTGTGCGCTTCATCGACCGAGGACGGAGCCCCTCGCACACCCCATGCCTCTGCCCTGCCCCGTGCCGGCCCAGCCCGCGTGGCTCGGTGGCCGAGCGTGGCCCCGTGCCGCCCAGCTCAGTGGTTCCGTGGCCGAGCGTGGCCCCGTGCCGGCCCAGCCCACGTGGCTCCGTGGCCGAGCGTGGCCCCGTGCCGCCCAGCTCAGTGGTTCCGTGGCCGGGCGTGGCTCCATGGCGGGGGCGTGGCTCCGTGGTGGAGCAGCAGCCCATGAACCAGGTGGTTCGATTCCAGGTCGGGGCACATGCCAGTAGGGGGCGCACAGGAGCCAGACTCCGTGAATGAAAACACAGGATCTCAGAGAAGCAACCAGGAGTTGGGAGCTGGCCCATATTTCTGCGAATAACTTTATTCGCTTATCTGAGATGCTAATTTAAAAAAATTTTTTTTTCGTTGAGTTTTAGTGAGGAAGGGGGAGAGAGAAACATCAGTGATGAGAGAGAATCATGGGTCGGCTGCTCCCTGCACACCCCACACTGGGGATGGAGCCTGCAACCCGGGCCTGTGCCCACCAGGAACGGAACCCGGACCTCCTGGGTCCTAGGTCAGCGCTCACCACTGAGCCGCACGGCCGGGCTGTTTGGTTGCTTCTTGCCCGTCTTCTCCCTGAGGAGCGTGACTCCCAGGAGCACAGGGTTTTGCTGGTTTGGTTCCTCGGCGAGGGCCCAGCAGCCAGCCTGGTGCCGGGTCCGGGTCCGGGCCCGGCTGGGGGCTCCGTGAATGCTGGGCTGAGTGGGGGGTCTGGCTGCCCCGTAACCTGCCACCCTCCTGCTTACAGAGGAGGGGCCGGCAGGCCTGGCGGGCGTGGAGCCGGCCCGCAGCGGGCGCTGTGCCCGGGTGGGCCGGTCGGCCGGCTCTGCCGTGGGGCAATCGTGGGCGGAGAAGGGCCTGTCCGGTTTCGCGTCCTCCAGGGCCGCCCTGTCCGTGTCCGCAGGCGGCGGGGAGCCGGCCCCCGGCCCCGATGGCCCCCCGAGCGTGCCCCCCGCGGACGGCAGCCCGCTGCGGCCGCCCGCCCACTCCTGCTCCGCCGTCTTCGACGAGGACAAGCCCATAGCCAGCAGCGGCGCCTACAACCTGGACTTCGACAGCATCGAGCTGGTGGAGCCCCGGCCCACGGACCCCACGGCCTCGGAGGGCCCCCCGGGCGCGCGGAGGAGGTCCCCGGACCCCGGGCCCCCCGCCCGGGCCGCGCCGGCCCGCTCCCTCAGCCTGCAGGCCGGCGACCTGGATGGTGCTGCCTGCCCGGCCGACGCCGAGGCCAGCAGCTCCGGGCCGGCCGGCGACTGCGGGTCCCTCAAGCGGGCGAAGAGGCCACGGCCGCCGTCCCTGAGGAGGAAGCAGCCCCCCAAGAGGCCCCCCGAGGCGCCCCCCGTGCCCGAGGCCCCGCCGGCCGAGGAGGGCCCCGGGCCCGGCGAGGAGAGCCGGCCCCCCGGGCCCGACAGGGAGCCGGCGCCCCCGGAGGCCCCCGCCCCCGCCGAGGAGGCCCCCCCGGAGCCCGCCGGCCCCGCGGACGCGGTGGGCACGGACGTGGTGGGCACGGACGCGGTGGGCACGGACGCGGTGGGCGCCGACGGGGCCGCCCCCCCTGGAGGGGGCAGCGTGCAGAACTCACCGCCCGTCGGCAGGAAGGCGGCCCCGGCCCCGGCCCCCGAGGCGGACAGCGGGCCCCCCGAGGACCCCCCGGCCAGGGGGGGCGTGCGGCTGGAGTTCGACTACTCGGAGGACGGCGGGCCGGAGGCGGCCGCTGCCAGGAAGCCGGGCCGGAAGCCGGGGGCCAGGATGCCCCTGCGACGGCCGAAGGCGAAGAAGGGCCCCGAGCGGCTGGAGGGCGCCCCCGCCTCGCCCCCCCGGGCCCCCGCCGAGCCCGGCGACGCCCCGGCCGCCAGGGGCTCCTACACCTTCGACGCCGACAAGTGGGACGACCCCAACTTCAACCCCTTCTCCTCCGCCTCCAAGATGCAGGCGTCGCCCAAGCTGCCGCCGCCCGCCGCCTTCGGCTTCGCGCCCGAGGCCCTCGGGGAGCCTGCCGAGCCCGGCCCCGCGCCCGGCTCGCCCGCCAAGGCCCCCGCCTCCTTCGAGATCCCCGTGGGCGCCCCCGACGGCCACGCGGACGGCGACGGGCCGGGCAAGCCCGCCAAGAAGAAGAAGACGCCGCTCAAGACGTAAGTGCGGGCGGGCGGGCGGCGGGCAGAGGAGGCGGCGGGCAGAGGAGGCAGCGGGCGGGCGGGCGGCGGGCAGAGGAGGCGGCGGGCAGAGGAGGCGGCGGGCGGGCGGCGGGCGGCGGGCAGAGGAGGCGGCGGGCAGAGGAGGCGGCGGGCAGAGGAGGCGGCGGGCGGAGGGCAGAGGAGGCGGCGGGCGGAGGACAGAGGAGGCGGCGGGCGGCGGGCAGAGGAGGCGGCGGGCGGAGGACAGAGGAGGCGGCGGGCGGCGGGCAGAGGAGGCGGCGGGCAGAGGAGGCGGCGGGCGGGCGGGCAGAGGAGGCGGAGGGCAGAGGAGGCGGCGGGCGGAGGGCAGAGGAGGCGGAGGGCAGAGGAGGCGGCGGGCGGAGGGCAGAGGAGGCGGAGGGCAGAGGAGGCGGCGGGCGGCGGGCAGAGGAGGCGGAGGGCAGAGGAGGCGGCGGGCGGCGGGCAGAGGAGGCGGCGGGCGGAGGACAGAGGAGGCGGCGGGCGGCGGGCAGAGGAGGCGGCGGGCAGAGGAGGCGGCGGGCGGGCGGGCAGAGGAGGCGGCGGGCGGAGGACAGAGGAGGCGGCGGGCGGCGGGCAGAGGAGGCGGCGGGCAGAGGAGGCGGCGGGCAGAGGAGGCGGCGGGCAGAGGAGGCGGCGGGCAGAGGAGGCGGCGGGCAGAGGAGGCGGCGGGCGGAGGGCAGAGGAGGCGGCGGGCGGCGGGCAGAGGAGGCGGCGGGCGGCGGGCAGAGGAGGCGGCGGGCGGAGGAGGCGGCGGGCGGAGGAGGCGGCGGGCGGAGGAGGCGGCGGGCGGAGGAGGCGGCGGGCGGAGGAGGCGGCGGGCGGAGGAGGCGGCGGGCGGAGGAGGCGGCGGGCGGAGGAGGCGGCGGGCGGCGGGCAGAGGCGGCGGGCGGGGGGCGCGGCGGCGGCAGAGGAGGCGGCGGGCGGAGGAGGCGGCGGGCGGCGGGCAGAGGAGGCGGCGGGCGGGCAGAGGAGGCGGCGGGCGGCGGGCAGAGGAGGCGGCGGGCAGAGGAGGCGGCGGGCAGAGGAGGCGGCGGGCGGCGGGCAGAGGAGGCGGCGGGCAGAGGAGGCGGCGGGCGGCGGGCAGAGGAGGCGGCGGGCGGAGGAGGCGGCGGGCGGAGGGCAGAGGAGGCGGCGGGCAGAGGAGGCGGCGGGCAGAGGAGGCGGCGGGCGGAGGAGGCGGCGGGCAGAGGAGGCGGCGGGCGGAGGAGGCGGCGGGCGGAGGAGGCGGAGGGCAGAGGAGGCGGCGGGCAGAGGAGGCGGCGGGCGGCGGGCAGAGGAGGCGGCGGGCGGCGGGCAGAGGAGGCGGCGGCGAGGAGGCGGCGGGCGGCGGGCAGAGGAGGCGGCGGGCGGGCGGCAGAGGAGGCGGCGGGCGGCGGGCAGAGGAGGCGGCGGGCAGAGGAGCGGCGGGCAGAGGAGGCGGCGGGCGGCGGGCAGAGGAGGCGGCGGGCAGAGGAGGCGGCGGGCGGCGGGCAGAGGAGGCGGCGGGCGGCGGGCAGAGGAGGCGGCGGGCGGAGGGCAGAGGAGGCGGCGGGCAGAGGAGGCGGCGGGCGGCGGGCAGAGGAGGCGGCGGGCGGCGGGCAGAGGAGGCGGCGGGCGGCGGGCAGAGGAGGCGGCGGGCGGAGGGCAGAGGAGGCGGCGGGCAGAGGAGGCGGCGGGCGGAGGGCAGAGGAGGCGGCGGGCGGAGGGCAGAGGAGGCGGCGGGCAGAGGAGGCGGCGGGCGGAGGGCAGAGGAGGCGGCGGGCAGAGGAGGCGGCGGGCGGAGGGCAGAGGAGGCGGCGGGCGGAGGGCAGAGGAGGCGGCGGGCAGAGGAGGCGGCGGGCGGGCGGGCAGAGGAGGCGGCGGGCGGAGGGCAGAGGAGGTGGCGGGCGGAGGGCAGAGGAGGCGGCGGGCGGAGGGCAGAGGAGGCGGCGGGCGGAGGGCAGAGGAGGCGGCGGGCAGAGGAGGCGGCGGGCGGGCGGGCAGAGGAGGCGGCGGGCGGAGGGGCGAGGGGCCGGCGGGCGGAGGGCAGAGGAGGCGGCGGGCGGAGGGCAGAGGAGGCGGCGGGCAGAGGAGGCGGCGGGCAGAGGAGGCGGCGGGCGGGCGGGCAGAGGAGGCGGCGGGCAGAGGAGGCGGCGGGCGGAGGGCAGAGGAGGCGGCGGGCGGAGGGCAGAGGAGGCGGCGGGCGGGCGGGCAGAGGAGGCGGCGGGCGGAGGGCAGAGGAGGCGGCGGGCGGGCAGAGGAGGCGGCGGGCAGAGGAGGCGGCGGGCAGAGGAGGCGGCGGGCAGAGGAGGCGGCGGGCGGAGGGCAGAGGAGGCGGCGGGCGGAGGGCAGAGGAGGCGGCGGGCAGAGGAGGCGGCGGGCGGAGGGCAGAGGAGGCGGCAGAGGAGGCGCGGGCGGAGGGCAGAGGAGGCGGCGGCGGAGGGCAGAGGAGGCGCGGCAGAGGAGGCGGCGGGCGGGCGGGCAGAGGAGGCGGCGGGCGGAGGGCAGAGGAGGCGGCGGGCGGAGGAGGCGGCGGGCGGAGGGCAGAGGAGGCGGCGGCAGAGGAGGCGGCGGGCGGGCGGGCAGAGGAGGCGGCGGGCGGAGGGCAGAGGAGGCGGCGGGCGGAGGGCAGAGGAGGCGGCGGGCGGAGGGCAGAGGAGGCGGCGGGCAGAGGAGGCGGCGGGCAGAGGAGGCGGCGGGCGGGCGGGCAGAGGAGGCGGCGGGCAGAGGAGGCGGCGGCGGAGGGCAGAGGAGGCGGCGGGCAGAGGAGGCGGCGGGCGGGCGGGCAGAGGAGGCGGCGGGCGGGCGGGCAGAGGAGGCGGCGGGCGGGCGGGCAGAGGAGGCGGCGGGCGGAGGGCAGAGGAGGCGGCGGGCGGGGCAGAGGAGGCGGCGGGCAGAGGAGGCGGCGGGCAGAGGAGGCGGCGGGCAGAGGAGGCGGCGGGCAGAGGAGGCGGCGGGCGGCGGGCAGAGGAGGCGGCGGGCGGAGGGCAGAGGAGGCGGCGGGCGGAGGGCAGAGGAGGCGGCGGGCAGAGGAGGCGGCGGGCGGGGGTGGTGACATGCTCAGTCACCTGAGCTGCCTCCCCCTCCCACGCCTAACATGCTGGCACCAGACGTGACCTGACATATCCCCACCCGTGTGCCCTTTGGGTGGAGAATCCAGAGTCCTCCATCTTTTTTTTTCTTATATTTTTATTGATTTAAGAGAGAAAGGAGAGGGAGAGAGAGAGAGCAGCATCTAGGATGAGAGATTGTCATGGCTCAGCTGCCTCCTGCACGCCCCCAATGGGGACGGAGCCCGCACCCCAGGCCTGTGCCCTGACCGGGAATCGAACCCTGACCTCCTGGTTCCTAGGCTGGTGCTCAGCCGCTGAGCCAGGCCGGCGGGGCAGAGTCCGCGGTTCGTTGCCTGAATAGTCAGTGTCCACAGCTCTCCTTCCAGCTCCGGAGGGTGGGGGGGTGCTGGGGTCCCCCGAAGGGGACTGTCCTGTGGGTCTTTCCATGTAACCCGTGAGTGGGGTGTTTTTTGGCCTCGAAGCTGGGAGAGAGGCCCTTTAGATCCCGTTAGAGTCAGGGCGTCTCTGCCCCTCCTGAGGGGAGGCCAGGAGCCAGCACGGTGAGCCGCCCTCACCGGGAAGGGCCTGTGTCTGCACCCGCTCCCGGCGGCATTGGCAGACGCGGCCGCAGGCCTGCACCCAGAGGAGCCGTGGGGCCTGGGGAGCAGAGCCGCCTCCTCTGGGCCTGGAGCCCGTGGGGCCGGGGGCCGGGGGCCGGGAGCCGGGGGCTGTAGGGCCGGGGCCGGGGGGCCGGGGGCCGGGGGGCCGGGGGCCGGGGGCCAGGGGGCCGGGAGCCGGGGGGCCGGGGGCCGGGGGCCAGGGGGCCGGGAGCCGGGGGGGCCGGGGGCCGGGGGCCGGGGGGCCGGGGGCCGGGGGCCAGGGGGCCGGGAGCCGGGGGGCCGGGGGCTGTAGGGCCGGGGGCCAGGGGCTGTAGGGCCGGGGGCCGGGGGCCGGGGGCCGGGGGCTATAGGGCCGGGGGCCGGGGGCCGGGAGCCGGGGGCCGGGAGCCGGGGGGCCTGGGGCTGTAGGGCCGTGGGGCCTGGGGGAGCAGAGCCGCCTCCTCTGGGCCTGGAGCCCGTGGGGCCGGGGGCCAGGGGGCCGGGGGCCGTGGGGCCAGGGGGCTGGGGGCCGGGGGCCGTGGGGCCAGGGGCTGTGGGGCCGTGGGGCCGGGGGCCGGGGGCCGGGAGCCGGGGGGCCGGGGGCCGGGGGCCGGGGGCCGGGGGCTGTGGGGCCAGGGGCTGTGGGGCCATGGGGCCTGGGGGAGCAGAGCCCCCTCCACTCGGCCTGGAGCCCATGGGCCCGGGGCCGCACACACGTGTGGGCAGAGGACCTGCCCATCCTACCTCCGCACACGTTCCCGCCCGGTCGGAGGGCCGTGGGCTGTGCTGGTGCCGGATTAGGGCCTTCTTCCTTGCTCTCTTACCAAATATTCAAGGAAGAACTAAAACCGATCCTCCTCAGACTATTCCAAAAAATTCAAGAGGAAGGAACACTTCCAAACTCCTTCTATGAAGCCAGCATCACCCCAATACCTTGCTCTCTTGCGAGGCGTCTGGCGGCTCCAGGCCCTGGAGGCCCCGGACCGGCCGCGGCTGCCGGCGCCCGGATCAGAGCCGTGATCCTGGCCCAGCCTGGGCCCGCGGGCGCCTGGCCTCAGAGCAGCGGCTCCCCGAGGAGACGCCTGGGCTGGGCCTGGGGTCCCCCCGCTCCTGCTGGTGTTGGGGTGTAAGGGGGCAACCCCGTCCCCTCAGCAGTTCCCCCAGCAGGCTTTTGCCAGACCCTCCATGGAACCCGCCAGAAGCTTTACTATGGATTTGCTATCCTCACCGAGGCTGCTTTCTCACTGATTCTTAGCGAGTGGACAGGAGGGAGAGACACAGTGAGAGAGACTTCGATGTGAGAGACACAGCAATTGGCTGCCTCCTGCATGGGCCCAGACCAGGCCCAGGGATCGAGCCTGCCATTGAGGTACCTGCCCTTGGCTGGAATCAGACCCGGGACCCTTCAGTCCACAGGCCGATGCTCTACCCCACATGTGTCAAACACAAGGCCCGCGGGCCAAATCCGTCCCGCCAGGCCTTGCCATGTGGCCCGCACCGCGCTGTCATCACTGCACTCCGCTGTGTTTCCATCACAATGACAGTTTATGACTGTTCAGTAAACCATTCGGCCCACGATTTAGGCTGGATTTTAGATTTTGGCCCCTTCTCTGATTGAGTTCGACACCCCTACTCTACCCACTGAGACACACTGGCCAGGGCAGAAGCCTTATTTTAAGCTCCAAACAAGAGACGTCTGAACTCTCAGGCTCGTTCTGTCACCTTTGGCTCGAGAGCCATATTGTGGGTACCCCCTCCTCAGGCACCCTCCTCCTCAGGCATCGCCTCCCCCTTCCATCCTCAGAGCTCTGGGGCAGGTGGCCGGGTGCCTCGGTGGGGGGTTGCGGGGTCCCTCTCCGGCCAGCGCCCGCTCCCAGCACCCGCGGCCGGCTGCGGATGAGGCCGATGCGTGTCAGTGTGTGTCTGTCTCTCTGTCCCCGTCTCAGGATGGTTGAAGACGTGATGTCTGTGTGTTCTCTGTTGTAAGTAACCGTCCCGCCTCTGCCTGCGCCTCGGGCTGCTCGCCTCGTGTCCACCGCACGCTCCGCCTGCTCCCCGCCCCCCGCTGCCGCTGCACGCTCCGTGTTTCACGTGGGGGGGCCACGATTCGTGGGGTCCGTGTCTCCACGCTGGGCGTGGCCGTGGACAGGCGACCCCGGTCTGCCTGCCCGCCGGGAACGGGCTCCTTCCCCTTGTTCGCTGGCCGCCTGCCCGAGCCCCACCCGTTTCACACCCCTCACTCCCGCCCCCTCCCTCCCCTCACTCCCTCCCCTCCCTCCCGCCCCCTCACTCCCGCCCCTCACTCCCGCCCCCTCACTCCCGCCTCCTCACTCCCTCCCCATCACTCCCCTCCCCTCACTCCCTCCCCTCACTCCTCCCCTCACTCCCCTCCCCCCGCCCCATCACTCCCGCCCCCTCCCGCCCCCCCACTCCCCTCACTCCCCCCCCCACTCCCGCCCCCCCCCACTCCCCCCTCACTCCGCCCCCCCCTCCCCTCCCTCCCCTCACTCCCGCCCCCATCACTCCCCCCCTCCCGCCCCCTCACTCCCCCCCCCCCCCCCCTCACTCCCGCCCCCTCACTCCCCCCTCACTCCCGCCCCCTCACTCCCTCCCCTCACTCCCGCCCCCTCACTCCCCCCCTCACTCCCGCCCCCTCACTCCCGCCCCTCACTCTGGTTTCACGTGGGCCGGGGCCATCGCCTCCTCAGTTCTGTGCCTTCATGGTGACATCCTGCCGGCCCCACAGCGACTGCGGCTCGCCCTGGGACACCGAGCAGAACGTGGGGCTTTTCCAAACGGGGCCTGCGGGAGGGGCGGGGCCCGAGGCTGCGGGAGTCACGGCTGCTCGGGGCCGGCCGGGGTCAGCATGCCGCCTGGGGTCACGGTCCTGCGGGGAGGGAGGGGGCCGGAGCGACCGCCCAGGCCTCTGCTGCTTTGCCTCCCGGCCAGGAGGGTCCTGTGGGCGGCTCCCAGGGCCCCGGCCAGCACCTTCCCGCCTCCCTGTCCCACGGGGGACCTGGCCTTCTGGCCTCCCTGTCCCCACCGGGGGCCCAGCCCAGGCGAGGGCAGCCCCCAGGGGCGGAGTCCCCGGCTCTCTGCCGCCCCAGGGAAGTGAGGACTCAGCCACGTAGCAGCGTGAAAACCATAAGTCCCCGTGTTTGTGTGCATGGACAGCTGGACGCTTCAGGCTGGGCCCCACTGTGCGCTTTGCAACGCATCGCTGCTGCAGTAACCATCCTAGTGTTCCATGAGTGGGTGCCACCGTGGGGAGACAGGGAGGAGCTGGGTGCCAGGGTCTGCCCACGGGTTGACCGGGGAGGGGTGGGAATCTAAGGATGTGTTGCCTGGGGCAGGGCCTGAGGCCAGGAGGTGGGCCCATCTGCAGGGGGAGGAGCCTCCGTTCTGAGCACAGGGACTGCGGGGACCCCTCTGTGCTCACCTCTGACCCTTCAGGAGTCCCCCCGATGCTCCCTTGGCGCCTCCCCCCACCTGCCTCCACTTAGCGCTCAGGACTGCACAGCTGGAGACGGTTCGGGGCACCGTGTCCGACCCGAGCGTTTTCACCAAAATTACAGAACGACCTCCCTCAGCCCTGCCGGGCGTCAGGCCCCCTGAAGCTCAGGGTCCCCGGAAGGAGCCCGCCAGCTCTCCCCCAACCCAGGCCCCTCCCCCAAAACCCGCCGACCTGCCTGGTGGGAGCTGCCCCGCCCGGGTCAGGACCCTGCACCCCGGGGCCGGGCTCGACGGGTGGGCCAGGACCGGACCTGCGCGCCCAGATGGGCTCTAGGGGCAGTCAGAGCCCGGGGTCAGCGCCCCACGCCCTCTGGGTCCGCCTCCGGAGCCTCCCGGCCTCGGTCACACCTGCTGGGGGCGCAGAGCGAGCCGGGGTGGCGGGCGGCAGGGGGTCCGGGCAGACGCTCAGCAGAGGCGGGGGCTTCGGTCTGCTCTGTGTTCGGAAGGTTCCGGACCCGGTCGTGTTCACGTTTCCCCTTCCGTTTCCAGTGACACGTTCAGGGTGAAGAAGTCGCCAAAGCGGTCCCCCCTCTCGGACCCCCCCTCTCAGGTACGTGTCCCTGGCGTGTGGGGTGCCCGCTCGCCGGGGGAGGCCGGGGGTCCCTCCCCCATGGGCCTGTGAGACAAAGAGTTACTGAGACAGGCACTGGGCATGTGTGCGAGCACCGGAGTTTTTACTTTTCATTTTATGGACTTCAGAGAAGGAAGAGGGAGGGAGGGAGGGAGGGAGGGAGGGAGAGAGAGAGAGAGAGAGGAGAGAGAGAGAGAGAGAGAGAGGGAGGCAGAGAGAGAGAGAGAGAGAGGGAGGGAGGGAGAGAGAGAGAGAGAGAGAGAGAGAGGGAGAGAGGGAGGGGTCAGTGATGAGAGGGAACCATGGACTGGCTGCCTCCTGCACACCCCTCACTGGGGATGGAGCCCGCAACCTGGGCCTGTGCCCTGAGCGGGAATCGAACCCTGACCTCCTGGTTCGCAGGCCAACGCTCAGCCTCTGAGCCCCGAGGCCGGGCAGGAGCCCGTCGTTTGTAACCCACGTCCAGTGGGAGGGAGAGAAAACTGCCTCCCGCCCGAGGCCCGGCTCCTGCTCACCAGCTCCGCCCCCAGCACCCACCACGGCTGCTCTGCTCCAGGTCACCGTCCGGGCAGGCTGTCCTCCCTCCGGGGGGGTGCCAGGCCCTTCAGTCCTAAAACAATCCCCTGCCGGCGGGGCTGCAGAGAGGGGCGGCCTGGACAGGGGCCCGGGTCCCTGCCTGGCTCTGCCTCCTGCTCAGCGGCACCCCCTGCAGGCAGGGAGGCCAGCCCTTCCTCTGTCCCCACCGGCAGGTGGAGGATTGTCAGCGATGGCGACTGGGCACAGCCCAGGCCTCAAAGCAGTGAAATCACCGGAATAAAAGTCCTTCCCTCCAGTGCAGGCGCAGGAAGCTCTCAGGGACCGAGACGCCCAGTAACCACCCCCCCATGTTCCTAAGCCCGGCCCCCCGGACGCGCCCGGGAAAGGAACCTCATCAGGGACAGAGCGGTGCCCGGGGGGCCGGACGGTGGGCGGTAGCGGGCGCGGACCCTGGACGAGAGGAGAGACGGCTCCCCCCCTCGCAGGACCCCACGCCCGCGGCCACACCGGAGGCGCCGCCCGTGATCGCGGCCGTGGTCCACGCCACGGACGAGGAGAAGCTGGCGGTCACCAGCCAGAAGTGGGCGTGCATGACGGTGGAGCTGGAGGCGGACAAGCAGGACTTCCCGCAGCCCTCCGACCTGTCCTCCTTCGTCAACGAGACCAAGTTCAGCTCCCCCTCCGAGGGTGAGCGACGGCCGGGAAACCCCGCGGCGGGCTCCGAGCCGAGCGTCCACCTGTGACCAGCGGTCAGGGTTCGACTCCCGGTCAGGGCGCAGGCCCGGGGTGTGGTTTGATCATTGACTTGTTATTAGAGGAAGGGAGATAGACACATTCATGATGAGAGAGAACCTTGGATCGGCTGCCTCCTGCACGCCCCCTCCTGGGGATGGAGCCCACACTCCGGCCGGGGCCCGGACCGGGAATGAACTGTGACCTCCTGGGTCCGAGGTCGGCTGCCCAACTGGAACATCTTATTTTAAAGCTCGTGTTAGGGTCAGTGTGTAAGTGCTGGCTTCCACGATAAATAGAAACAGGTGCTCTAACCCAGAACGCCTCGGGCCGAGACATCTGACACTCCTGCCCGCGGGGGTCTGAGCCGTCACCCCCTCTCTGAGCAGCAAAAAGCCCGCCTGCCCCGGGCCTGCCCCACCCAGCCTGCCCCTGTGTCTGCCCCTGCCCCTGCCCCTGCCCCTCTGCCCCTGCCCCTGCCCGGCGCTGACCCCCGTCTCCCCGCAGAGCTGGACTACAGGAACGCCTACGAGATCGAGTACATGGAGAAGATCGGCTCCTCCCTGCCCGTGAGAGCTCCTGCGGCGGGCGGCGGGCGGCGGGCGGCGGGCGGCGGGCGGCGGGCGGCGGGCGGCGGGCGGCGGGCGGCGGCGGGCGGCGGGCGGCGGCGGGCGGCGGCGGGCGGCGGCGGGCGGCGGCGGCGGCGGGGCGGCGGGCGGCGGCGGGCGGCGGGCGGCGGCGGCGGCGGGCGGCGGGCGGGCGGCGGGCGGCGGCGGGCGGCGGGCGGCGGGCGGCGGCGGCGGGCGGCGGGCGGCGGCGGCGGCGGCGGCGGGCGGCGGGCGGCGGCGGCGGGCGGCGGGCGGCGGCGGGCGGCGGGCGGCGGGCGGCGGCGGGCGGGCGGCGGCGGCGGGCGGCGGCGGCGGCGGCGGGCGGGCGGCGGGCGGCGGCGGCGGCGGCGGCGGGCGGGCGGGCGGCGGGCGGCGGCGGGCGGCGGCGGCGCGGCGGCGGCGGGCGGCGGGCGGCGGCGGGCGGCGGGCGGCGGGCGGCGGCGGGCGGGCGGCGGGCGGCGGGCGGCGGGCGGCGGGCGGCGGCGGGCGGGCGGCGGGCGGCGGGCGGCGGGCGGCGGCGGGCGGCGGGCGGCGGGCGGAGGGCGGCGGCGGGCGCGGCGGGGCCGGGCAGGCAGGCGCTTCCCCAGCTCCTGACCACACAGCTGGCCTCTCCGGTCCCCGCGCCCTGGGACCCAGACCTCGCAGCCAGCTCCTGCATGCCCACTGCTCCCGGTGCCCACTGCTCCCGGTGCCCGCAGCTCCCGGTGCCCACAGCTCCCGGTGCCCACTGCTCCCGGTGCCCGCAGCTCCCGGTGCCCGGTGCCCACTGCTCCCGGTGCCCGCAGCTCCGGTGCCCACTGCTCCCGGTGCCCACTGCTCCGGTGCCCACTGCTCCCGGTGCCCACAGCTCCCGGTGCCCGCAGCTCCCGGTGCCCGCAGCTCCCGGTGCCCGCAGCTCCCGGTGCCCACTGCTCCCGGTGCCCACAGCTCCCGGTGCCCACAGCTCCCGGTGCCCACAGCTCCCGGTGCCCGGTGCCCACTGCTCCCGGTGCCCACAGCTCCCGGTGCCCGGTGCCCACTGCTCCCGGTGCCCACAGCTCCCGGTGCCCACTGCTCCCGGTGCCCACTGCTCCCGGTGCCCGGTGCCCACTGCTCCCGGTGCCCACTGCTCCCGGTGCCCACAGCTCCCGGTGCCCGGTGCCCACTGCTCCCGGTGCCCACAGCTCCCGGTGCCCGGTGCCCACTGCTCCCGGTGCCCACAGCTCCCGGTGCCCACTGCTCCCGGTGCCCACTGCTCCCGGTGCCCACTGCTCCCGGTGCCCACAGCTCCCGGTGCCCGCAGCTCCCGGTGCCCGCAGCTCCCGGTGCCCGGGTTGCGGGCTCCATCCGCTGTGTGGGGCGTGCAGGAGGCAGCTGATCAGTGATTCTCACACCATTGATGTTTCTCTCTCCCCCTTCCTCTCTGGGATCAGTAAGAAATACACATTTAAAATAATAAACGAAAGTGTATATTTAAAAAGTGCCCCCCCCCCCCCCAGGAGCCAGCGGGCAGCTCCTCTCCCTGAGGAGGGGAGGAGGGAAGGAGGGAAGGAGGGAAAGGGGGAGGAGGAGAGAAGAGGGAGAAGAGCGAGGAGGGGAGGAGGGGAGGAGGGGAGGAGGGAAAGGGGGAGGAGGAGAGAAGAGGGAGAAGAGCGAGAGGGGGAGGAGGGCAGGAGGGGACGGAGGCTCCTCCCGCTGAGCCCTGTGCTCCAGGGAAGCCCCGCCGTCCTCTGACGGCCGGCCTGCGGCGCCGAGCTGACCCTCGGCTTTGCCCCCCCAGGAGGACGACGCCCCGAAGAAGCAGGCCCTGTACCTCATGTTCGACACAACCCAGGGGAGCCCCGTCCGGTCCCCGCCCACCCGGACGTCCGAGTCCCCCACGCCGTGCTCGGGGTATGCCGCCCGAGGGGGTGACCCTGTGGGGGGCGACCCCGTGGGGGGGACCCCGAGGGGAGGTGACCCCGAGGGGAGGTGACCCCGTGGGGGGGTGACCCCGAGGGGAGGTGACCCCGAGGGGGGTGACCCCAAGGGGGGTGACCCCGAGGGGAGGTGACCCCGGGGGAGGTGACTCCGAGGGGAGGTGACCCCATGGAGGGGTGACCCCGAGGGAGGTGACCCCGAGGGGAGGTGACCCCAAGGGGAGGTGGCCCCGAGGGGGGTGACTCCGAGGGGAGGTGACCCCGTGGAGGGGTGACCCCGAGGGGGGGGACCCCAAGGGGAGGTGGCCCCGAGGGGGGGTGACAGACAGGCCCAGCCCCAGCGCAGCTCTGCCTCCCGGCACTCACGTGTCCACACGGACGCAGCCCGGCGGGCCGGCTTGCTGCTGCTGCCCTGCGGGTGAGGTGACGCCCTCTGGTGGCGGGGTGGGGGCCTCTGAGTGCCCTGTGCTCTCACAGCCGCTGTCATTGTCCTGTGGGTACAGCACTGGGAGCCGCGTCCCACCTGCCCCTCGTGGCTGTGGACCTTGCACAGACCACGGGCCTCTGTGCCACGGGGAGTCACCGTGCCCTGCCCCGTGGGGGTCCGGGGGTACAGCAGGGCGCCCGGTGCTCCCCGTCGCGCATTGGGGTGCGGCGCCTCCAGGAGGCGTGAACAGGAAGCACCTGTCGGCCGGGGGCACCGAGGGGCAGCGCTGACGGTGCCTGTGGGTGTGACTGTCAGCCTCCGTCCGCGGGTGCTGGGCCGGGTGCTGGGCCGCGGGGGCCTCCTGCCGGAGAGAGAAACATGGACTGGCTGCCTCCTGCCTGTCCTCAGCCAGGGGTTCCCCACAGCCTGGGCCTGGGCCCCGGGGGGACTGACAGCGACCGGAGGCCCGTGGATGGCGCCCCCCGGAGCCCTCGGCGGGGACGGAGGCTCTGCTTTCCCTCTGAGACCCAGGCTCTGGCCGAGGCCGAGGGTGCTGTGCTGGCCGGTCAGGTGTTTTACCTGCAGCTGCCTCTCCCCGCCGCCCAGGCACTGCCTGCGCCCACAGAGCCGGAGACCAGACCACGGCCCGGCACAGCCCGCCCCCTCAGGCCGCGGCTCCTGGGCTGAGCCAGGACAGCTGGGCCCCACCGCCCGCGTGGGGGCCCCGGCATGGGCTGAGCCCCCAGACTGTCCCGCCCGCAGGCCCCTGGCGGCCAGGCCCTGCCCCTCCCCTCTGGCTGCAGCCTGAACATCCAGGGCCCCCGCCCCGCTGTCCAGGGCTTTGCAGCGCGAAGACAGAGGTGCCTTCTCCTCCTCAGGTCGAGCTTCGAGGAGGCCGAAGGGGTGAAGGGCCCCTCGCCGGCCCCCCGCGGGCTGGCCCCCGGCCAGGAGCCGCTCACGCCGGGCCCGGGCCCGGAGAAGCCCCGGCAGAAGGAGCTGGAGGCCAGGGCCATGGGCGCCGCCGCCGAGGGGATCGAGATGGTACGTGGGGTCGAGGGGCCGGGACCCCTGGGGCTGAGGCCCGGCCAGCGGGACCCCAGCACCCGGGGCCAGGCTCCGAGCAGCGCTCACCTGCGCCCACGTGCGCCCCGCCTGTCCGCTCCCCCCAGAAGCCAGCCTAGGAGGCCCCCCTAACCAGGCCCTGCCACCACCCGCTCTGTTTGCCTCCGGGCTATTGATCCCCCTCTGGAGCCCCTTGGGGCGGGGCAGCCGCTTTGGGGTTGGCATCAGAGGGCGGGGACCCTGCTGCCCATAGACCGGAGGGTCTGTGCTCAGCCCCTCGCCCCCCTTTGCACAATTAAAATGGACCGTCTTCGAGGTGAATCTTATTGCTTCCCCGCCCTCCCAGCCACCCCCCAGGGCTTTGGGCCATCGGTGTAGCTTTGTTCTGTTCCATGTCGTAAACCACTCATTGCACACACTGAGTCTACTGAGCACCTACTGCGCGCCAGTCAAAGAGGGCTGAGCGGAGAGCCTGGGTGTGCCCAGGCCTGTGCCTGCAGAGCTGGCTCCTGACTCCGGGCTCTTTCTGGTCCTCGGGGGAGGGGTGCTCTCTCCATGGGAAACCATCTCCCCCGAACCCCACTTCTTTCCATCTTCCCGCTGGAGGGTGTTCCCCACGACCGACTCCTGGGAACCCCTTCCCCTGGCTTGTCCTTGCCCCTGAGCTTCTCAGACAAATGAGAAAATGGTTACCCCCCCCACACACACACACACGGACCAGTTAGGGAGTGAGGGCGGTGTGAGGGGGGCTGGGCCGGCCCTCGAGACGCCCATTGACCACTGGCTGACCCCCCCCACCCCGAAACCTTAGGAGAAACGTCCCCGTGGGTGCGAGGGCCAGGCAGCATCGCCTCACTCTTACCTTGTCTCTCTCCCCGTCTCTCCCCGTCTCTCTCCCCGTCTCTCCCCGTCTCTCTCCTTGTCTCTCTCCCTGTCTCTCTCCCATCTCTCCCCATCTTTCCCCATCTCCCTGTCTCTCTCCCCGTCTCTCCCCACTTCTCTCCCCGTCTCTCCCCGTCTCTCCCCACTTCTCTCCCCGTCTCTCTCCTTGTCTCTCTCCCTGTCTCTCTCCCCGTCTCTCTCCCTGTCTCTCTCCCCGTCTCTCTCCTTGTCTCTCTCCCTGTCTCTCTCCCTGTCTCTCTCCCCGTCTCTCTCCCTGTCTCTCTCCCATCGCTCCCCATCTCTCCTTGTCTCTCGTCTCTCCCCCGTCTCTCCCCGCCCCTCCCCTGCCCGCCCGGCCAGGCGGCTCCGGAGGGCGCTTTTGCCTCGGCGGACGCCCTGCTCAGCAGGCTGGCGGACCCGGCCTCGCTCTGCGGCGCGCTCGACTACCTGGAGCCGGACCTGGCGGAGAAGAACCCCCCGGTGTTCGCTCAGAAGCTGCAGGTGGGCGGCTCCGCGCCTCCGCGGGGGGAGGGCCCGTGGAAACCGCGGGAGCGTGGCCTCGGGGCCTCCGGGGGGGAGGGGGAGGGCCCGTGGAAACCGCGGGAGCGTGGCCTCGGGGCCTCGGGGGGGGGGGAGGGCCCGTGGAAACCGCGGGAGCGTGGCCTCAGGGCCTCCAGGGGGGAGGGCCCGTGGAAACCGCGGGAGCGTGGCCTCGGGGCCTCCGGGGGGGGAGGGGGGGGGGAGGGCCCGTGGAAACCGCAGGAGCGTGGCCTCGGGGCCTCCAGGGGGGAGGGCCCGTGGAAACCGCGGGGGCGTGGCCTCGGGGCCTCCGGGGGGGGGGAGGGCCCGTGGAAACCGCGGGGAGCGTGGCCTCGGGGCCTCGGGGGGGGGGAGGGCCCGTGGAAACCGCGGGAGCGTGGCCTCGGGGCCTCGGGGGGGGGGGGGAGGGCCCGGGGAAACCGCGGGAGCGTGGCCTCGGGGCCTCCAGGGGGGGAGGGCCCGTGGAAACCGCGGGGAGCGTGGCCTCGGGGCCTCCGGGGGGGGGGGAGGGCCCGTGGAAACCGCGGGAGCGTGGCCTCGGGGCCTCCGGGGGGGGAGGGCCCGTGGAAACCGCGGGAGCGTGGCCTCGGGGCCTCCGGGGGGGGGGGGGCCGTGGAAACCGCGGGGGCGTGGCCTCGGGGCCTCCGGGGGGGGAGGGCCCGTGGAAACCGCGGGAGCGTGGCCTCGGGGCCTCCGGGGGGGAGGGCCCGTGGAAACCGCGGGGGCGTGGCCTCGGGGCCTCCGGGCCTCCGGGGGGAAGGGCCCGTGGAAACCGCGGGAGCGCGGGCCTCGGCGGCCTGGACGCCGGGAGGTGGGGGGGGGGGGTCCGTGGTCCCTGGCGGCTGGGACACCCAGAGGTGGGGGATCCGTGGAAACCGCGGGGAGTGTGGGCCTTGACGGCCGGGACGCCGGGAGGGGGCGAATGAGTGGCCGCTGAGAACGGGGCCCTCCCCACGGGGACATGAGTGTGGGCTCGAACCCGGGACGCCGCGATGTGTGACTGTGGGGAACCGGCCGCGTGTCCCGGCGTGGAGGCCGGGCGGTTGTCTCTCGGCGCTCTGACGGCCCCAGCGCAGCTGCGGGCGGCCCCAGAGCCACGTGCTCCGTGAGGCCGTGCAGCCGCTGTGCACAGGCGGCTCAGTCCGGAGGGAGGGCGTCGGGGCTGGGCCTGCACTGCAGCCGGGACAGCGGCCGGCCCTTCCCAGCCAAACGGAGGCTGCGCACAGGCGCTGTCCGTCCACTGGAGGGCGCTATCAGCCAGCTTTCCACGCAATGAACCGAAGGACAGAGGCCAGAGCGGACCCTGCAGTGAAAACGCTGGTTTTTGTTTAAAAAATTGTTTCCTGTCCACATGCGTGATACTCAGGTTTCAGAAAAAGGACCCTGACCGCGTGGCTTAGGGGCCGAGCGTCGACCTGTGACCCAGGAGGTCAGGGTTCGATTCCCGGTCAGGGCACAGGCCTGGGTTTGGGGCTCCACCCCCAGTGAGGGGTGTGCAGGAGGCAGCCGATCCATGGTTCTCCATGGTGGTTGATATTTCTCTCTCTCACTCTCTTTTTCTCTCTGAAATCAATAAAAAAGTATGTCTCTTTAAATAATAATAACCTCAGAAAAGGGAAATTAAACCCTGTTTCATGATCTGCTGTGGAAGCTGGGGTGCTCCTGAGCACCCATCACAGCCCCCCGGGCACACGGCCCCCCGTGCACACGCCTCCCCGTGCACACACCTCCCCGTGCACACGCCTTCCCGTGCACACGCCCTCCCCGTGCACACGCCTCCCCCTGCACACACCGCCCCGTGCACATGCCCTCCCCGTGCACACGCCCTCCCCGTGCACACGCCTCCCCGTGCACACACGCCTCCCCCTGCACACACCTCCCCGTGCACACGCCCTCCACGTGCACATGCCTCCCCGTGCACACACGCCTCCCCCTGCACACACCTCCCCGTGCACACGCCCTCCCCGTGCACATGCCCTCCCCGTGCACACACGCCTCCCCCTGCACACACCTCCCCGTGCACACGCCCTCCACGTGCACATGCCTCCCCGTGCACACGCCTCCCCGTGCACATGCCTCCCCGTGCACACAGCTGCCCGGGCACATGGCCCCCCGTGCACATGCCTTACCGTGCACATGCCTCTCCCTGCACACACCCTCCCCGTGCACACGCCTCCCTGTGCACATGCCCTCCCCGTGCACACGCCCTCCCCATGCACACGCCCTCCCCATGCACATGCCTCCCCTGCACACGCCTCCCCGTGCACACACCCTCCCCATGTACACGCCTCCCCGTGCACACGCCCTCCCCGTGCACATGCCCTCCCCGTGTACATGCCTCCCCGTGCACACGCCCTCCCCGTGAACATGCCCTCCCCGTGTACATGCCTCCCCGTGCACACGCTCTCCCCGTGTACACGCCCTCCCCGTGCACATGCCCTCCCCGTGTACACGCTCTCCCCGTGTACACGCCTCCCCGTGCACACGCCCTCCCCATGCACATGCCCTCCCCGTGCACACGCTCTCCCCGTGCACACACCTCCCCGTGCACACACCTCCCTGTGCACACACACCTCCCTGTGCACACGCCCTCCCCGTGCACACACCTCCCCGTGCACACGCCCTCCCCGTGCACATGCTCTCCCCGTGCACACACCTCCCCGTGCACACACCTCCCCGTGCACACACCTCCCCGTGCACACGCTCTCCCCGTGTACACGCCCTCCCCGTGCACACTCCCTCCCCGTGTACACGCCTCCCCGTGCACACGCCCTTTCCCGGAGCCGGGCCGGCTCACTCCGCTCCGGCCCTCCGGCAGGAGGAGCTGGAGTTGGCTGTCATGCGGATCGAGGCGCTGAAGCTGGCCCGGCAGATCGCGCTGGCCTCCCGCAGCCGCCAGGATGCCCAGGTACCGCGGCCGCGCCGCTGCCTGCAGAACGGTGTGGCCCAGCGCTTCCTCTAACCGTCGGCCGGCCTTCTAGATGCTCACTGCCTGTGCGTGCGGGAACACGCCTGAGCACGTGTCTGAGGCCTAACTCGTGTGGGGAGCCCTCCGAGCCGGGAGGACACGGGCGGGGCATGCAGGGTGTCTGCCTGGCTTCCGGCGTTTGTTCTTAACCGTCGGAGCGAGTCGCTGGTGACCGTGAGAGGGCGTGTGCCCCGTGAGGCTTGGCCCACCAGGGCCGGGCGGCCAGGGATCCTGACGTGGGGACCAGGCCGGACCAGTGTGCCCGGTCGCCCTGACCGACGTGGTGAGTTTGCTGGTTGCTGTGAGGACTGCAAGTGATGTGTAGAGCCGCGCTGTGCCTGGCGCACAGTAGGTGTGCAGGACGTGAGCACTGCTCACACAGTAGGTGTGCAGGGTGTGAGTGCTGCTGCACACAGTAGGTGTGCAGGGTGTGAGTGCTGCTGCACACAGTAGGTGTGCAGGGTGTGAGTGCTGCTGCGCACAGTAGGTGTGCAGGATGTGAGTGCTGCTCACACAGTGGGTGTGCAGGGCGTGATAGCTGCTCACACAGTAGGTGTGCAGGACATGAGCGCTGCTGTGCATAGTGGGTGTGCAGGACGTGAGCGCTGCTCACACAGTGGGTGTGCAGGACGTGAGCGCTGCTCACACAGTGGGTGTGCAGGACGTGAGTGCTGCTCACACAGTGGGTGTGCAGGACGTGAGCGCTGCTCACACAGTGGGTGTGCAGGACGTGAGCACTGCTCACACAGTAGGTGTGCAGGGTGTGAGAGCCGCTCACACAGTAGGTGTGCAGGGTGTGAGAGCCGCTCACACAGTGGGTGTGCAGGACGTGAGCGCTGCTGTGCATAGTGGGTGTGCAGGACGTGAGCGCTGCTCACACAGTGGGTGTGCAGGACGTGAGCGCTGCTCACACAGTGGGTGTGCAGGACGTGAGCGCTGCTCACACAGTGGGTGTGCAGGACGTGAGCGCTGCTCACACAGTGGGTGTGCAGGACGTGAGCGCTGCTCACACAGTGGGTGTGCAGGACGTGAATGCTGCTCACACAGTAGGTGTGCAGGGTGTGAGAGCCGCTCACACAGTGGGTGTGCAGGACGTGAGCGCTGCTGTGCATAGTGGGTGTGCAGGACGTGAGCGCTGCTCACACAGTGGGTGTGCAGGACATGAGCGCTGCTCACACAGTGGGTGTGCAGGACGTGAGCGCTGCTCACACAGTGGGTGTGCAGGGCCGTGGAGCAGCCGCAGCTCACTGCGGGGACCACCTCACGGCCGGGTCCCTGCCTGCCTGTGTGCCTCTCGGGGGCCTAACTGGTCTCCGCTCCTCTCCATTTAACTCCGCTGTGTCCCAGGCCTGTGCCCGGACCCAGGGAAGCCGCTCCGTCCTACAGGGCGCCCTCTGCTGGTGGCCGCTGGCCCTGCCATCGTCTCCACTGCTGTTTGCACAGCCCCCTGGGTGCTCTTCCTGAGCTGTCTTCCTCCGGCCCCGCACGGCCCCGCACGGCCCGAGGTGGCGGCTCCCCGCTCAGCTCCTAAACCCGGGCAGACGCCGCGCACAGCGATGCCCGTCAGAGCCGGGTGGGGGGGTGGCTGGACAGGACGGAGCGGGCGGCGGGTGTGCCGTGTGCAGTGACGCTGGACTGACCCTGGCTGTGCAGTGGGGCGTGTTCCTAACACGGCTTTTCACGTGTGTTGTTCTGTGAGAGGGAGGGAGAGGGACCACCCCGGTCCAGGTCTAACCTGCCCGGGGCGGGGGGAGAGCCACAGGGTGCCCCATGCTTCCAAACGGAGCTGAACAAATTCCAAACAAAATGAGGACAGAAATGACCGGATCTGCCCTGGCCAGTGTGGCTCAGTGGATAGCGCGTCGGCCTGCCCACCCAAGGGTCCAGGGTTCCATTCCGGCCAAGGGCATGTATCTTGATTATGGGCCCCTCCCCGGCCCTGGCCGGGGCACAGGCAGGAGCAACCCATCGAAGTGTTTCTCTCGCATCGATGTTCCTCTCTCTTCCACTCTCTTCACTCTCCCTAAGAACACCCCCGGGCGGGGATAAAACACAGAAACACCCCTCCTGCCTTCATCCCAGCCCCGGCCGCGTGGCTGGGACTCGGCCTCGCTCCCTCCGGGTGCTCACGGTCTCCCCGTGGCCTCCGTCCCGCTGACACATCGCCGGGCAGCGGCCACCGGACCACTCGGCTCCGGGCCGGGAGCCGGGAGCCGGGAGCCTCCCAGCACCGGCCTGCCCGCGGGCGCCCCGGGGGTCTCCGTCGGCTGTGCCCGCCGCCGTCTCGCACCCGGGACGCGCTGTTCGGAAACCGCCCGGCTGGCCGTGCCCGATGGACGGAGCCCCGGCCAGGACTGAGCGAGCTTTTGTTTTAACGGAACTCCGTCCGCAGAGGGAAGCTGTGCACCCGGCCGAGGTCTCCCTCTCCAAAGCGGCCCTGTACTCCCGCCTGGCGCCCGCGGAGCCCGAGAAGGCGCCCGGCCTCCTGTTCCCGCCGCCCGACCTGGACTCCGCGCTGCAGGTGGCCCGGGCCGAGGTACGCGGGGGCGGCAGGGGCGGCGGGCCAGGCTGGGGGGGCAGTGGGGGCGGCGGGGGGCGGCGGGCCAGGCTGGGGGGCGGGGCGGGGGGGGGCGGCGGGCCAGGCTGGGGGGCGGGGCGGGGGCGCTGGGGGCGGTGGGACGGGCGGGGGGGCAGGCAGGGGTGGTGGGCGGGGGCGGGCAGGGGCAGGGCCAGGCTGGGGGGCGGTGGGCGGGGGCGCCGGGGCGGGGGGCTGGGGGTGGTGGGCCAGGCTGGGGGGCGGCAAGCGGGGGTGGCGGGCGGCGTCAGTAAACAAGTGCCCACGTCAACTTTGGACCTGACTTCCCCTCTGACATCGCAGCCTCAGGAGGCGCGAGCTGTGGGGTTTGATCTTTTTAATGCGATTGTTTCTCTCATTTTGTTTTTCAAATAGATTTTATTGATGTCAGAGAGGAAGGAAGAGGGAGGGAGAGAGGGAGGAGAGAGGGGAGGGACAGAGAGAGAGAGGACCGGCTGCCTCCTGCACGCCCCCCACTGGGGATCGAGCCTGGAACCCGGCGACCAGGAATCGAACCCTGACCTTCTGGTTCCCAGGTCAACACTCAAACCCTGAGCCCTCGGCCGCTCCACACGGCTGTCCAAGGAGCCTTTCCGGCCGCTGGCTTTGTAACCGGTTGCACCCGGCGGGCGTGTGGAAGCCCGGGTCCGGCCTCAGGCTGCCCGGCGCTCCCGGGGCTCGGACGCAGTCACTGGCGGCGGACGCTGCAGGCCACGCCGAGCGCTGGCCGCGTGCGTCCGGCGCTGCTCGGGCCCTCCTCCGCCCGGGCCCACGTTCCCTCTCTCCCCGGTGCCAGGTCCTCGCCAAGGAGAGGGAGGTCTCCGAGTGGAAGGCCAAGCACGAGGAGAGCCGGCGCGAGGTCATGGAGATGAGGTCAGTGCGGCACGGCCGGTCCCTCCGGTCCCTCCGTGTGCCCTCAGCCGCACCGGGTGCTTAGTCTCACGGCAGGAGGCCACCGGGCAACCAGATGTCCACAATGAGACCCCCACACACACACACATACCCCCGTTCCCTCTCTGCCCCCAGCTCCACGCCCCTCCCAGCATTTCCCGTTTCTGATGCAAACATGCCACGTGTGTGCTTAGCGTGTCCTGGGCAGAGTCAGATAAACGCCATGGTCCCGGGGAGAAGTCCGGAGGGCTGCTGGAGGAGGAGGCGTTGGCCTGGGCCGTGGGGAACGGGAGGCTGGCGGGGAGGAAGGAGGGAAACCACAGCACAGCATGGCAGAGGTCCGAGGAGCCTCTGCTCCCTAGACCACAGGGCTGAGAGCCGGCGTGGCTGGCGGTCAGAGGGGGAGCCGGGCCCGGCCTCAGGTCTCTCTTCGTGGGCGTGGGGAGACCCTGAAGGCTTTGCCCGGGGCGTGGTGTGAGTGGCATTGGCACCGGGACCGGGAGCCGGGGGTGCGCACGGAGAGGGCGGGAGAGGCGGGTCCAGGCCTGCCCTCGGTCCGGCGGCCGATGTCCAGCACGCAGCCCCGTGTGACGTGGGAAAGCCGTGCTGTCCTCACGGTGCCCACACGTGTGCTTCTCCTGCAGGAAGATCGTGGCCGAGTACGAGAAGACCATCGCTCAGATGATAGGTGGGTGTCCTGCCCGGGGGCTCCGGGCCCCTCATCGGGCGTCCCTGGCTCTGCCCGGCAGGGGGTTCGGGGCTGGGCCTCCTGGACGCACTGTCCGACGCCCCTCCCCCTGACCAGCCTGGGGCCCGCCTCCTGGGGCCGGGGGCCGGGTGGTCCTGGGGGCGGCGAGAGTCTCGCCTGGCAGGACGCCCCTCGGCCTCCCCTGGGCCCAGATGGGCTGGGAGAGTGGTGGCCCCCGCCCGCCGGCCCACCCGCCCGAGGCTCCCCTTGGGGTGTGCGCGCCTGGTCTGACCAGCACTGTCTCTCTGGGCCGGCCGCGGCCCCGGGCTCACAGCACGGCCTCCGGCAGCAGCCGTGGCGACTCGGCCGCGAGGCCCCGGGCCCCGGGCCGGTGGGACGTGCACACGGCTGGTCTGTTGTCCTTCGTGAGGGAGGTCTGCAGAGCCCAGGCCGGTGTTCCTACGAATGGTCACCCCCGAGGGGGTAGCTTCCTGTTTGTTTATTCATTTATTTATTTATTTGCTCAGGTCAGTGGTCGACAAACTCATTAGTCGACAGAGCCAAATATCAACAACTTCTGCGCATGGGCCGCAAAGTTTCAATCGCTCTGCACGTGTGTGCCCCCATGTGGTATTTCGTGGAAGAGCCACACTCAAGGGGCCAAAGAGCCGCGTGTGGCTCTCGAGCTGCAGTTTGCCGACCACTGGCCTAGGTCCACGTCACGTTTTAAAAATAATCTTCCAGCCTGGCCCGGGGTCCAGTGGTCAGCACGCCCGCCCCACACACCAAAGGGTCTCGGTTCGATTCTGGTCAAGGACACAGACCTCGATCGCAGTCTCCATCCCCAGCCCCAAAGGAGGGATCTCCCTGTCTCCCCTCCTCCCTTCCACCCTCTTACAAAGTCAGTCCAAAATGTCCTGGTGAGGATGAACAAAACGTAAAAATCTCCTCCTCCTGTGGACGTGGAGGGGAAGGGGTCCGAGCGCCCGGCCGGTCCGAGCGAGTGGAGTTGTGTCCTGAGTTGAACCAGCTTCCACCATCCCCTGCCTCCACCCCCGCCGCCGGCTGGCCCTTCCCGCTCCATCGGCCCGCCATCCTGCTGTCCCCCCACCTGCTCCCGCAGAGGATGAGCTCAGGGCTAGGGGTTCAGGACGAGGGGCCTCCGCCTGCATTGGGGCGCTCGGCTGCTTCTCTAACTGCCTGACCATGTTCTGCTTCCGTTTTCTGTTGCTTCTGCCCTTTGCTTGCAAACTGCTCAGGCAAGCCAGGTAAGTACCGCTCCCTGATTGGCGCCTGCCCCGCACCCGGTCCGTGTGCTCCCGTGTGCTCTGTGTGCTGTCCATGTGCTCCCATGTGCTCTCCGTGTGCTGTCCGTGTGCTCCCGTGTGCTCTCTGTGTGCTTCCGTGTGCTGTCTGTGTGCTCCCGTGTGCTCTCCGTGTGCTCTCCGTGCGCTCCCGTGTGCTCTCTGTGCTGTGTGTGCTCCCGTGTGCTCTCTGTGTGCTGTCCGTGTGCTCCCGTGTGCTGTCCGTGTGCTCCCGTGTGCTCTCTGTGTGCTGTCCGTGTGCTCCCGTGTGCTCTCTGTGTGCTGTCCGTGTGCTCCCGTGTGCTGTCCGTGTGCTCCCGTGTGCTCTCTGTGTGCTCCATGCTCGCTCCTTTCCTATGTGTTGGCTGCGTCCCACCTGATTCACCGCGTTTTGCTGACGAAAGCCGGCCGGTCTCCGGGACGGGGTGGGGGCGGAGCCCGAGCTCGGGTCCCGATCGGAGGAGCCTGCACCTGCGATTGTGCGAGAAGACGGGGCGACCACCGCCTGGTCCCCTGAGCCGAGGCTCTGCTTTTACGGGGGGCCGGGGGGCTCCGGGGGGCCCGTGAGGTCAGCATCCCCACGGGGCCCGGGCGGCGTCCACACCTCAGCGGCCGGCGTGGGTGCCGCCCGGAGCCGGCCCGGCGCCGAGGCCCGAGCTCCAGGGAGAGGGGCTCGTGGCCGCGCCGGTTGGGGCCGCTCTGCTCTGGCCGAACGTCCGCTCCCTCGGGGCCACGGCACCGGCTGGGCCGGCCGCGGGCGGTGACGCGTGCCCGAGCGGGCTCCGTGGGCGGCGGCTGGTGTGGGTCAGGCTCCCCGTGCCGGTGCCGGTGCCGGGAGGAGGCGGAGCGGGGGCTGCAGCCGGCCCGGTGTCGGCTCTCTGCGGCTCTTCCCTGCCGACAGCGGGCATCTTCCGGGCTGGGGTCCCCCAGGTGTGCTCCCCACCTGGGCGCGTGCCACCCTCAGATGCCAGTTCTCGTCCCCCTTCCCCCCCACGTCTTCATGACGTCAGGGAGGACGGAGAGGGAGAGATGGAAATGTTAATGATGAGAGAGAACCGTGGACCGGCTGCCTCCTGCACGCCCCACCCTGGGGATGGAGCCCGCTACCCTGGCCTGTGTGCCCTGACGGTGATCGAATCCTGACCTCCGGGTTCATAGGTCAACACTCACCCCTGAGCCACGAGGCGGCGGTCTCTTTATGGTGACCCGCTCAGGAGGGCACGCCCCTCCTTTCCCCCCCAGCCCCAATGCAGGCCCCTCCGCCCCACTGCAGGCCCCCCAGCCCCAATGCAGGGCCCCCCCCGCCCCAATGCAGGCCCCTCCGCCCCACTGCAGGCCCCCCAGCCCCAATGCAGGGCCCCCCCAGCCCCAATGCAGGGCCCCCCCAGCCCCAATGCAGGGCCCCCCCAGCCCCAATGCAGGGCCCCCCCAGCCCCAATGCAGGCCCCTCCAGCCCCACTGCAGGCCCCGTCACTCTTGCCCCCCCCCCCCCACGGCTCAGGGTGACGTTTCTCTCGCCTGCGGGTCTGTTTGCTGTCAGCCAGGTGGACCCACGGCGTCTCCTCTGGATTTCCCATCGGGACAGAGAACAGGGCTCACGCCCTCCCCGTGCGACACGGCGCCCGCCCGGGCCCGGGTGCGGGGCCCTGGGGCTGGTGCCCTGAGCGTGCGGGGGCTCGGAGCGGGGTCCCGCCCGCGGTGAGGCTGAGGCCCGCCCGGGTCCCGGCCCCACGGCTCCTGTCTCCCCCGCAGAGGACGAGCAGCGGGAGAAGTCGGTCTCCCACCAGACGGTGCAGCAGCTGGTGCTGGAGAAGGAGCAGGCCCTGGCCGACCTCAACTCCGTGGAGAAGTCCCTGGCGGACCTCTTCCGGAGGTACGAGAAGATGAAGGAGGTGCTGGAGGGCTTCCGCAAGGTGCGTGCGCGGCGGAGGGGGGCGGGGCAGAGGGAGATGGGGGCGGGGCAGAGGGAGAGGGGGGGGGGGCAGAGGGAGATGGGGGCGGGGCAGAGGGAGATGGGGGCGGGGCAGAGGGAGAGGGGGGCGGGGCGGGCTAGGGAGATGGAGAGGCAGGAGAGGGGACGGGGCAGAGGGGGATGGGGGAGGGCAGAGGGAGATGGAGGCGGGGCCAGCGGCGAGATGGGGGCGGGGCCAGCAGGCGAGATGGGGGCGGGGCAGAGGGAATGGGGGCGGGGCAGCAGCGGGAGAGGGAGAGGGCAGAGGGATGGGCGGGGCGGGGGCGGGAGGGAGGTGGTGGGAGGGGCGAGGGCAGGGCAAGAGGGGAGATGTGGGGCGGGGCAGAGGGAGATGGGGGCGGGGCATGGGGGAGATGGGGGCGCGGGCAGAGGGAGATGGAGGGCGGGGCCAGAGGGAGATGGGGGATGGGCGAGGGAGATGGAGGCGGGGCAGAGCGGAGTGATGCGGGGCGGGGCAGAGGGAGATGGGGGCGGGGCAGAGGGAGAGGGGGGCGGGGCAGAGGGAGATGGGGGCGGGGCAGAGGGAGAGGGAGATGGGGCGGGGCAGAGGGAGATGGGGGGGGGCAGAGGGAGATGGGGGGCAGAGGGAGAGAGGGGAGGAGATGGGGGGGGCAGAGGGAGGCAAGGGGGCGGGGGAGGGGAAGAGGGAGATGGGGCGGGGCAGAGGGAGAGGGGGGCGGGGCAGAGGGAGATGGGGGCGGGGCAGAGGGAGATGGGGCGGGGCAGAGGGAGATGGGGCGGGGCAGAGGGAGATGGGGGCGGGGCAGAGGGAGATGGGGGCGGGGCAGAGGGGGCTGATGGGGGCGGAGGCGAGAGGAGACAGAGGGAGAGATGGGGGGGCGCGGGCAGAGGAGATGGGGCGGGGCCAGAGGGAGATGGGTGCGGGTGCCGAGGGCGATGGGGCGGGGGCCAGCCGCGGGAGATGGGAGTCAGTTGGCTCGGCCGTCTGGGGCTGGCCCCCGGCCCCTCGGCCTTCCTGTGGGAGGAGCCGGCGCGGAGGCTCAGGGTGGGGCTCAGAGAGGGCGGGCACCTGCCGCGTCACACGGCTGAGCGGGTGCAGACGGACAGTTCGGCTCCGAGGCCTCCCTCGGGCGGACGGAGACCCTCGGGACCTCAGGCCCCGTAACCCTGCGGCCGCCCATGGGGCCCCGCCTGAGCGTCCCCTCGCGCAGAACGAGGAGGTGCTGAAGAAGTGCGCCCAGGAGTACCTGTCCCGCGTGAAGAAGGAGGAGCAGCGGTACCAGGCCCTGAAGGTGCACGCGGAAGAGAAGCTGGACAGGTGAGCGGCTCCCACAGGCGGCTCCGGGCCGGGGGCCGGGGGCCGGCCGGCGGCCTCGCTGGGCGCTCAGGACGGTTGTGATGAGCTCGCCCGCGGCGGGGGTGTGCTGGCGAAGGGTGCGAGCAGGGCGCCCGCCCTGGCCCCTCGGCGTCGGGACGGTGGGTGCGGATGGGGTGTCTCCTGGGCGCCTGGCTGGGCCTCGGTAGGTGGAGCCGGAGCCGGACGGCGGGGAGGAGGGGGCCGTTCCTGAGCGCCCCCTCGCGCAGGGCCAACGCTGAGATCGCCCAGGTGCGGGGCAAGGCCCAGCAGGAGCAGGCCGCCTACCAGGCCAGCCTGCGCAAGGAGCAGCTGCGGGTGGACGCCCTGGAGCGGACGCTGGAGCAGAAGGTACGGGCGTGGCCTCGGGCGGGCGGCCGGCCGGACCCGGGGCCTCTGGGCTGGGGAACGCTCCGTGTCCGGCCTCATTTAATCTCAGAAAGAGACGCCGCCATCCTCCCTTAGACAGGGAGCCGAGGCTCAGAGAGGGCGTGTGACCCGCCCGAGGCCACACAGCCGGAGCCGGGGTCCCGATCACTGGCTCTAACTCATTTCTCAGGGACCAAGAGGTCGAAGGTCCCTTAAAATCCAATGACGGCCCGGCCGGTGCGGCTCAGTAGCTGAGCATTAACCTAGGAGCCGGGAGGTCCCAGTTCCACTCCCCATCAGGGCACAGGCCCGGGTTGTGGGCTCGGTCCCCAGTGCGGGGCGTGCGGGAGGCGGCCCATCAGTGATCCTCTCTCATCGTGGATGTTTCTCTTCCTCTCCCTTCCTCTCGGACATCAATAAACTTTTTTATTTTTTATTTTTATTTTTTTTAATTTTAATTTTTAAAATATATTTTATTGATTTTTTACAGAGAGGAAGGGAGAGAGATAGAGAGAAACATGGACCAGCTGCCTCTTGCACACCCCCTACCGGGGATGTGCCCGCAACCAACATACATGCCCCTGACCGGAATCGAACCTGGGACCTTTCAGTCCGCAGACCGACGCTCTACCGCTGAGCCAAACCGGTTTCGGCTAAACTTTTTTTTTTTTTAATCCAACGACCGTTCTGCTGGGCTTGGCTTCAAACCACCAAGCGGCTTCCTCTCTGTTTCCCGTCTTCACCTGCAGAACAAAGAGATCGAGGAGCTCACCAAGATCTGCGATGAACTGATCGCCAAAATGGGGAGGAGCTAACTCTGAGCCAAACGTCTGGCCTTGACCGTTGCGTGCAATACGCCCATCGGCGCCTGCTGCGCCCCCGGCCGCGGCCGTCGGGGTGCGTTTTCCCGGCGTCGGAGCCGGTCCGGTCCCCACGGAGGACGCGCCGGCTGGCCTTGCCCTCTGACCTGCGTCCCCAGGGGCGTGGCTCTTGGATTTCCTGTGACCACGGACTGCTTGCACAGGGACCCTTGCCTTAAGGAGTGTACACTTCACCGCGGTGGGAGGAGAAAATGCATGTTCGGGTTCAGTTCTCTGTTGTAAATAAAGTTTTTTTGATCTTGGCAACGCGCGGGCTCCGGTGGTTTTCGGGGGAGCGCCGTCGCCCTCACTGCGCGCAGCCCAGGCAATTCCCCCGTGGCCGTGGCTCCTCCCCCCACGGTGAGGGCGGTCCCTTCGCGGCCGTGGCTCCTCCCCCCACGGTGAGGGCGGTCCCTTCGCGGCCGTGGCTCCTCCCCCCCACGGTGAGGTCAGTCCCTTCGCGGCCGTGGCTCCTCCCCCCGCGGTGAGGGCGGGCCCTTCGCGGCCGTGGCTCCTCCCCCCACGGTGAGGTCAGTCCCTTCGCGGCCGTGGCTCCTCCCCCCGCGGTGAGGGCGGTCCCTTCGCGGCCGTGGCTCCTCCCCCCACGGTGAGGCGGTCCATTCGCGGCCGTTGGCTCCTCCCCCCACGGTGAGGGCGGGCCCCTTCGCGGGCCGTGCGCCTCCTCCCCCCACGGTGAGGGCGGGCCCTTCGCGGCCGTGGCTCCTCCCCCCACGGTGAGGGCGGTCCCTTCGCGGCCGTGGCTCCTCCCCCCCACAGTGAGGGCGGGCCCTTCGCGGCCGTGGCTCCTCCCCCCGCGGTGAGGGCGGGCCCTTCGTGGCCGTGGCCGCTGTGAGTGGGAACGGAAGAGACGTGGCCTCAGGAGTCGGGGGTTGGAACCGGCCTGGGCTCTGCTCTCGGTGTCTCTTCGGGGTCAGGCAGGTCCGGGGGCCGGAGGCGGGCTCTCCCTGAAAGGCACGTCCATTGTAACGTGGGAGCCGGTGAACAGTCTTCCCTTCAGGTCTGCCAACATGGAACTCACACAGACAACACACAGCCAACACACACCAAACACATACACCCAACACATACACAACACACAGCCAACACACACCAAACACATACACCCAACACATACACAACACACAGCCAACACACAGCCAACACATACACCCAACACATACACAACACACAGCCAACACACACCAAACACATACACCCAACACATACACAACACACAGCCAACACACACCAAACACATACACCCAACACATACACAACATACAGCCAACACACAACATGCACAACACACCCTCAACACACACCCCAACACATATACACAACACACAACACACAACATGTGCAACACACAACACACATAAAACACACACGTATACACACAACACACATACAATAATTACACACAACACATGCACCCTACACACATCCCAACACACCAAATACACACAACACACACCAAATACACATAGCAAACACAACATACACAGCACGCATCAAACACACAAAATAATTACACACAACGTACATGCCACACACAGACACACACAACACACCCCAGCGCACGCCCTGGGCCTCGGCTCTGGCCCTCGGGGACGTGTGCCCAGGTCACACACAGCACGGGCATCGCGACCGTGGCACAGCTCCCGTTTCCACGTGAACCTGCCCGTCAAACCACAGCTGGACAGAGGGAGCCGGGGCCCAGGACGCAGCGGGGGGCGGAGCTGGGGGCCAGCCTCCCCCCACAGAGGGGCTGGACGGTGAGGCCGGGCTCCATGGCCGTTTTCCAGAACCTTCCAGGCCGCCCTGCGCGGTGAGGAGCTGGGCACCTCGGGAAAGGGGATGACCCTGACCCCCCAAGGAGAGAGGCTGGGTGTGTGTGTGTGTGTGTGTGTGTGTGTGTTATGTGGGGCTCTGGGCGCACCGCCCGCCTGCAGCCCAGCTGTGCGGACAGCTGTGTGGAGACCAGGCCGGAGTGTGTGTGTGTGTGTGTGTGTGTGTGTGTGTGTGATGTGGGGGCTCTGGGCGCACCACCTGCCTGCAGCCCAGCTGTGCGGACAGCTGTGTGGAGACCAGGCCGGAGTGTGTGTGTGTGTGTGGTGTGTGTGTGTGTGTGTGTGTGTGATGTGGGGGCTCTGGGCGCACCGCCCGCCTGCAGCCCAGCTGTGCGGACAGCTGTGTGGAGGCCAGGCCGGAGTGTGTGTGTGTGTGTGTGTGTGTGTGTGTGTGTGTGTGATGTGGGGGCTCTGGGCGCACCGCCCGCCTGCAGCCCAGCTGTGCGGACAGCTGTGCGGAGGCCGGGCCGGAGTGTGTGTGTGTGTGTGTGTGTGTGTGTGTGATGTGGGGGCTCTGGGCGCACCACCTGCCTGCAGCCCAGCTGTGCGGACAGCTGTGTGGAGGCCAGGCCGGAACGGGAGCTCTCGGAATGTCCCGGAGTCGCCACGGCGCCCACAGCACCAGGAAGCTGAGGGCAGCCTTCGCGGAGTACGCAGTCCTGCAGGGAGACAGCCAGCCGGACACAGACAACCCTGTGGACGCACACGGAGCGTGAGTGTGGCCGCTCCTCAGCCCCGTCCTCCCCCCTCCCACCGGCTGCGGGGGGCCTGGGGTTCGGGCTGGGGGCAGAGGGCCGGAGGCAGAGGGGCTGGGGGCCGGGACCATCGCAGGAGCGGGTCTGACCGGCCTGGTCCCTCCTCGGGGGACGGGAGAACCTGCTTGTCTCTGGTTTGCTTCCAGGAGCCCCTTCCCCGCAGAGAACTGTCTGCCTCCTGACGCTGCTACACCCAGCCCGGCCGCGGGGCGCGGGGCTGAGCTGGACCTGGGGGCCGGGCCCCGGTTAGACCCCTGGCCGGGCCCAGGGAGCGCGGGTGCGCAGGAGGCAGCCGATCCACCTTTCTCTCTCATCACTGATGTTTCTCTCTCTCCGTCCCTCTCCCCTCTCTGAAATAAAAAAAAATATAGTAAAAACTAGATAATCTCTTGATTTGATAAACACCCCACACTCCTTGGTACTTTTGTGGCAAAATACAGATTCTTCAGGCCCGTTTCCTCCACAGTAACTGGAGGAAGCCCTCGGAACGTCTTTTAAAATGTCTTCAGCTGGCCCAGGCCGGTGTGGCTCAGTGGGCAGAGCGTCAGCCTGTGGACTGAAGGGTCCCGGGTTCGATTCTAGTCAAGGGCATGTACGTTGGTTGCAGGCACATAGCCAGTGGGGGGTGTGCAAGAGGCAGCTGATGGATGTTTCTCATCGATGTTTCTAGCTCTCTCTCTTCTCCCTTCCTCTCTGTAAAAACTCAATAAAATATATTTAAAATAATAATAATAATAAAATGTCTGCAGCTGGCCGCGGTGGCTGAGGGGCAGGGCGTCGGCCTGGGAACCTCTGACATCAGTAAAAATGTGGTTTTTAAAAAAGGAGAATGTAAACATCACCCGCTGTGTCTTCCAGGTGCCTTCCCTCCTCCCCCTGAGTCCTCGCTGCCGTTGGCGAAGATGCTGAACCCGGTGAGTGGCCGCCGTGCGGGAGCCGCAGCCCGTCCCCGGGGTCCGTGCCCGCGGCCGCTCTGTGGCCGAGGGGTCCGAGGGCGGGGCCGGAGCGGACTGCCCTGCGGGACCCCGATTCCACATCCCCACCACCCCCCGCGCGCCGGGCCCTGGACCTATTTTATCATTGTAGTTATTTTAAAATATATCTTTATTGGCATCAGAGAGGAGGGAAGAGGGGGAGAGAGAGACAAACATCAATGGTGAGAGGCAATCAGGGACTGGCCGCCTCCTGCACGCCCCCTACTGGGGATGGAACCCCGCCCGGGCCTGGGCCCTGACCTCCTGGTTCATAGGCTGATGCTCCTGAGTGGTTTGAACCAGCAGCATGCCTGGGTTGTGGGTTCGATCTCTCTCTCTCCCTTCCTCTCTGACGTCAATAAGAACATAAAACATTTACAGCTAGAACAGCAGACCGGCAGGAGCAGCAAGCAGATTGCCGGTTCCAGGAGCCGGGGTCGGGGTCGGGGGTCCGGGTGGGGGTCCAGGCTTCCTGTGGGGAGTGAAATCCCTGATCGGGTGCTGGTGGCTGACAGCCTGGCGCGCACCGAACGCCACTGAGCGGACCCGGGAGACGGACACGATTTAAAACACAGCTGGCCGCCGGCGGCCCTCCACCTGGCCTCCCGGACCACGGCCCGGTGAGGACTCGCCCGGCGGCTCCCGGGGCCTCTGCCCGGGCCGCCTCTGGGTCTGCACCTTCTCCCAGACCCGCAGCCTCAGCCCTCCGGTCCCGGGTCCGAGTCTCTGGGCCTCAGCCTCTGGCCGAGCGGATCCGCCCGGAGCAGAGGCTCATGGCTGGGCTGGCCGTGTGCGCACAGACCGCACTGGCGTGTGCGGCCGTGCTTCCCGCCGTGCCTTCGGGAGGCCGCACGCGTGTGGGGCTGAGACGCCGTGGGGACGGGACGGCACGCGTGTGGGACTGAGAAGCCTTGGGGACGGGACGGCACGCGTGTGGGACTGAGATGCCCTTTCCTCCCTCCTGTTCCCCAGAAGCAGAGGGCGCGGCCGGAGCGACAGGTGGCCGGCACCACCAACCGCTGGCGCCTGTCGGCCAAGCCCTTCACGCGGGACCTGCTGGCGCTGTCCCAGATGTGCAAGGCCATGTGCCTGGACGTGGACAACACGCTGCCCGCCCCGGACAGGTAGGGGCCGCGCCCGCCCTCCCTCCGTGGCTCAGGCACCGTCGCTCTCCGCGCTGGGCTCTTCTGCACCACACGTGCCTGATCGGGACTCGAACCCTGACCTCCCGGTTCATAGGTCGATGCTCACCCCTGAGCCACGCCGGCCGGGCCCTCCCAGCGCCTTCGCCCTGAAGTGCCCGCCGCCTGCCCCGGGCATCAGCACCGCAGAGCCCGCCCCACGCGGGCGTCTGGGCCGGCAGCCAGGCCCCGGCTGGGCCGCCGTCTGGCACCTCCCGCCCGGGTGACGGTGATGTTTGCCAGGCCGCTGAGCTCATGGGCGCGCCCTCGCTTCCTCCGCCCGGGCTCTGTTTTGGGACCCGGGTCTGAACCCTGACCTCGCAGCTCTTCCTGGTCGCCGACCGGGCCGGCGCGGGGTCGGCCCAGGACGGAGCCGGCGCGGGGTCGGCCCAGGACGGAGCCGGCGCGGGGTCGGCCCAGGACGGAGTCGGCGCGGGGTCGGCCCAGGACGGAGCCGGCGCGGGGTCGGCCCAGGACGGAGCCGGCGCGGGGTCGGCCCAGGACGGAGCCGGAGCGGGGTCGGCCCAGGACGGAGCCGGTGCGGGGTCGGCCCAGGACGGAGCCGGTGCGGGGTCGGCCCAGGACCGGGCTGGCGCGGGGTCGGCCCAGGACCGGGCCGGCGCGGGGTCGGCCCAGGACGGAGCCGGCGCGGGGTCGGCCCAGGACGGAGCCGGCGCGGGGTCGGCCCAGGATGGAGCCGGTGCGGGGTCAGCCCAGGACGGAGCCGGCGCGGGGTCGGCCCAGGCCAGGGCTCCGACCATAAACAGCCGCCCTCCTGGCTCCGGAGCCGTGTCACAGGGAGCCGCCTCCCCGGGGAAGGGCCACGGTGTTTGGTCGTGGCCCGGACAGGGGTTCCGGCCCCTGAGCCCCCTCCGCGCACAGCCCCACGGTCCCCGGGGGCGGGGAGAGCCGCCCGGCTAAGGCGACGCCGACAGGTGCGGTGCCGAGGGCCCCGGCTGCCTGCCCTCCAGGGCGGGCACCACCTCAGGCTGCTGCCTCTGTTCAGCGGGCGTTGGTGGTGTCCACGGCATCAGCTCTGTGCGCATCGCTGATCCCTGACGGGCGTTGGCGGCGTCCACGGGGCTGGGCCGGGCTCTGCTGGGGTCAGGTGTGGTGCGGAGGCTGAGGAGGAGGCGCCCCGAGACTGCAGGATGGGGTGCTGCCAGGGCGGGCACCGGCCCAGCTCCCCGGAGAGCAGCCCCTCGCTCGCCCAGCAGGGACCGGGCGTGCCAGTCAGCGGCCAGGGGAGTCCTCCGGGGGCCGAGGGCCGAGTCCAGGGAAAGGGAGCAAGATGGGGGAGGGCGGAGGGGGCGGTCAGGCTGTGAGAAGGATGGGGTGGGGGCCGCAGGAGCCCCTGGCCAGGCTGGGGGCAGCGGGCGAGCAGAAAGGACGGGCCTCAGTGCGGGGCGTGCAGTGCGGGTGCCTCAGGGCAGGAGGGCGGGGTGGGGGGAGGCTGGAGACCTGCGGGGATCGGGGGAGTGATGGTGGCTCAGACGAAGGCCAGAGCAACCAGGCAGAGTGATGGAGGAGCCCAGCTGGTATGGCTCAGGGTGGAGCATCCACCTAGGAACCAGGAGGTCAGGGTCCGATTCCCAGTCAGGGCACAGGCCGGGCTGCGGGCTCCATCCCCAGTGGGGGGCGTGCAGGAGGCAGCCGGTCAATGTTGATGTTTCTCTCTTTCCTTTTCTCTCTCTCTCTCTAAAAAAGAAAAAAAAAAAACCTAACCAATAAAAACCTATAAAAATTGTAAAGAGCGATGGGTGAACCCGGAAGGTAATTGCTGCGTCTGGACACGGGCAGGCCTGGGGCAGCCGGGCCCTTTCCTGAGACAGAACACTGGCAGGGGCTCGGGCTGGCCCGGGTGGGTTCTGGGTTCCGGTTTTGGACCCGTGGAGACAGGGAGTGCAGAGCCTGACAGAAGTGTTCTTGAGTTAACTTCCTGGCAGAGCCCTGAGCCTTTCTCCCTCACATCAGATGTCTCCTGAGCCCTTACTGTGTGCCAGACCCTACTGTGTGCCACACCCTACTGTGTGCCTGACCCTACTGTGTGCCTGACCCTACTGTGTGCCACACCCTATTGTGTGCCTGACCCTACTGTGTGCCTGACCCTACTGTGTGCCACACCCTATTGTGTGCCTGACCCTACTGTGTGCCTGACCCTACTGTGTGCCACACCCTACTGTGTGCCAGACCTACTGTGTGCCTGACCCTACTGTGTGCCAGACCTACTGTGTGCCAGACATTGTTTCAGAGTCTCCGCGACAGAGGGGCCCCCTGGGCACATGTAGCTTCATCTCCTTTCCTGGGAGCAGTCGTCTGACCGCAGACGGGCCTGAGCAGGCGGCCGTGGCAGGTGTGGCCGGCCCGGCAGCCGGTGCCGGAGGCACTGCCTCTGCAGGGATGGAGAAGCCTGTTAACACCTGGGCTTTGTTTTTCCTTGAGGTTGTGCATCCCCCAGATCCAGAAGAAATGCTCCGGGGCGCTGAAGAAGGCTCTGCCGAGCGGGGACGGAGGTGAGTGCCAGGCCGGGCCCGTGGTGGGGGCTGACGTCGGGGACCGTGGTCTCCACGGAGGCACGAGCAGAGGCCACGACAGCCCGGCTCGGCCCGCGGTGTGGCCGGCGCCACCAGTGTCCGCCAGACGTGTGGTGACTGACCACCTGGGCGGACGCACGTTCGGGTGCTAATGGTCATGCCAAAGAGGACACAGCACCCTGGCCGGTGTGGCTCAGTGGACAGAGCGCCGGCCCTCGGACAGAAGGGTTCCGTCCCGGGTTCGATTCTGGTCGGGGCTCCGACCTCGGCTGCAGGTTCCCGGCCCCGGTCAGAATGGGGGCGGGAGGCAGCCCATCGCTGTGTCTCTCTCAGGCGGCGGCTTCTCTCTCTGCTCTGGCCCCCCCCTCCCCCCCCGCCTCTCTAAAACGAACGGAGGGAACTCCCTCAGGAGGGGAAGGGTTAACCACAGAAGCACACGGGAGCCAGACGCTGCCCAGCCGACGTCTGTGCGTGGAGGCTGCACGGGGCGGCCCAGGGTGCTCTGCCCATCCGTCCCGTGTCCGGGGACTTCCTGGGTGACCCAGGACCCTGCCCGGCCCGCCGGCATACCCCGGAGCCAGGGAGCCCCGGGCCTGTCCTCCTGGGGCCGCCTGTTCCGGGGCGGGCGGGGTGGGGGGGGTGCGGGCTGGGGCGGGCGGGGCGGGCGGGGGCGGAGGGGGGGGCGGGCGGGGGGCGGGCTGGCGGGGGGCGGGCGGGGCGGGCGGGGGGCGGGGGGGCGGGGCGGGGCGGGCGGGGGGGGGGGCGGGCGGGGGGCGGGGGGCGGGGGGGGGGGGGGCGGGCGGGGGGCGGGGGGGGGGGGCGGGGGGGGGGGGCGGGGGGGCGGGGCGGGGGGCGGGGGCGGGGCGGGGGGCGGGGGGGCGGGCTGGCGGGCGGGGGGCGGAGGGGGCGGGCGGGGGCGGGGCCGGGCGGGCGGGCGGGGCGGGCGGGGCAGTGGGTGGCCACAGCGCTCCGGCTGCTCCCTCTCCCAGTGGGTGACCTCGAGTGCCTGGGCTTCCAGTGGGAGCTGCACCTGCCCCAGCTCTTCCAGTCCCAGACGCTGACCAAGCTCTACGTCTCGGCCCTGAGCCGGGCCCCCGCCGGCCGCCCGCGGGACCTGGAGCGGGTCCTGACAGGTGCGTCCTCGCCAGCCTCGCGGAGCCGGGCGGCCGGCGGTGGAGCGAGGCCGTGGCGGGGCCTCACTCGGGACTCAGCCCGTCTGCGTCTGAAGTGGGTCACAGCCTCGCTGCGCGCCCAGAAGACGGGGCGGCGCCCAGCCGGCCGGTGGCGGTGAGCGCGGTCGTGGCCGGACCTGTTCACAGGCGGCCGGTCTCACCGCCGGCCGGCGGGCAGGCGGCCGCTCCGGGAAGAGCCGTGGGCTGTGGCGTCTCCGTGGCTCCCCGCGGGGAAGGCCCGGTCTGACGCCACGGTCTCGGCTCCAGGAAGGACTCCATTCCCCCGGAGGCTCTCCCCGGTGCGCCCGGCGGCCCCCAGCCCCGCACCGGCCACCCGGCCCCCCGACCGCCGTGTGCGGGCCCCGCTCCCCTGCCACAGCTGCCGTGTCTCCGGGGGGCTGGGCACGCGTGTCCCTTTGCCTCCGTGTCCGATGCCACGTGTGTGGCTGCCCCGAGGGAGCTGGGCAGAGAGCGGTTCAGACTGGCCTGGAGGGCCCACCCCGTGCTCCCCACGGCTGCCCGCTGCTCACGGCTTCTTGTGAGCCTCAGCTCTTCCCACAGGATCATCCGCAGGCACCGCTGCCCCAGCACGCACGCAGGCACACACACACGTGCGCGCGCACACATACACATGCACACACAAGTGCGCGCGCATACACACACACGCACACGCGCGCACACACAATACACACACACGTGTACGTACGTGCGCGCACACATGCACACACACACACACACACACGCATGCATGCACGCAGCAATGGCGGGGCAAGCTCCAGGCCGGCCCGGGGGTCCTTCCTGCAGTCACCGGGCCCCTCCCTGCCCCCCGCAGTCACTGGGCCCCCCCCCCCCCCCGCCCCCTGCAGTCACCCACCCGCCCCCCCGCCCCCCGCAGTCCACCGGGCCCTCCCCCCCCGCCCCCCGCAGTCACCGGCCCCCCCCCCCCGCCCCCCGCAGTCACCGGGCCCTCCCGCCCCCCGCCCCCCGCCAGTCACACCGCCCCCCCCCCCCCCCCGCCCCCCGCAGTCACCGGGCCCCCCCCCCGCCCCCCGCAGTCACCGGGCCCCCCCCCGCCCCCCGCAGTCACCGGGCCCTCCCCCCGCCCCCCGCAGTCACCGGGCCCTCCCCCCGCCCCCCGCAGTCACCGGGCCCCTCACCCCCCCCACACCCGCAGTCACCCCGCCACCGCACCCCCCCCGCCCCCGCAGAACCCCGCCACTCCCGACCCCCCCCCCCCCCGCAGTCACCGGCATCCCCCCGCCCACCCCCGCCCCCCGCATCACCGGCAGCCCCCCCCCGCCCCCCGCAGTCACCGGGCCCTCCCCCCGCCCCCCGCAGTCCACCGACGCCCCCCGCCCGCCCGCAGTCACCGGGCCCCCCGACCCCGCCCCCCGCAGTCACCGGGCATCCCCCCCGCCCCCCGCAGTCACCGGGCCCTCCCCCCCCCCGCCCCCCGCAGGGCCGCCGGCCGAGAAGGCCCCAGAGCAATCCCGCGTGAAGAGGCTCACCATCGCCCTGAGGATCAACGACCCGCTGGTCACCAAGCTGGGTAAGGCCGGCCTGTGTTTGTGTGTGTGTGTGTGTGTGTGTGCGTCCCAGCGGAGGGGAGAGGGGGAGCGAGGGAGGGAGAGGGAGCGGGAGAGAAGCACGTTGACACAATGCCTCCTGCTGCCCCACACCGGGGTCCAGCCCGCACCCCGCGCTGTGCCCGACCGGGAATGAACCCTGACCTCCGGGTTCACAGGTCAGCGTCCAGCCCCTGAGCCCCGTGGCCGGGCTGTGTTCATTTTCTGAGGGGTCAGGGGGGACAGCCGCCCAGACTTCACACACACACCAACACACAGACACACACCAACACACACACCAAAACACAGACACACACCAAAACACACACACCAACACACAGACACACACCGACACAGAGACACACACCAACACACAGACACACACACACACAGACACACACCGACACACAGACACACACCAACACACAGACACACACCAACACAGAGACACACACCAACACACAGACACACACCAACACACAGACACACACCAACACAGAGACACACACCAACACACAATCACACACCAACACACACACCAACACACAGACACACAACAACACACAATCACACACCAACACACACACCAACACACAGACACACACCAACACACACCAACACACAATCACACACCAACACACACAGACACACACACCAACACACAATCACACACCAACACACACCAACACACAATCACACACCAACACACACACCAACACACAGACACACACCAACACACAATCACACACCAACACAAACCCAGACACACACGACACACATGCACACACATTCAGACACAGGCACACCAATGTGCAAATACACACATAAATACGCAAAGACAGAGAGTGACACGCCAACAGGCAAACATACACACCAACATGCAAACATATACCAACATGCAAAAAACGCACACGCACACACAAACCCAACCAGCAAGCACGGCCTCTGTCCCGGGCTCCCTTCTCACCCGCTGTGGACGGAGCACCTGCAGGGAGGGTGCGAGCGAGGGGCGGGAGCAGAGCCCACGCTGATGGCGCTCTCTCCTCTCTCTCCTTCTCCCTCTCCGTCTCCTCTCCCCTCTCCTCCCTCTCTCCCCTCTCCTCCTCTCCTCTCTCTGCCTCTCTCTCCCTCCTCGCGTCTCTCCTCTCACTCTCCCTCTCCCTCCCTCTCTCTCTCCCTCCCCCTCTCTCTCCCTCTCCTCCCTCTCTCCTCTCTCCCTCCCTCTCTCCTCCCTCTCCCTCCCTCTCCCTCCCCTTCCCTCTCCCTCTCTGTCCCCTGGGTGCCCCCAGCCTTCGCCATGGCGCTGAAGAACCTGTACACAAGCCAGGTGGAGCTGGGCCTGGACGAGGTGCTGGGGGTGCTGGCCTCCGCGCACGCCCTCCAGTTCAGCAGCCTGTTCCAGAGGTGGCGTGGGGGGCGCCCGCTGGCGGAGGTGGGGGCTGGGGAGGACCCGGCTCGGGACCCTTCCTCTCCCTGGGCTGCGCGTCAGGGTTTCTCCCGGGAGCACGGCCCTGCGGCTCAGAGGGAGCGGGACAGTGACTCCCCTCACCTCTGCCCCCCCTGCCCCCTTCTCCTCCCCGCCCCCCACTCCCCTCCCCCTTCTCTTCACCGCCCCCCGCTCCCCTCCCCCTTCTCCTCCCCGCCCCCCGCTCCCCTCCCCCTTCTCTTCACCGCCCCCCTTCTCCTCACCGCACCCCGCGCCCTCTCCCGCCCCCTCTCCTCACCCCGCCCCCCGCTCCCCTCCCCCTCTCTTCTCCCACCACCCCCCGCCCCCCGCTCCCCTCCCCTTCTCTTTCACCCCTCCACCCACCTGCTTCCCCTCCCCCTTTCTCCTCCCTCCCCCGCCCCCCCCCACTCCCCCTCCCCTTCGCCTCACCCCCCGCGCCCCTCCCCTCCCTCACGCCCCCCCGCACTCCCCCCCCCCCCTCCCCTTCTCCTCACCGCCCCCCTCCCATCCCCCCCGTCTTCCCCACCCACCCCCTTCTCCCTTCACCCCCCCCGCTCCCCTCCCCTCCTCACCACCGCCCCCCCGCCCCCCCCTGCTCCTCACGCCCCCTTCTCCTCACCCGCCCCCCCCGCTCCCCTCCCCCCCTTCTCCTCCCCCCCCCCGCCTCCCCCCCCCCTTCCCCTCACCCCCTTCTCTTCGCCCCCCCCCTACCCCCCCCGCACCCCCCCGGCCTCCCCTCCCCTTCTCTTCACCCCCCCGCTCCCCTCCCCCTTCTCTTCACCCCCCCGCTCCCCTCCCCCTTCTCCTCACCGCCCCCCCCCCCTCCCCCTTCTCCCTCCCCCCCCCCCCTTCTCCTCACCCCCCGCCCCTTCCCCCTCCCTCCCCCCTTCTCCTCCACCGCCCCCCCTTCTCCTCACCCCCCTCTGTCCCCTCCCCCTTTCTTCACCCCCCGCTCCCCGCCCCCTTCTCCTCCCGCCCCCCCCCCCCGCTCCCCTCCCCCTTCTTCACCCCCCCGCCCCTCCCCCCTTCTCCTCCCCGCCTCCCCGCTCCCCTCCCCCTTCTCTTCACCCCCCCGCTCCCCTCCCCCTTCTCCTCACCGCCCCCCCCTGCTCCCCTCCCCCTTCTCCTCACCGCCTCCCCGCTCCCCTCCCCCTTCTCCTCACCCCCCCGCTCCCCTCCCCCTTCTCCTCACCGCCCCCTTCTCCTCACCGCCCCCCCTGCTCCCCCTCCCTGCCCCCTGCCCCCCGTCCCCCGCCGCCCCCCACCCCAACACTTTTTCTTTTAAGTTTTATTGGGGGTTTTGTTTTATTAAATTAAAAAAATTTTAAACCATATTTTTATTGACTTCAGAGAGAGGACGGAAGAGGGAGAGAGAGACAGAAGCATCAGGGATGAGAGAGAATCACGGATCAGCTGCCTCTTGCACACCCCACAGTGGGGATGAGCCCACAACCTGGGCCTGTGCCCTGACGGGGGATCGAACCCTGACCTCCTGGGTCACAGGTCGAAGCTCACCCCTGAGCCGCTCGGCCCGGCTCAGTCTTATTGTTCAAAGTACCGCGCGTCCCCTCCCCCCGGCCGGGCCAGGCCAGCAGCCTGTGTCTGTCCCCGCAGGTGCGTGACCATCATGGTGCACGGGCTCTCGCCCAGCAACGTGGCCAGCTTCTACATGGCCGGCTGCAAGGTGAGCGCCACCAGCTGGCCGCCCCCGCCCCTGCACCCCCCGCCCCCAGCCCCCCGCCGCCCCTCCCCACCTACCCCCCTGGCCCCACCCCGGCCACCGTGTCCCCCAAGGTGCCGACGGGGGCGTGCCAGCGTTTTGAACGGTTTGAATGGTTTGAACCGAATGAATGGTTTTGAAAAAGCACCTGTTTTGAAAAGGATGCTTTTACACCCAAAAGGTAGACAAGCGTTGACCTTGGGGGTGGGTTGGGGGCAGCACAGGCTTCTGCCCCCAAAGAGCAGACCGCCCGCCGCCCGGGCCTCCCGATGGGGTCATGGGGAACGCGTCACACACACACACACACACACACACACACACACACACAGATACAGAGACACACACACAGAGACACACACAGACAGACACAGACACACACACACACAGACACACAGACACACACACACAGACACACACACAGAGACACACACAGACACACACACACAGACACACACACAGATACAGAGACACACACAGACACACACACACACACACACAAACACACACACACACACACCCCGGGCCCGGCAGGGCTGGAAGGAAGGCGGTAACCAGCTCTCCCCCAGGCCGCGGTGTCGCGGTGGCTGTGCTGGGTCCGAGCCCTGGCCTTCCGGACGCAGCTCCCCGAGCGGCCGCTCACACCGGCGCAGACACGCTGACCGCCCCCTCGGCCACGGCCCCGTCCCCAGAGACCAAAGCCCTGGCGGGCGGCGTCTGCGTTCCCGTCTGGCACGCGGCCCCGAGGAGCGGGGGAGGGGGAGGGGGGGCGGACTCCAGGGTGGCCCCGAGGAGCGGGGAGGGGGGAGGGGGGAGGGCGGAGGGGTGGGGGGCGGACTCCGGGGTGGCCCCGAGGAGGGGGGGGGGGGGGGGGGGGGGCGGACGCCGGGGGGGCCCCGAGGAGCGGGGGAGGGTGGAGGGGGGGCGGACTCCGGGGTGGCCCCGAGGAGGGGGGGAGGGGGGAGGGGGGAGGGTGGAGGGGTGGGAGCCAGACTCCGGGGTGGCCCCGAGGAGCGGGGAAGGGGGGAGGGGGGAGGGGACTCCGGGGTGGCCCCGAGGAGCGGGGGAGGGAGAGAGGGGGGAGGGAGCCGGACTCCGGGGTGGCCCCGAGGAGCGGGGGAGGGAGAGAGGGGGGAGGGAGCCGGACTCCGGGGTGGCCCCGAGGAGCGGGGGAGGGGGGAGGGGGGGCGGACTCCGGGGTGGCCCCGAGGAGGGGGGGAGGGGGGAGGGGGGAGGGTGGAGGGGTGGGAGCCAGACTCCGGGGTGGCCCCGAGGAGCGGGGGAGGGGGGAGGGGGGAGGGGACTCCGGGGTGGCCCCGAGGAGCGGGGGAGGGAGAGAGGGGGAGGGAGCCGGACTCCGGGGTGGCCCCGAGGAGCGGGGGAGGGAGAGAGGGGGGAGGGAGCCGGACTCCGGGGTGGCCCCGAGGAGCGGGGGAGGGAGAGAGGGGGGAGGGAGCCGGACTCCGGGGTGGCCCCCGGCTCTGTGCTTCCCGGGACCCCGGCGAGAGGAGGACCCTCGGGCCTCGGTGTGCCCATCGGTCAGGTCGGGACAGCAGTGGCTCGGTGCAGCGAGGGCTGGTTTGAGGGACGGTGCGGGCCTGGGCCTGGCAGACAGGTGTGAGCCTGGGCCTGTGCTCCTCCCGCCCGTCACTCCGCCGCTGCTCGGCAGGGGGCGCCAGAGCCCGCTGCCTCGCCCACCAGCCTCTCCCCTCCTCAGTACAAGGAGCAGCCGCTGAGCACCGCCTGCGAGAAGTGGATGGAAATGAACCTGGTGGCCGAGGTGGGGCGGCAGATCCACCTGCAGAAGATCCCCAGGGAGCTGCTGCTCACCGTGCTGCGGTCACCCAGGTCAGCCCGGCTGCACACATATGTGCGCGCGCGTGTGCGTGTGCGTGCGTGTGCGTGTGTGCAGGCCGGCGCCTGGGGGAGCAGGGCTGATGGGAGGAAGGTGCGGGAGGGGCCCCTGAGCCCCTGCTGGGCACACTGCGGGCTGCACCTCCTCATTTCAAACCCTCACCCTGCACGTCCGGGGGACTGGGGCGTGGGGTGGTCTGCGGGGCGCAGGGGGCTTCTCTTCACGGTATTCATCTGGGTGAGGACCCTCCAGTGTCCACCTGGTAATTAATTAATGAATTGCCTACGTAATTTTTTAGAAATATTTTTATTGATTTCAGAGAGGAAGGGAGAGAGAGAAACATCCTCGATGAGAGAGAATCAATCATGGATCGGCTGCCTCCTGCACGCCCCCTAAGGGGGATCCAGCCGGCAACCTGGGCCTGTGCCCTGACCGGGAATCGAACCTGGGACCCTTCCGTCCGTCACAGGCCAACACTCTAGCCGCTGATCAAACCGGCCAGCCGGCGTGGCTCAGTATTCGCCCCGACCTGTGAACGAGGAGGTCACAGTTCGATTCCCGGTCAGGGCACAGGGATCTCTCTCCTCCCTCTCCCTTCCTCCCTGAAATCAATAAAAATACATTTTAAAAAATAAGAAATAGAGATGAGCCTCGAGACCGTCGGCACCACAGCCTGGCACCGGGTTCTGCCCGGCCCGCCGCCCGCCCCACAGCGCCCTCCCGCCCCGGGGCTGGGGGGCAGAGCTGTGAACGGTGAGGAGATAAACAGGGTGACCCGCCCTCGGAAAGACTGAGCGGCCGGCCGGTGGCATTTAACCGAGAAGAGGGGGGACGTCCGCCCCAGCCAGGGGCCAGGAGGGCGGCACGGGAAAACACGCGGTGGGGACAGGCGTCGGGAACATTGCGTGCCCGTGTCTGGACTCACAAGTTCGGGGAAACATGACCGATGTGGAAACCGGGGCCTTTACTGACTTCACCTCATCACTGATGGCCCGCCACCCGGGCCTCCCCCTGTGTGTGCCCGCCCGCCCGGGCGCTCGGTGCCAGGCGGCCGGAGCTCGGGGGCTGGGCGGCCAGCAGCCCTCGCGCCCGGAGTGGCCGGGCCACAGCGCCTGACTCACATCTTCCGCAGTCAACGCCTCGGCCCGCTGACGTCCGCGGCACCTGCTTTATTTATTATTTTTAAAATGTGTTTTTATTGATGTCAGAGGGGAAGGGAGAGGGAGAGAGAAACAGCCACAGGGAGGGAGAGTCATCGGCCAGCTGTGTCCCCCACACGCCCCACCTGGAGGCAAACCAGGGGCCTCGGGGGGTGAGTCCTGGCAGCGTGTTGGTGGGGACATCCTCCCGGTGGCTCTGTGCCCTCTGGCCTCCGTTCACCGTCACGGCCCAGACGGTGACCGGTGGGTCCGGTCCGGCCAGGGCCCCGGCCAGGCCCCTGTGGAGGCTGAAAACAAGCCAGATCGATGGTGCCCCTGAGCCCAGAAACAGCGGGGGGGGGGGGGGGGGGGGGGGGGGGGGGGGCGGGGGAGGAGAGGGCAGGGCTGCTCCCGTCCCGTTAGTGTCACGCCTTCCCCTCCGTGACCGCGGACGTGATGGGTGAGAGGGCTGTGATACATTGTTACCGTTTCTTTTTTAATTCGTGTGATTTTACCTTATTTTAAAAAATATATATTTTTATTGATGTCAGAGAAGAAGGGAGAGAGAGAGAGAGAAACATCCATGATGAGAACCACGGACCGGCTGCCTCCTGCACGCCCCTCACTGGGCATGGAGCCCACGACCTGCCCTGATCAGGAATCCGCCTCGGGACCCTGCAGTCTGCAGGCAGATGCGCTATCCACTGAGCCAGACCGGCCAGGGCAATTTATATATCGATTTTAGAATGAGGGGAGGAGGGAGGGAGGGAGGGAGGGAGGGAGGGAGGGAGGGAGAGAGAGAGAGAGAGAGAGAGAGAGAGAGAGGCATCAATATGCTGCCTCCTGCACGCCCCCCACTGGGGATGGAGCCTGGAATCCAGGCCTGTGCCCTGAGTGGGAGCCGAACAGAAACGCCGACCAGTGGGCACGCCGCTGGTCCGGCCGCTCTTTACTCCTCGTTTCCGGGGAGGCCCAGGCTGCGTGGCCGCGTGAGGCCCGGAGCCAGGCCCCGCCGTGACCGCGGCCGCTGCTCCCCGAGCACGTGGCCATGTGCCAGGCCCTGGGCTCGGCCCCCAAGCCGCCCTCCCCGGGCTGCCCGCGGCGCAGGCCTGGACTCCCTGCCCGGACCTGCGCTCCCCCTCCCGCGGCCCCTCCCGCGGCCCCTCCCTCGCCCCCTCCCTCGCCCTCTCCCGCGCCCCCCTCCCGCGCCCCCTCCCGCGCCCCCTCCCGCGCCCCCTCCCCGCGCCCCCTCCCGCGCCCCCTCCCCGCGCCCCCTCCCGCGCCCCCTCCCCGCGCCCCCTCCCGCGCCCCCTCCCGCGCCCCCTCCCCGCGCCCCCTCCCCGCGCCCCCTCCCGCGCCCCCTCCCCGCGCCCCCTCCCGCGCCCCCTCCCGCACCCCCTCCCTCGCCCTCTCCCGGCCTCGCAGGAGCTTCCCCCCCTGACAGGCCCCCGTCCGTCTGTCCATCCGCGCAGCCTGTTTGTGTTCAGTGAGTTCCACCTGCTGAAGACGCTGCTGCTGTGGGTGTACCTGCAGGTGAACCCGCGGCTGCTGGCCTTCCCCACGCTCGAGGCCGTGCTGGCCTTCTTCAGCAGGTGAGGGTGCGGGGAGGGCACCTCTGTGCTCAGGGTATGGGGGGTGGGGGCAGTGATGGCTTCTTCAGCAGGTGAGGGGGGCGGGAATGGAGCCTCTGTGCTCAGGTACGGGGGGTGGGGGCGGTGATGGCTTCTTCAGCAGGTGAGGGTGCGGGGAGGGGGAGGGCGGGGAGGGGTGGGGAGGGCGTGCAGGCGCCTCTGTGCTCAGGGTACGGGGGGCAGGGGTGGTGATGGCTTCTTCAGCAGGTGAGTGAGGGCGGGAATGGAGCCAGTGTGCTCAGGGCACTGGGCGGGGGCAGGGATGGCTTCTTCAGCTGGTGACAGCACGGGGAGGGCGGGGAGGGGAGGGCAGAGGGGAGGGGAGGGCGGGGAGGGCGTGCAGGCGCCTCTGTGCTCAGGGTACTGGGGGGGGGCGGCGGTGACGGCGTTTTTCACAGCGACCTCGGAGTGCCCAGTGCGGGGCGGGACGCGGGAGGCCCGGGCCCACGGCTCCCTGAGAGAGAGATTGGCGTGTGGGTGTGGGGATAGGACCTGACCTCGGGCTCTGAGAACTGGTGTCCGTGAAGGAAGAGGCCTCCTCCTGTGGGGAGAGGTCCCGCCCCACACGCTCCCCCCCCCCCACACACCCTGACGCGCCCGTCAGACCTCACGTCCCTGACGGAGAACACGTAATGTGCAAACCGACCGGCCGCTCTGCTGCGCCCTGACCACCAGGGGGCAGTCGCTCTGCGCAGGAGCTGCCCGCTGGGGAGGCTGCTCAGCGGAAAGCTGGCTCTCGGCTGGCGAGCAGTGACGGGGCGGGAGCCTCTCCCGCCGCCTCGGCAGCCGCTCAGGGGCCGGGAGCAGGCGGGCGGACATCCGGGCTGAGGGACCCCCCGTCTGTGCACTGGGCTCCGGTTACAGCACCAGAGCACCATCGGCGATGCTCCCTGAGCAGGGGTTCTGCCGGCGTCCACCTGTCACCCGTTCAGTCGACACCTCCTCGGCTGGTGTGTGATTCCCGTTCTCCAGACGGGGAAACTGAGGGAGAGGGGTCAGACGGGCACCGTAAGGGATGGAGTCTGCCTGGCACCCAGAGCCGCCGAGGCCCCACGAGCTTTGCTCCCGACCCTGGAGGCCGGGCTCCTCTCTGAGCGTCTGGCCGGCTTGGGCAGCTGTGGCGGCTCCGGGGGCTCCGGTCGGTGTCCAGAGGCCCCGAGGCGCCTCCCGGCGGGGGGTTAGGGAATCGCCGCTCCTGTGGCCGGCCCTGCGTCCCCGCCCCCGGCCCCTGCCCGGGAGAGGCCGGCTGGGCAGCCGGGACCCGCGCCCGGGGACCGGGGACCAGGGCGGTGAGCGTGGCCTCGGAGGTCAGGGCTCCCGTGCCCCCTGGCCGCTGTGGCACGGGGGAAGGTGCCGCGTCCGGAGCGGCTGGGAGCCAGGCCGGCCCAGCGTGGGGCTTTTCGGAGCCCCTGGCGCCAGGGCCCAGAGCCGCCGCGTCCACCGAGTCCACCGAGTCCGCCGTGTCCGCCGAGTCCACCGAGTCCACCGAGTCCACCGAGTCCTGTGGGGAGCGGCATCGGGGCCGAAGGATGCTCAGGTCCTGGGTCCAGTGCTCGTTTGTTTGTATGTTTGATTGATTTTTAATCCTCCCATGGATCTTTTTGGGGAGAGAGAGGGACAGACAGAGAGAAACATCCATGAGGGAAACATCAATGAACCCAAACGGCTGCCCCCCGGCCGCCCGAGGGCCCCCCCCCCCGGGGCACGGCGTCCGGCGTCTCGGGGGAGGCCCAGGGCGGGCGGAGGCGCGTCTCCTGATTGATGAGTGGCGTCTGCAGATGTGGCCGCTGCGCCGTCATGGCACGGAGCATCCTGGAGTAACCGTGCTGCTGATGTCCTTTCCAGAACATTCCTTTAAAAACACCCATGAGTCACGACCACGAGGCCCCGCCAGTGGCTCCCCCCCAGTGGCTCCTCCAGGGAGGCCGTGCCCGGGCAGGGCCGCTCCTGCCTGACCCCTGACCCCTGACCGCGTCCCTCCCGGCCGCCCGGCACTGCCCGCCCATCAGCGCGTCCCAGGCTGAGTCCCTCCAGGGTCCCTGAGCGTCTGTTCCTGCTCCTCCTGGGCCTGGCGCTCCCCTCGTCGCTCCTCAGCGTCCCACGTCCCCGGGCAGCCGGACGGCGACAGCCAGAGCGGAGGAGGGGGAAGGCGGGGGCGGAGACGGGGTTCCGGGTTCCCCGCTCCCGGGCCACTCTGCCTGGGGCAGCAGCAGGGCATCCTCGCCTTCGTTGTCGGGACGACCACGGATAACCATGGCAACGGCGGGCAGGACCCCGAGCGTGGGGGAGTCAGCATGGCAGAGCCTGGTCCGTGTGGACGTGTGTGCATGCGTGTGCAGGTGTGTGAGCACCAGGGCGGAGCCATGGCGTTCCTGGGAGACACACTGGCGTGGCGGGACGGCGGGAGGGACGAGGCGGGCGTGCCGGCGGCCGGGCGGGCACGGGAGAGGCGCCGGGCATGGTGCCGACGGACAGACAGACCCGCGTTCCCCTCCGCGGGTCCACAGGCCAGGCCGAGGCCCACGGCACCTGCAGCAGATTGGAAAGATTCAAAAAACCGGGACTTTTTTAAGACGCCGCGGGACGCGGGAAAAATTGTTAGAAATCGGGACTGTCCTGCCAAAAGCAGGACGATCTGGTCACCTTATATTTGTGGGGCACGGCCACAGCGTCTGGACAGGGTCAGGCCTCGGGCTGACGAGGGGGCACAGTCCCCTCGGGGCCACGTACAAGGCCCAGCTCGGAGGGAGAGCCTCCCAGCTCCGTGACAGCCAGCGGCTGTGGTTGTGAGCGTGAACCTGTGTCCCAACACTGGCCCCCGTGCCTGAGCGAGAGGCTGCGGTAAGCAGGGCTGGGCCAGGTGCAGGGAGTGGAGTGGGATGGAGACCCCTGAAACATCCTGCCCGCCCTCACTGTGCCTCGTGGCATCGGCTGTGGAGTAGACACGGGGGGTGGTGGGGGGCTGCTGGGTCCCGTCAGGGAGCAGCGTTCCTCCGCTCGTCTGTCTTTCCCAATCCTTCCCCGCCCCCACGCGGGGTCAGCCCTGGCTGAGCTGGGGGCACACACGGCGCTGGGGCAGAGTGGGCTGCTGGGACCCCCTCTGTCTGTCCCGGAGCCTGGAGGCTCGGGTGGGAAGCCGGGTCCCAGAATCCCCTGTGAAGGGTGTGCTCCCGTCGGCCCCTTAGCCAGTACTTGCTGGGCCCTCCTATGCGCCGGCTCAGCAGGAGGCGGACAGGGGACACGGCCATCTGTCCGGCGGTCAGGGCTGGTGGCCTCACAGGGCTCTCTCCTCTCCCTCCTCCCCCCGCCCGCCCCACGAGCCGGCACCGCCCGCCCGGCTGGGGAGCCGCTGGGCTCCATGGGGCTCTCCTTCCCCCACCGGCTCCGGTGCAGCTCTGAGGCCTCTGCTCTGTCCCCAGCTCCCCCAAGAAGCCCTGCTTCCTGGACCAGGATGTGGAGTGCGGCTTCGCAGAGATCTTCCTCTGCCTGCGCCTGCACGGCATCATCCGAGGTGAGCCCGCGGGTGTGTGTGTGTGTGTGTGTGTGTGTGTGCTCTAACCACTGCGCCACACGGAAGGGGAGCTGTGCTCTATCCGCTGAGCAACACAGGTGATACTGTGCTCTAACCACTGAACAACCGGCCAAGTTTCTGAGGACATGGTGTGTGTCCGTGGGAGGCTGTTGGGGACCTGCCCTGCCCGATGGTTCCCAAGGTGTTCGCCGAGATCCCTCGTGGTCACTCCTGAGCCGTGTGAGGCTTTGGGAGAGTTGCTGCTGGGGCTCGGTTTACCTGTCTGTACAATGGTCACACACGGGGCTCAGTTTACCTGTCTGTACAATGGTCAGATACAGAGCTTCCAGGAAACGTGGAGATGGAGGGGAGGGGCTGCTGGACATGGAGCACAAGCTGCCGAGGCCTCCGAGGACCCCCTCCCCTCTCCCCCTCCGTGCCCCTGAGCCCTGCCTCCAGGCCGCGGCCCCTGGGTGCCCGTTTCAGAGCTTGGGAGGAAACTGGGGCTGCGTGAGGTCCAGACTGGAGCTCCCAACCTCAGGCTCCGGGCCGGGGCGGCAGCTGGGCCTTGGCAGGGAGGGAGACGGGAGTGTGTGAGCGGCCCAGCAGGCCACCCAGGGAGATCTCTGTGTCTGAAAGAGCATTTGAGGACTTTTTATTTCTTTTCTTAAATGTTTCGTTGATTTTTAGAGAGAGGAAGGGGGGGGGGAGAGAGAGAGAGAGAGAGAGAGAGAGAGAGAGAGAGAGAGAGGGATAGAAGCATCGATGAGAGAGAAACATCATCAATTGGCTGCCTGCCCCACTGGGCGTCGAGCCGGCAACCAGGGCCTGACCTGACCAAGAGTCTAACGGGTGACCTCTCGGCTCCTGGGTGGACGCTCAGCCGCTGGGCCCCGCCGGCCGGGCTGGGACGGGTGACCTCTCGGCTCCTGGGTGGACGCTCAGCCGCTGGGCCCCGCCGGCCGGGCTGGGACGGGTGACCTCTCGGCTCCTGGGTGGACACTCAGCCGCTGGGCCCCGCCGGCCAGGCTGGGACGTTTCAGGCCACGCCCGATGTCCAGATAACACCGCGCTCTCCGGTGGGGACGGGGTCAGGCGGTGTGGCCCAGGTTGCTCTGAGGCCTCCGAAGGCCCTGGGCTCTCAGCTTCCCTCGCTCGGGCGGGATGGGGGCGCTTTGGGGGGGTCCCGCTCGCCTGTGAGTCCGGGCCTGGGGGGGGGCTCCGTCTGACTCCCTCCGGTTTCTCTGCAGACGGGACAGCGCAGTCTCGTGAGCAGACACACTCACGCGCCCTCTGTCCCTCCAGGCCAGGACCTGGACGTGCTGAGGCACCTGAACTTCTTCCCCGAGTCCTGGCTGATCCGGGTCACCGCCAACCACTACCACGCAGTGAGTCCGGCTCCGCCAGAGCCGAGGGTCCCGGGTTCGATTCCGGTCAAGGGCAGCCAGAAGGGGGTGTGCAGGAGGCAGCTGATGGATGTTTCTCTCTCATGGATGTTTCTGACTCTAACCCTCTCCCTTCCTCTCTGTAAGAATTTTTAAGATTTTTTTTAAAAAGGCGACCAGGCTGCGGGTAAACTGTTTCCTTTGCAGATGGAGAGTGGGGGCGACATGGCTTTCGCGAAAGATCTCACCCGCCAGGCGGTGAGGTTCGGGCTGCTGTTCTACAAGGTATTGGTGCCGGGCCGGGGGTGGGGCCGCCTCCGGGGCTGGGTCAGGGCCGTGCAGGAGCCCGCTGACCTCTGTACGGGGCCCGGGGCCCTGCAGGAGCCCGCTGACCTCTGTACGGGGCCCGGGGCCCTGCAGGAGCCTGCTGACCTCTGTACGGGGCCCGGGGCCCTGCAGGAGCCTGCTGACCTCTGTACGGGGCCCGGGGCCCTGCAGGAGCCCGCTGACCTCTGTACGGGGCCCGGGGCCCTGCAGGAGCCCGCTGACCTCTGTACGGGGCCCGGGGCCCTGCAGGAGCCCGCTGACCTCTGTACGGGGCCCGGGGCCCTGCAGGAGCCCGCTGACCTCTGTACGGGGCCCGGGCCCTGCAGGAGCCGCTGACCTCTGTACGGGGCCCGGGGCCGTGCAGGAGCCCGCTGACCGCGGGGACGGGGCCCGGGGCCGTGCAGGAGGCCGCTGACCTCTGTACGGGGCCCGGGGCCCTGCAGGAGCCCGCTGACCTCTGTACGGGGCCCGGGGCCCTGCAGGAGCCCGCTGACCTCTGTACGGGGCCCGGGGCCGTGCAGGAGCCCGCTGACCGCGGGGACGGGGCCCGGGGCCCTGCAGGAGCCCGCTGACCTCTGTACGGGGCCCGGGGCCCTGCAGGAGCCCGCTGACCTCTGTACGGGGCCCGGGGCCGTGCAGAAGGCCGCTGACCGCGGGGACGGGGCCCGGGGCCCTGCAGGAGCCCGCTGACCTCTGTACGGGGCCCGGGACAGAGGAGGAAGCTGGGGCCTCTCCTCACGCTCACGCCCCTGAAAATACCCTTCCTGAGACGGGCCTGGGGGCCCTTCAGCATCTCCCCCCAGGCTCCTCACCTCTCCCCACGGGCGGCCGCTGTGCCGGCTCCTGGGGAGGGGCGCTTCTGGGCTTCCGTCCTAAAACTGGGAAAGCTGGCAGCCTGGGTTCAGGCTCCCCCCGGCCCTCTCCCCCCCCACACACAGACCCTCTGCTCCGGGACCGTCTGTGTTTAAGGTTTCGGGGGTGAACCTATTTTTTCTTTTTTAATCTATTTTTATTGACTTTCGGAGAGAGAGGAAGAGAGAGAGAGAAGCATCCATGATGAGAGAGAAGCATCACCCATTGGCTGCCTCCTGCACGCCCCCTACTGGGGATGGAGCCGGAAACCTGGGCGTGTGTCCTGACCGGGCTTGAACCCTGACCTCCTGGTTCATAGGTCAAGGCTCCAGCCCTGGGTTATGCGGCCGGGCTGTGCCCTGGCCTCCAGATGCTGGGCCCCTCGTCACGCTGGTCTCTGCCCTCAGGAGTTCACGACCTATTCGGAGATGATCGCCATCTACGGCTTCTTCTTCGCCATGCGGGGCATCCGCAACAACAGCACCTCCTACAGCTTCTACATGCAGGTGCGGGCGGCGGCGGGCGGCCCCCCGAGACAGCCTGGGTCCCCTGAGACAGCCTGCCCCCCCCCGAGGCAGCCTGGCCCCCCCCCAGACAGCCTGGGCCCCCCCGAGACAGCCTGCCCCCCCCCCCGAGACAGCCTGGGCCCCCCGAGACAGCCTGGGCCCCCCGAGACAGCCTGGGCCCCCCCGAGACAGCCTGGGCCCCCCGAGACAGCCTGGGCCCAGTCTGCCCACATCAATAACAGCGGATCAGCTGGGCCCAGTCCACCCACGTCAATAACAGCGGGTCAGCTGGGCGCAGTCCGCCCACGTCAGTAACAGCGGGTCAGCTGGGCCCAGTCCGCCCACGACAATAACAGCGGGTCAGCTGGGCCCAGTCCGCCCACGTCAGTAACAGCGGGTCAGCCCTTATCCATCGAGTCTGGGGCCAATCCGCTCAGTCAGGGCAGCTGACTCAGAGATGCGCTTGCTTTTCTGCCACAATCCAGGGCGCTCACTAGTGGGAGCTGGTGGAACAGGTGCAGCCCTCCGGCCGAGTGCCTCGGTCACGTGGCCTCTGGCCAAGCTGCAGGAGGGAGGGAAGGAGGGAGGGGCCTTGGAGGCAGCGGGCTGGGGAGGGGCGGAGGGGGTCCAGGCTCTGGCTCCCCGAGTGGGCTCGGTTCCTCTTCCTTTCCTGCATGGTGGGCGCTGGTTTGAGGCGGCCGCTGGCCTGTGGGGGCAGCAGGAAGTGCCCACAGGGGACGAGCCCACAGCCTGGGCCTGGGCCTGGGCCCCGACGGGAATCAAACCGTGACCTTCTGGTTCCTGAGTTGGCGTCAGCCACGGAGCCACGCCGGCGGGCACCACGTGGGTTCTAAGTCCCGGCAAAGCGCCATGAGGACCTTCCGAGTCAGCGGGCTTGGCCACTCGGGCTGGCCGAACCCCAGCCCATGGGCCGGTGGCCAGTCCGGGCCCCCAGGCCAGCGGACTGGGCGGCGGGCGCCGGGGAAATGGATTCTGGGAACGCGGCCGCTCCGCACAGGCCGCGGGGAGGGCGGGCGATGGGCGGGAGCCGGGTCCCAGCGCCAGGCCAGCGGCCGGCCGCCTGAGGGAGGCTCTCCCGGCAGAGGATCCGGCCGGCGGACGTGGGGTTCCCCTCCGAGGTCTGCGAGCATGGCCTGGTCAGCCTGCGGCCCGAGCGCCTGGTCCAGTACGAGATCCGGGCGCGGGCGCTGGTGGGCGACCGCTGGCAGCAGTTCGGGACCCGGCCCGTCCTGCAGAAGTTCCGCCTCGTCAGGCCCCACTGCAGGAGCCAGGTGCGCGCTTCTCCTCCCCCCTCCCTCCTCTCTCTTATTTCCCTCTCTCTCTCTCCCTCCCTCCCTCTCTCTTATTTCCCTCTCTCTCTCTCCCTCCCTCCCTCTCTCCCTCTCTCTCTCTTATTTCCCTCTCTCTCTCTCCCTCCCTCCCTCTCTCCCTCTCTCTCTCTTATTTCCCTCTCTCTCTCTCCCTCCCTCTCTCTCTCTTATTTCCCTCTCTCTCTCTCCCTCCCTCCCCCATCTCTCTCTATTCCCCCCTCCCTTTCTCTCCCTCTCTCTCCCTCTATCTCCCTCTATCTCCCCCCATCTCTCTCTCTCCCTCATTTATCTTCCTCTCTCGCTCTCCCCCCATCTCTCTATTTCCCTTTCTCTCTCTCTCTTTCTCTCTCTCTCTCATTTATCTCCCTCTCCCCCCGTCTCTCTTTCTCTCTTTCCCTCATTTATCTTCCTCTCTCTCCCTCTCTCCCCCCATCTCTCTCTCTATTTCTCTTTCCCTCTCTCTCTCTCTCTCTCTCTCTCTCTCTCTCCCCCTTTAATCAGTTCCATTGTGGTATAAATCACTAATGGTGTTGTTTTAAAATTATATATATATATATATATATATATATATATATATATATATATATATATTTGTATTGATTTCAGAGAGGAAGAGAGAGAGAGAAACATCAGTGATGAGAGAGAATCACGGATCGGTTGCCTCCTGCACAGCCCACACTGAGGTCCAGCCCGCCACCTGGGCCTGTGCCCTGACCGGGGATCGAACCCTGGCCTCCTGGTTCATAGGTTATTGCTCAACCCCTGAGCCACGCCGGCCGGGCAGACGTAAACATTTTAAGTGAATCTCCCAGGCCTTCACTGGGGACTCCAATGAGCAGCCGGAGCTGAGGGTGGCGGGCCCAGCCACGGCCTCTGCGTGGCTTCGTCTTGCAGGTCTTGCAAATCCAGACTACGGGCAGCCCGATCTACGTGAGCTTTTCCTTCATCTTCCCGGCATCCTGACGCTCCGAGGCGCCTGTGACTCCGCTCTCCCTCCGCTCTGCACAGAGGAAATAAAGACGCTGAAGGGACCCAGTATCGGCCACGTTCCTGGGAGCCGTGGTTTCTGCTCTTGGCTAAGCGGCGTGTGGCCGTGTGAGTGACAGGAATGTGTGGCTCCCAGGCCTGGGGTCTGGGGTCTCAGGTCAGACGCTGGCAGACGGGGCGTGGCTTCTGGGAGTCCCCTCCGCCCACGCACAGCCAGCTCCCCCCTGGTCCTCCTGGGGCCGGCCAGCCGGGTGGGCCAGGCCAAGGCCCCTTGAGAAGGGCGCTAACCCCATTTGTGAGGGCCCCACCCGGGTGAGCGCCACCCCTCCCAATGGCCCAACCCCGCTGCCATCCCTTTTGGGGTTGGGTTTCTCCATGTGGGATGGCGGGGGGGTGGGGCACGATCAGACCATAGCACCCCGTTTGGTGTCTGAGGGTGGGAAGCAGTGGAGACCTGAGTCCATTTGCCATCACCGGCCCCTAAGGCCCCGGGGGCCCAGGCTGACCTTGCATTCTGGGGTTCTTGGATGGGGTCCCGGCAGAAACACCCCCTCCCGCTGGGGGCGTCCCCCACCCCCGGCTGTGGTCCCGGCAGCTTGGGCTCACAGAAGCCAGAGGCGGGAAGGGGGGAGCAGCTATAGGTGCAGAGTGACTGACGTGCTGACCATTCTGCCACTTTATTTCTAAACTTGTTTTTAAATATTTAATTGAACTCAGAGAGGCAGGGAGAGGGAGAGAGAGGAATATCAGTGATGAGATTCAGGGACCTGGGGATCGAGCCCACAATCCGGGCATGTGCCCTGACCGGGAATCGAACCCTGACCTCCTGGTTCATAGGTCACTGCTCAGCCACTGAGCCATGTCGGCCAGGCCAGTGGTTGGCAAACTGTGGCTCACGAGCCACATGCAGCTCTTTGGCCCCTTAAGTTTTTAGCAAAGGCCAGCTTAGGAGGACCCTAATTAAGTTAATAACAATGTACCTACCTCTATAGTGTAAGTTTAAAAAATTAGGCTCTCCAAAGAAATGTCAGTCGTTGTCCTGCTGACATTCGGCTCTGGTGACCGATGAGTTTGCCAACCGCTGAGCCGGGCCGTGCTGCCGCTTTAAAAGGAGCCCGGGGCTCAGAAAAGGCGAGGTGAGATCCTCCTTCCGCTTTGCCGGTTGGTTTTGTTGCAGGTGGAACAAGGAGCCGCTGTTGAGTGGCGCAGAGCGAGCCACACGTGTTTATCATCATGTCCTGGCTGGGGGTCCGGAGGCCAGGCAGCTGGCGAGGACCCCGCGCAGGGTCTCAGCAGCCCCCGCCAGGCAGCAGGCTGTGTCCCCTCCGAGAGCAGCTGGGAGAGCTGCGTGCAGGCTGGCGAGCGGTGGCAGGTCCTCTCTGCAGCCGTGGCCGTGGCCGTGGCCGTGGCCGAGGCCGAGGCCGTGGCCGTGGCCGTGGCCGAGGGCCTGGCTGCTGACCGGTGTGGGGACAGCCAGCCGCCCAGGTCCTCGCGACCGGGGGTGAGGGCCTGAGGATGGGGCTGCATCCCCGGCCACCAGTTCCACAGCAGGGTCCCCTGCACCTCACACATCGATCGTCTTCCTTACCCAGGACAAAACACCACCCTCATCCTCACCCTCACCCTCACCCTCACCCCAGAACAAGCCTGTGGCTCCCCCTCGCCCTCCGGGGTGAGCTGCTGGTGAGGACCCAGAAGTCCCAGCCTTGTCCACCAGGGGGCGGGCTCCGCCTCAAGAAGGGAGCCAGCGCCGCAGGGGTGGCAGTTTGCCCCCCTGCTCAGCGGTGGGGAGGGAACCTGTGCACATTCCGGGCGCGGCAGGGTCACCCCGTGTCCACGGTCCTGATGCCACAGATCTCTGAGCTCGGGGAGCAGGAGAGAGGAGACAAACATTCTCGCACTGACCTCACACACCCTCCACCCGAGGGGAGCTGCCTCAGACTGGAATGTAAAGCCAACAGCCCCGGCCCCAAGGCGGTGACGGCGTGCCAGCCCGCACGGCGTCTCACGTGCCACCCACATGGCTGCCAGGACTGCTGGGCGCAGGCCGCCCCCCACCCCCCATCCCCATCCCCCTCCCCCGGGGCAGGGAGAAGCCACGTGGGTCACAGCAGGGGAGCAGGCTCAGTTCACCCTCTGTCACCCTTCCTGCCAGCACTGCCGGTTACTATTATCATTATTATTATCATTATTATTATTATGATGATGATTAGTTGGTTAACCCTCACCGGAGGATATTTTTTCCATTGCTTTGCAGAGAGAGTGGAAGGGAGTGGGGGGGAGAGAAAGTGGACGTGAGAGAGTCACCTCAGCCGGTTGCCTCCTGCAGACACCCCGACCAGGTTTGGGAGCAAACCAGAGACCCAGGTGCATGCCCTTGACCTGGAATCGAGCCAGACAGGGTGCAAATGGGAGGCAACCGATCGATGTGTCTCACATCGATGTTTCTCCATCTCCCTTCCCCTGAAATCAATAAAACTACAATATGTTTTAAAAAAACAATTTAAGTTAAAAAAGCCCCTCCAGCGGCCCCTCTCATTTCTCCAGGACAGAGCCTGAGTCCCTCGCCTGGCTTAGAGGCACCTGTCCCCGTCCCTCCGCCTGTCTCTCCCCCCTCCCCCCCATCCTGCCCACGGGGCCCTCGGCCCACAGGTCCGAGGCGCTGCTGGGACCTGCCGGCTTCTCCAGCCGTGAGTCAGGCGCAGCTTTTGTTGCAAGGAGCCACTCCCTGGCTGGCCTCCCACGTCCAAAACAAACAGGCGGGGGGTGGCACGCGGGCACCAGAGTGAGGGGAGGAGGGCATTTCAGGACACGCCGGAGAGCATCAGGAGAGTGGGCTGCCTGCTGTCAGGAGGGGAGATGGGGAACCAGGTGGAGGCTGGGCGGGCAGAGGGCGGGTGCACACCTCTGGGGACAGGTGGTGGACACCACCTACTATGCGCCGTCCCCCTGACAGCACCTACTATGCGCCGGCCCCTGACAGCACCTACTATGCGCCGGCCCCCTGACAGCACCTACTATGCGCCGGCCCCCTGACAGCACCTACTATGCGCCGGCCCCCTCCCCACCACGTGAGGGCCACAGGGATCATCCCGCCAACCAGGAGGCCGGAGCTCCGGGCCCGGGGTGAGGGGCTCACAGGTGCGGGGAACGGGGGGCGGGGCTCAGGCCTGTCTGGCACCAGGAACAGCCCCCAACAGCCTCCCGGGCGGGGCGGAGGTCACAGCCGCGCCGTTTGGTTCTCTGCACGGGCAGGTGTCCTGGGCCAGGGTGGGCACCGTGCTCCTGCCAGGGGCCGCGTGGGCATGTGTGCCATCATCCAGGCTGGACGGAACCACCCCTGCAGAGGCAGCCGCTGGACCTGTCGCTCACGCTGTGGCTCGGCCGGACCCCGTGACTGTCATCACCTGCCAGGCGCTCCCCACCTGTCTGTCATGTAAGCAACGCCGATGGTCCCACGACCGTGGTCGGCAAACTGCGGCTCTTTGGCCCCTTGAGTGTGGCTCTTCCACAAAACACCACGGCCTGGGCGAGTCTATGTTGAAGAAGTGGCGTTAGAAGAAGTTTAAGTTTAAAAAACTCGGCTCTCCAAAGAGATGTCCATCGATGTTGTGCTGTTGGTATTTGGCTCTGTGGGCTGGTGAGTTTGCCGACCGCGGGCCTAGGACCAAAAGCATGAACCGGCGAGGGGCTGTGGCCCAGATGGGCCTTCCGGAACCACGCGGAGGGCCTTATTCACGGGCTTACGTGAGGACAAGAGAGACATGGGAGCCGAGACCAGTGTGGCTCAATGGACAGAGCGTCCGTCTGAGGTCTGAAAGTTCCCGGGTTCAATTCCAGCCAAGGGCATGTACCTTGGTTACTGGCACTTCCCTGTTAGGGGGTGTACAGGAAGCAGCTGATGAATGTTTCTCATCGATGTTTCTAGCTCTCTATCCCTCTCCCTTCCTCTCTGTAAAAAATCAATAAAATATATATATATTTTAAAAAGAGACATGGGAGAAATGCAATGACGCCATAGCCCCCCACCCCACCCCAAGTTGGAGGGCAGAGGAAGCAGCAAGGGAAAGGGGAACCCTCTCTCCTCCCCTCCCCCTTCCCGAGCCCGTCAACAGGAGGTGAGATGAACGGAGCCTCGCTCGTGAAGTGAAAGGTCACATAGCGACAGAACAGACATCACAGCACACAGCGGCCCTCTCCCGGGGCGGGGGGTGTAGGGGGAGATGTGGGGGCTGGACAGAAGGAGTCAGATCCCAGAGACAGCGTGACAGGCGGAGGGGGCAGCTCCCCGACAGGAGGTTCAAGGTCGGCACCCCGACTGAGGGCAGTGGAATCTGGAAAGCGATTCCGTGGCCGAGGGAAGCCTTGTGGGGTGTGAGCGGTGTGCCCTGAGCGGGTGGCGGCCACACCCCGAGTGGGGCTCCATACTGAAGGTGCAGACGTGCCGGCCGGCCTGGCTCAGGAGGTCACAGTTCGCTCCTGGTCAGGGCACAGGCCCAGTGTGCGGGCTCCATCCCCAGGATTCAATCATCATTGATGTTTCTCTCTGTCTCTGTCTCTCCCACTCCCTCCCTCCCTCCCTCTCTGAAATTGATTAAAAAAAAAAAAAAAAAAAGTTGCAGACTTTCCCACGTCTTAGCCCTCGGGCGGCTGTAACCGAAGGCCACACTCGGGTAGTTTAGACAGAAACTTGTTGCTCACAATCCTGGCGGCTGGGAAGTCCACGATCAGGGTCCCGGCTGATTCCGTTCCTGGAGAGACTGTTTCGTGGCTGGCAGAGGCTGGCTGCCTTCTGGCTCCGACTTCCCAGGGTTTGGGGGAGGAGAGTGAGCTCCCTGGAGTGTCTTCTTAGAAGGACACTAATTCTCTGGAATTAGGGACCCACCCCTGACCTCACTGAACCCTCAGCCCCTCCAATAAAAGCCTGTCTCCAAGCACAGTCACATTGGTGCGGGAACTTTAACACGGAATTTGGGGAGGAACACAGACATTCAGTCCATAACACTACTTTTCAGGTTTACTTAAACACGAAAGGAGCCCTAACCGGGTTGGCTCAGTGGATAGAGCATCGACCTGTGGACTGAAAGGTCCCGGGTTCGATTCTGGTCAAGGGCCACCTACCTCGGTGGCAGGCTCCTCCCCTGCCCGGCTCATGCAGGAGGCAACCAATGGGTGTGTTTCCCTCTGTCTTTCCCTCTCCTCCACTCTCTCTAAAAATCAATGGAAAACATCCTCAGGTGAGGACTAACGAAACAAACAGAAAAGCCGATTGAAAATCAGCAGCGATCACCATCCTAGGGGAGGGGAGGGGAAGGGAGGGGAAGGGAGAGGGGGGAAAGTGGGGGAGGTGAGGGAAGGTGGAGGAAGGCGAGGGGAGGGGAGGGGAGGGGAAGGGAGGGGAGGGAGGGGAGGGAGGGGGGGAAGTGGGGAGAGGTGAGGGGAGGGGAAAGAAGAAGAGGGAGGGGAGGGGAGGGGAGGGAAGGTAGGGAAGGTGGGGGAAGGGGAGGGGAGGGGAGGAGTCCCTGGTCTCCTGGGAAAGTCCCCCAGGTCCTTCCACCTTAGAGCTCAGAGGAAGCAGAACTTAGGTACAGCCGGCCTGGGGGCTCGGGTTGAGCGGCCACCTGGGAACCAGGTCAGGGTTCCATGCCCGTCAGGGACACCTGCGGAGTTGTGGGCTGGATCCCCGGGCGGGGGGGGGGGGGTGGGGGGGGGGGGGGCGCGGGGGCAGGCGTGCAGGAGGCAGCCGATCCATCGTTCTCTCTCATCATGGATGTCTCTCTCTCTCCTTTCCTCTCTGCCATCGATACAAATATATTTTTATAAATTAGTTCAGAGGGACGATCCCCACCTAATCCCAGCCCACCTGTGGCAGTGACAGCCCCGTCCGCCTCTTCTTGGCGGACACCTTCTCACTGCTCAGCCACAAAGCCTGCCCCACCGGGTCCCTTCCCAGCAGCCTCCATTGTTACTCCGAAAGATGGGGAAGGGCTGTTTCTAACTCTCTGCTCCCAGTTCCTCCAGGGCCGAACGGGGGGACGCTGGGTCCAGAGAGTGTGTGGTTCGTGTGTAATTCGTACATGCATGAAACACGCGTGTGTGTTAGGGTATGGCAGGCACGGGAAGGGGGCCACGCAGACTCACTTTCATCCACAATTCCTACCTTGGCGCTGAGGCCCCTGTGAACCTGCGCTCTTCGCCCTGATTGTTAGCAGCTGGGCGAACAGCACCCAGGGGTTTGCTAGGGTGACAGGAGGACTGAGGCCTGATCAGCAAAGCCCTTTTTCCTGCCTGAGCCACCCTCACCTCGACAACGGCCCGCTGAGTCGCATGGCCCGGGAACCCCTCTACTGACCTCCTCCCGGCCCCCCTTTATCTTGCTACAGTCCTCTCCCTGGGCTGGAGCTGTTTGGCCATATTTTTAAAAAATTGTTTGTAATTGATTTCAGAGAGAGAGAGAGAGAGAGAGAGAGAGAGAGAGAGAGAGAGAGAGAGAGAGAGAGAGAGAGAGAGAGAAACATCCATGCTGAGAGAATCATCGACTGGCTGCCTCCTGTAGGCCCCTAATGGGGATCAAGCACACAGCTGGGCATGTACCCTGACCTGAACCAAACTGTGACCTCAAGGTTCATATGTCAACACTCAACCACTGAGCCACGCCAGCAGGCTGTCCGCCATTTTGGGCCACGTGATGTGTGTGTGTAGGCATGATCACAGGCACAGGGTCTCCACTGACACGTGACGATAGGCTCAGCTTGATGTTTATGCCTGGATTTCCCTGAGCAAAGCCGATCCAGCCCTCTGTTCGGGGACCCACTGCTGATGTTCCCCCTTTGCTGGCCCCCAACACGTTCCTGCCATAAAACCATCGTGCCTGGTCCTGTGGCTGTCATCGGCAGTGTGCTCCGGTCACAGGACCCGGCGGGGCGGGGCGGGGCGGGGCGGGGGGGGGGGGTGTTAGATCTGGAGGTGCTCCTCTCCTTGACTTCGGACTCTGACCCCGTTCCTAACGGGGCTGGTGGCATTCATCACCGAGCAGGCATTTCTGTTCTGGGCACTGAGAACAGTGATGAGCAAAACAGAGACAGGGCGTGTGTGTGTGTGTGTGTGTGTGTGTGTGTGTGAGTGTATGGAGGTGACACTGGAGTGAGGCAGCAGAAAGGCAGATAAACAGTGCGAAGGGGTGATCATTGCAAAGGGAAGAGAAAGCAAGCAGGGAAGGGAGACGGGAGGGTGGATGCTGGGCGGGGAGGTCACATGTTCGAGGGGCGACTGCGCCCAGCACCTTCCCATGTGGCTCCGGGCCGGACACGTGCCCTCCGCACACTCCACGGAGAAGGGGCTCGGCATGACCTCCTGCGTGAACGTCAGAGTGCTCTCCACATGCGGGGCCTGGCGCGGGACGGGTTAAAGGTGAACGGCAGCCTGGCCAGTGTGGCTCCGTGGCTCAGGGTCGGCCCAGGAACCAAGAGGCCAGCAGCTGTGCGCTCCATCCCATATGGGGGGAGCAGGAGGCAGCCAATCCATGACTCTCTCTCATCAGTGACGTCTCTCTCTCTCTCTCTCTCCCTTCCTCTCTGAAATCAACAGAAATGTATTAAAAATAAATGAATAAATAAATGTAAACGGAACATTCCGGACTTCAGGCTCCGCACCATTTTCTTAGGATGACCAGTCTCCGGGGAACATGACCGGTTGGCTCCTAGGCTGTCATTTCAACAGGGAATATTCCACGGACTTGAGAAAGCACAGTTACATAACAAACTCTCCATCCAAACAAGGCAGGTGGAGAGAGGAGCCCAAAGAGGATTATTTTCTGTGACTGCATTTATAGGCTGGACCCAAGTCCTCCTCCAGGAGGCTGTCCCCAAGGCCTGCTTACACTGCAGCCCTAACCTAACCCTTACCCTAACCCTACCCTAACCCTAACCTAACCCTAACTCCACCCTAACCAAACCCTAACCCTAAACTAACCCTAACCCTAACCCTAACCCAGCCTCTACAGTAGCTGACCTGTGATTCTCTCTCACTTTGATGTTTCTCTCGCTCTCTCCCTCTCCCTTCCTCCCTGAAACCAATAAAAATTTAATTAAAAAACAAAACAAGTCCTAGCCATTTGGGTTCAGTAAATAGAGCGTTGGCCTGCGGACTGAAAGGTCCCAGGGTTCGATTCAGGTCAAGGGCATGTACCTTGGTTGTGGGCAAATTCCCAGTAGGGGGCGTGCAGGAGGCAGCTTATCCATGTTTCTCTCTCATTGATGTTTCTAATTCTCTATCCCTCTCCCTTCCTCTCTGTAAAAAATCAATAAATATATATTTTTAAAAACAAAAACCCCAAAGGCCACTGTGGACCAGAGGAAAGAGTGCTCTGGGCAGCCCACAAACTGGTGAAACCAAACACTTTCACCTGGTGAGCAGGTGAGGACAGGAGGCCTGGAGGAGACGGTGTCTGCAGACCAGGGTTTTCTGAAAGAAAAAGGCCAGTGGTCTCGGGGATGTGGGAGGTGGGAGTCTGTAAAGCCGGGACCGGAGCCTTCCCTGAAGCTGACGAGGCGTTTTCACTGCCCTCTGGGCGTGGGGCTCTGAACACGGCTGGTCACTGAGGGCCATGCAGCGAGTGCCACAAGCTGCTACCGTCACGCAGGTGAGACTAGGCAGGCAGGCCTCCAGCCGTCTTCCATTCCCATGGATTCAGAGGAGATAAAGTCGGAGTTTCACCCTAACCGGTTTGGCTCAGTGGATGCAGCGTCGGCCTGCGGACTCAAGGGTCCCAGGTTCGATTCTGGTCAATGGCATGTACCTTGGCTGAGGGCATATCTCCAGTGGGGGATGTGCAGAAAGCAGCTGATCGATGTTTCTCTCATCGATGTTTCTAACTCTCTATCTCTCTCCCTTCCTCTCTGTAAAAAATCAATATAATAAATATATAAATATAAATATATATATATATATATATATATATATATATTTAAAAAGTCAAAGTTTCCTTTAGGATCCTAATAAAAGCACTCCAAATATGATTTTCTGCCTCATGAACAGAATTGAATCAGGAGGCCAGGCTGAGGGCACAGACTTTTATTATATATATATATATATATATATATATAATATATATATATAATATATATATATATATGTCAGAGAGGAAGGGAGAGGGAGACAGAAACATAATACATAATGATGAGAGAGAATCATGGATCTCTCCTGGGCATCGAGCCTGCAACCCGGGCCTGTGCCCTGACCCGGGAATTGAACTGTAGCCTTCAGGTTCATAGGTCAATGCTCAACCCCTGAGCCACCCAGTTCCCAACTACAGGAGGGGTTAGGCAGTGAGAGTTCCCGCCTGCCACAGGCTCGGTGGCATTTAATGTGCACCTCTGTCCTGGCCGCCTCGGTGTGTCCTCCTGCGGGCACTGATTGGTCTCCCGCACATCTTCCTGTGGGAGGGATGTTCTGAACAGCGTGATGCCGACGTGAGGAGGGAAGGAGGGGATCTAAGGCCGTGCAGGGGAAGGGAAGGAAGGAGGACACACACAACAGACAGGGCCTGAGGGCCCGGTGTGTGCCGTGCACGCGGAACGCATGGCGTGCCATTCTTCCCAGCCCTTGGCATAGCTCAGTGTTTCCCAAACTTCTCTCATGATGAGAATCGCCTGGTGGAGTTGTTAAAATACAGTTTCCTGAATCCCAACAAAGAAGAGCTAAACTAGAATTTTTGGGAATCAGGAATCTGTTAAGTATACAATTTTACCTATATGTTCCCAAAAATTCTAGCTTAGCACTTCTTAGTTGGGATTTGGGAATCTGTATTTAAACAACTCCACCAGGCGATTCTCATCATGAGAGAAGTTTGGGAAACACTGGCATAGCTGAGTAATTCTCATTTTTCAGGTTCCAGCCCAAATACCAGCTCCTCAGAGAGCCTTCACTGCCCTCCAGGCCTCTCCTCCCCCGCTCTCTCTCTGGCCTGCCCAGTTCCTGCATGGCACTGACACCTGTAATTATCTTAAGGACTAGCTAGCTCCCCTGGCAGCCTGCAGGCTCGGTGGAGGTCTGGTGGAGCCTGTTTCGGTCTCAGATGCGGGCCTCGTGCCCATCATGGGACGTGGCACACAGTAGGTGCTCACCAGAGGAGTTAACTGTGAATAAATATTTCTGAAGAGGCACGGTTCTTCTCCATCTTTTCTGAAAGACTGTCACCTGACCCTTTAAGAAGTGTCTCTTAGGCCCGGGTCCCCTAGGGCAGGAGGTGGAGCTACAGTCTGGGTAGGAATGGTTAGGGCGCAGAGGAGCTGAGAAGCACGGTTTGCGGGTCACGCCACAGCCAGGGCGTCTGTGCCTCCTGCACTGACGCTGGGAAGGCGGACAAACAGATGATCTGCAAACGCAGGAAGCCATTCTCTATGGATCCCGCTGCCAGGAAGCTCTATTCCAAGCGATGACATCAGAGAATCCGGAGTCCCGCCCCCGAGCCAAGCCCCTTGTGGCCGAAAACTACGAATCCCAGGATGCTCCGCCGCGCAGGGGCCTAGAGCTCTAAGCGCGACCAGCCCCGACGGGCCCGAGCCTCGTCCCGGGGAACCAGGAAGACACCGGATACCCGGCCCGCCGGGCCGCGCGGCGCCTGCCGGGAGTTGTAGTCTCGCGGCCTGGGAGTGCCGCTCGGGAATCTCGGCCGCCGTCTGGGGCCGCGGCGCGCGTGCGCAGTGCGCAGGGCCGTGGGCTCCGCTCGGGCTGGGCGCCGGCGGGAGCGCGGCCGGGCGCCGAGGGGACCGGCGGAGGCCGCGGAGCCGGCGGGCGAGGCGGGCCCGGAGCGCCGCGCCGGCGGAGCGAGCAGGAGGCGGCGGCGGTGCGCGGAGGGGCGGCGGCGCTGGTGAGTGCGGGCGGGCGCGGCGGCGGGCGGCGGCCTCCCGGGCCCGCACCTGGGCGAGGCCGGCGCTCACCTGCGGGGCCGGCGGGCGGGAGGGTCCTCTCCCCGCGGCGCCTCACCGTGCGGCCTCCGGCGTCCGGGCGGCCTCGGGGGCCAGCGTCCCAGGCTCCGCACCCCGCGGGCCGCGCCCTTCCCGCCGCCCGGAGCCCCTTCGGCCCGGCCCCGGCCCCAGGCAGCGCCGCGGCCCCCTCCGGCGGCGGGTCCCCCTCGGGCGGCGGGTCCGGCCCCGGCGGCGGGTCCCCCTGAGGCGGTGGGTTCCCCTCGGGCGGCGGGTCCGGCGGGTCCGGCTTGGGGCGCAGCTCGCCCTTCGGACGCGCCGGTCCCCGCCCCGCCGCGCGGTCTGAGCGCGTCACCTGCGCACCTGCAGCCCCGGCGGCCTGGGGAGGGGGCGGGACCCTCTCCCCCCCCCGGAACCCCCTCTCGCCCGGAACCCCCTCTCCCGGACCCCTCTCCTCCGTTGCCCCCCTCCCCGAGCCCTCCCCAGGAGCCCTCTCCCCCGGAGCCCCTTCCCCCGGGAGCTCCCTCCCCCCGGGAGCCCCCCTCCCCGGAGCCCCTCTTCCCCGGGGCCACCCCTCCCCCCTGAGCCCCTCCCCCCCGGGGCTCCCCCTCCCCGGGGCCCCCCCTTCCCGGAGCCCCTCCTCCCCGGGGCCCCCCCTCCCCGGGGCCCCCCCCCCCCGGCGCCCCTCCCCCCCTGAGCCCCCTCCCCCCCGGGGCCCCTCCCGGGTTGGCGGCGGGGACGCGGCCTGAGCTCGGGGCGCCCCGTGTGCGCGGGTCCCGCCCTGGAAGCACAGACAGCACAGTGCGGGCGCGCCTGCTGGGCTCCCGGGAAAAGGCTAAAAAGGTCCTTTTGTAAATAAAACGGGGCTTTCTTCATCTGAAGGACTGGGCTTATTTCACCAAGCGGTGCGGTCCGTCCGGACGGAGATGCCTGTTCCATTGCACACGCACATCTTCATCTTACACCCCCCCCAAAAAAAAAACACACACAAAAAACAAAAACAGAAACAAATAGAGCTGTTGGCTCCCCGTTCTGATCTTCCCGCGGAGCGCGGTCCGCGGCGCCCACGCGGGTGGGACGAGCGGAGCGGTCACGGCGGTTCGTGGACGGCGCTGGGCCCCGGGCTCCGGGCCGGTTCCCCGGAGGAGCCCTGCGTCCGGGTGCGGGCCGGTCCCCTGGCCACTGGGTGAGGGTGCGGCTGTGCGGAGACGCTCCCAGCGCCTGTGGTCTTGTGGCTGCTCCGGGGGGAGCGGGCTGCGCCCTCTCCTCCCGCGTCCGCGGGCCGGCGGAGCGGACAGAGGGGGCCCGGGAGCGGGCCGGGGACCGGGGGAACAGCACAACAGGATGAGGCACAATCACTCGGAAGCCGGCGGAGCGGAAGGCCCCTTTTAGAAAGAAGTAAGTGTGCGGGACGTTCAGGCGAGGCTTTGTTTGTGAGGAACCGCGGGCACTGATTGTTCCTGGGTAGGACGTGATGGTGGGGGGCTCCTAGAAGGACTGGGGAAAGACGGGGACACTTCATGTGTTTATAGGCGCTTTTCCCCAGAAACATCTAATGCAGCTTTAAAAAAAAAAGTTCTTATAGTCACACTGCAAAAACCAGTTATTTTGACTCCATGGTGATTTATAACCCAGAATGAAATCTATAAACGAATTTACTAGAACAATTTAAGTCAGATTTTGCTTGAAATATTGAAATATTGCTTGATGTTAAATGGTTACCCTCTTTTCAATGTATTTTTTTGTTTTGTTTTCTAATTGATTTCAGAGAGGAAGGGAGAGGAAGAGAGAAACATCAGTGATGGGAGAATCATTGATCGGCTGCCTCCTGCACATCCCCTCCTGGGGATGGAGCCTGCAACCTGGGCCTGTGCCTGACCAGGAATTGTACCAGTGAAGACCTGGTTCTTGGGTTGTTGCTCAACCACTGAGCCAAGTTGGTCAGGCGGTGCTTTTTATTCCTCTGTCATTTAAGAATGGGAAAGGCCTAGTGGGTGTTCTGAGTGGTTAGAGCTATTGCCCACACACCAGAGGGTCACAGGTTTGATTCCCTGGTCAAGGGCAGGTACCCTTGTGGTTGCAGGTTCGATCCTAAGCCCCCGTTGGGGCGTGTACAAGAGGCAAGCAATTGTTGAGAGAGAGGTGTCTCTCTCAAGGGTTCCTCTCTGGCTCTCCCCCCTTCCCTTCCCCTCTCTCTCTTTCTCCCTCCCTCTCACCCCCATTTACTCTAAAAAATCAATGGGTGAGGGTTAGCAACAACACCAAAGAACGGGGAAGATAAAGGTTTTCTGGAGAGAATGGAGTGAAGCGACCCTAGTTACTCACACTCGGCTCTTACTGATAGAAGCTTTCAGTGTTACAGCACTAACGGCCTCGCTGTGAGCAGCGAGGTCTCCCCAGCACCGCTTCACCTGCGGGAGCTTTGCTTTGGTGATGTCAGAATGCCTTCACCTGCGGGAGCTTTGCTTTGGTGATGTCAGAATGCCCTGCTACACCTCTCTGTCCCTCCTCTCACTCAGGTCTCAGTGAGACAATAAAATGCTTCCCAGGAGGTAAAGAGGGAAGTTAGCTTCATTCTTTTGACCTTTTATAAGGACACACATTTGGAAACTGATGAGGTATCAGAAGCAGGTTCTTCAGGCAGACACATGTCTGTAATGCTTAGTTATTTTTAGGAACATAAAAATAGGGGGTGTTTTCATTTAAAACTCAAAATTCCTGTTGATAGCTGCTAACAGCCATAGGTCTCTGTTACGCTTACTGAGTGACGGTAAGCCATTTGAGCTCCAAGGAATATCCTTCCGAGTAGCTCCTGTGTGACAGAATGTCTGACCTGGGAATTCCTGGACGACACTTCGGCAGACACGCCTGCTGCTCGGTGAGCTTCTGATAGAGGAGTGGGTGCGTTCAGGAAGATAGTGTTTGGGGGTTTATTGCATAAGCTTTTTTGAGCTGGAATCTCTGTTGAACGTGAAAGGAAATGAGCCGTTTAGGGTCTCCGCAAACCTGTGAGTACGTCTGACCGGTCAGTCCCTGCCTGTCAGTTTCCTGTGAGAAACCCTGGGATCCGTAACTGCCGCGTCAGTCTGGGGGGGTGCCCTCCAGCAGGTGTGTTGAGCCCATTCATATGGCTTAGACTGGAGCCCGGCTCTGGGTTCTGGGCCCGCTGGCTCCTTTCTGAGAAAGGCAGGCCACGGGCACTGAGGGGATGTGCCCCCAGGAGCCCTGGGTTGTGTAAGAGACAGCTGGTCGATTTTTCTCTCTCATCGATGTTTCTAGCTCTCTATCCCTCTCCTTTCCTCTCTGTAAAAAATAAATACAAATATATCTATATATTTTTTTAAAAGCTCCAGCCTACCCTGTTTCCGGGTAAACCTCGGTCTCCTGTGCTGTGAAGCTTTTCTCCCTTACTGACCAGGGCTGGGCCACGTGCAGGAGCCCTGGATGGGCGGGTGGAGGTGTGCCCGGGGCAGGCCTTCTTTGGGATCTCTGGTCAGAAGAAGCAGTGAAAGGACAGCAGTTCTGGCCTGGGAGTATCAGGGCTGGCTCAGGGGCTGAGTGCCGACCTATGAACCAGGAGGTCACGGTTCCATTCCCAGTCAGGGCACAGGCCTGGGTTGCGGTCTCGAGCCCCAGTAGGGGACCTGCAGGAGTCAGCTGATGAATGATTCTCATTGATGTTTCTCTCCCCCTCCCTCCTTCTCTGAAATCAATACAAATATATTAAAAAACAAAAAACACCCAAGCTCTCAGTGGCAGCCAGGGTCCTAACAGGAGTCCACCCGGGGCTTTGGGGAGTTGGTGCAGGGAGCGCCCTCAACCCCGAGTTCCGGGCCTGACGTTAGCTGCCTGCACTCCTCTCCTGTCCCTGCCAGTCCTCCCTGGGCTCCTGGGGCGTGTGCCCAGGTGGCTGGGGATGTGTTCTCGTGCGGCCCGGTTTCATTCACGCCAGCTAGATACCCCCTGGTTACCTCCTGCAGCTTCCCGGAACCCACTGACACCATTTCCTTGTGACGCCGAGCGGTGGCCCCCTTCCTGGCCTGCACTTCCTGTTCAGACACTGAACCAGAGAAGGGGTGCTGGGCTCTCTGGCCCTTCTCTCGTGGACGATGCTCTTAGTGTCCGCTGCCCCCATTTGGGGTGAGTGCCCCTCTGTTCCCTGTGCTCTCTCTGGAGACTTACAGGACTTCTGAGTGATTCACACCAGCTGTTTGTATGGTGGGGAGCCCAGAGGTCTGGGGGGATGCCCGTGTGGGCTCCCCAGAGGTTTGGCCGATGCAGGTACCTGCTTAGCTATGTGTGTGTCTGTAGTTTGGGGAGAATCAGGGTGGTCTCACACAACATCCAGGTAACAATAGCAAGGTCCTGAGGCCTAGCCAGGTCTCACTCTGCAGAACTTCACTCCTTTTTCTTTTCTTTTCTGTCTCTGACTTCTGTTTTCACTTTTTTGGCTTACTTCCTGGTTCCTGCTGATGAAGTATTAACTACAAGTTTGTTAATTTATCACTGATTGTATTATCTAATCACTAGAGGCGTGGAGTGCAAATTTGTGCTCTTGTGGGGTTGGGCCCTGGGGCTGGCAGACCTGCGCCAATCAGGCTGGGCTGGCCAGGGGGCGGGACCATGGGCCACCAGCTGGCCATGCCCCCTGGTCAAACTCCCAGTCAAGGGGACAATTTGCATATTAGCCTTTTATTATATGGGATATGCTAGAGCATAAGAAATGCTGAAGGATAAATATTGGGGATGTTTTAGTCATATAATTTTATCTATTCTTGCCTCATACTAACTTGACTAAAAATGATACAAATCCATACAAAAATATAGTGTTTGAACCTTTTTCCGTCCGTCGTCTAAACAAACCAGCCCGATAAATCTGCTGGATGATTTCTTGTCTGATGAGGATGCAAGTTTGTTTTTGGAAAATTAAACATTCAGATTAGTTGCAGTAATTATGGGTTTCTTAACACTTCACTCAACAAATTGTTACCAAGTGCCTCCCATGTGCCAGCAGCTGTTTCAGGCATTAGAAATGCCCTCGTCCACAGAAACACAAGCCCTGCTCTCCTGGAGCCTGTGCTCCCAGCAGAGAAACACGGTCAGTGAGGAAGGACTCACCCTAAAGTCACCCCCTCCCCACCTGCTGAGATATGAGCTGTCTCAGTCCTTCCCTCCCTCCCTCCCTCCCTCTTTCCCTCCTTCCCTCCTATCCCTGCCTCACTCCTTTCTTCCCTCCTTCCCTCCTTCCTTTTTATCTTAGCAAAGGACTTCTGAGATTTACTCATGTGGTGTGTATCAGTCGCTTTGTCCTTTATGTTGCTGATTGGTATTCCATAGGGCCTATCAGAGTTCATTCATTTACCAGATGGAGCGACATTTGGGGTGTTTGTGCTTCTGCCAGGTGTGGACAGTGTTGCTATAAACATTTCCATGCAGGTGTTTTGTGTGAATATAAGCTTTCAGTTCACGTGGATAAATACCTAAGAGTGGGATTGCTGGCTCATATCATAAGAATATGTATATACCTTCATAAGAATCTGCCAACCTGTGTTCCCATGGTGCCGTATCATTTTGCATTCCCATCATCAGTGTATGCCAGAGTGTTCATTTGCTCATGCTTGTCAGCATTTGGTAGTGCCAGGTTTTTTGTTTGTTTGCTTTTAGGTGCTTTTTGTTTGTTTTAGCCATTCTCGTAGGTATGTGGTGGCATCTTCTGGTGTTCCTGAGTAATGATGATCATCTTTTTATGTGCTGATTTACCACATATAGATATATTTCTTTGGCTTGTCTATATGTTTTTTGCCCATTTTTCTACATGGTTGTTTGCTTTATTATAATAATAATTCTTTGCCTGTTCTTGGATATTTGGTATAAATGTACTGGATATTTTCTCCCATCTGTGGCTTGTCTTTGGATTTGTTTGTTTGTTCTTCCTTTTTTGTTTTGATTTCTTACTGTTTCCGTCATAGAGAAGCCCTTACTTGTAACTCTGTCCAGTGTAGGAGCTGTTACTGACCCAGCTGCTCTGTGTTGTCTGGTGTCCGGCTCCACACAGGGCCCTCAGACGTGCCCCCGGGGTTTCTTGGGAACTGTCCTGCTGCAGCCTTTAGTTAGCGCCCTGACCACTTCGAGCTGATTGATTTCAAATGGACAGCAGCCGTGTCAGCACCATCCCCTGGGGAAGCCTTTGTTGAAAACGTTGACAGCACGTGTGGTTCTGTTTCTGGGTGCTCTGCAGATTTGTTGATTCATTAGGACCATCTTCTCACCAGCCCTACCCTGTCTTTATTGCTGTGGCTTCATTGTAAATCTGGAAATCAGGCAGTGCAGTCTGCTCGTCCTGACGGAGTTTCTCTGAGTTAACCTTCCTGAGCCTTTAAACCAGAGCCGATCAGAGAAACCCTTTCTGCCCCGAGAGGTGCTGGGCACAGGCGCCAGGCTCGTCAGGACGGAGCCCTCGCGTGTTTCTAGAGAGAGTGACTGCCATCCTGTTTGTAACCCAGGTCCCAGTTCTCACGTTCATCAGAGCAGCGCAAGGCCAGCCCTTCAGACCACAGTGCGCCGTCTCCGAGGCCTCCCTCACCCGCACCCTCTCCTTCCCCAGAGGCGTAGTTTTGCTGAAGAAACGGGGCTGTGTCCTGGCCTCTCCCCGTGTGGCTTTGGTGATTGAACCCAGTTTATCGGGTTCCTCGGTGTCCTTCCTGTCCTGTCCATCGTGGTTGGGAATAGGGAGCTCGGTGAGAGATGCAGGTGACAGACAGCTTTCTCTGGTCACAGCGGGTTCACGTCATCGGCGGTGCTGCAGCCCGTCAGGAGGTGCAGTGCCTGCTTCTATCTCCTCATGGTGGTAGCTGGCTTTGTTTTGATTTGTTTTAGTTTTAAGAATGGAAAGGTTTTGGAGAGGCAGAGTGGTGTAGAGATTAAATACAAGCTGCAGAGTCCAAGGATCTGGTCACGTTTTGATCCGTTTCCAACTGGTTCTCTAGTCTGAGAAGCACTTCCTCCCCAGTGGTAAGCTTCTTGTCTGGAATGGGAAAGATGGTGCTACTCAGGTCACTGAGGATCACATGAGAAAGTGCGTGGGAAGGAAGCTCAGAGCCCAGCACACAGTCAGCGGCCGGTGGAAGTTCGCCACCGCTGTTTTGTGTATTTAGATCCCCTGGATCCTGACTTACAGGTGAGGAGATGCAAGTGTGGGTGGCTGAGTCTTCGGTCCACTTGGGTGGGTTTGGGGAAAAGTAAGTACTGTGGGTTATTCAGGTGAGGCGCCAGCCTCCCCCGCCCTCCCCGGTGTGAACAGCCGCCCTGATTTTACAAGTGACTTTGGCCCAGGCTTTGTACGTGTTCGCCCTGACCCGCTCCCACTGCTGTCGGAAGTGGTTGAAGAAATCCTACCACAACACAGGTGTCCTCACGGTCCCTGAGGAACACTGACCCGTGGTGCTTCTGTCTTACAGTGTGATGTGCAAGCTCAGAAATGCCTTATGTGGATCGTCAGAACCGCATCTGTGGTTTTCTAGACATCGAAGAAAATGAGAACAGTGGTAAATTTCTTCGAAGGTACTTCATACTGGATACCAGAGAAGACAGTTTTGTATGGTACATGGACAATCCACAGGTTTGTAAAATCCAAGGGGCTTCCTTTCTTCAAAAGCATGCATGCCAGAGTGTTCGTTGTCAAAGCATTTGACGTCCTGTGATGTTGTGATTTGTCTTCCAAAACAGTATGTATTTAGACTTGTTTCTGCGCGGGCACCCTCCCTGCCCTGCTGTCTCAGAAGATGAAACAAACTTTATTTGTAAAAATGGATGCATCACCTATGCTTTTCCTCCGGGGTGAGAAGCACGAGCTCTGCTAGAACACTTAGAACCTGTAGTTAGCAGTGCCGACCTTTCAGACCTCGCGGACAGCAGTCCCGACCACCGGCTGGCGACCGCCGCTGTCCCTAAGGTGGCAACACGCTGCGCACTAGCTGGCTCCCGCACGATGTCGGCCTTCCATTGTGAGAACTGGCGTGTCAGCGAGCGCCCTTCCTGGTGGAGGGGTAGGGGGAGGGAGAGAAACATCAGTGAAAGAGAAGTGTAGAGTGGCTACTCCTGCACACCCCCTCCTGGGGATTGAGTCTGCCCCCGGGACTGTGCCTAGCCAGGACGTGAACTGACAGCCTCTCAGGCACAGGGTGATGCTCAGCAGCCGCCATGCGGCGAGGGCTGGGTGGTGGGCTTTGCGCTCAGGAAGAGCTCAGTTTCAGTGGCACAGACAGCTCTGTTGTTACAGAGTCTGCTGCGGTGAGACAGTAGACTATTATCCATGTTGTCAAGATGGATAGCAGACTGATTTCAGACCTAGGAGGCACTTGAACTGAAAAGGCTGATGTATAAAATGTGATACTAAAAGTTTCAATTTGTTAACTTTTTAAATGTGTAAAGAATTACAACAAGGTCACGAGGCTGGATATTAACTCTGTATCAATAATTTCTTCTAGAACCTCCCTTCAGGGTCGTCCCGGGTCGGAGCCATCAAACTCACCTACATTTCAAAGGTGATCTTTCTGTACTAACTACATTTGTGCTTGAATTGAAGTCTTTCAGAATGGCAGTGCGAACAAAAGGAACAGTTTCCTTCTATGCCATTTAATGATGGTGTTCAGGTTCAAATCATGCTGAAAATAGGACCTGAATACTATGCTTAGCATGTTTTTGATAAAGTTAGGAGGAATATGGAATTAACTTACAGGATGTTACACATTGCAAACTTTTACAGTAACTTCTGTGATGAGATTAGTGAACATCAGAACGAGAGAAATCAGCAATTAGGTTCTATGGGAAACAGAACATTTTTCTAAGTCTGTATTACATTAAACTGTTTCCATTACCTTTATTTTTTCTTTATGCTTTATTTTGAGGAAAGTATGAACCATCCTATATAATAAAAGCCTAATATGCTAAGTGTCCAGTTATCTGATCAGCCGTTCAACCAAAGTGTATTATGTTAATGTTATGCTAAGGCCATTCAACTGCTCACTATGCTGTGCACTGACCAGTGTCTGTCATAGGGCAGATACTCCCGACAGGTAGGTTAGCTTGCTGCTGGGGTCCGGCTGATCGGGACTGAGTGAGATGGGTCAGGCATGCCCTGGAGCCCACCTGCAGTTTCTCCCTGGCCCCGATGATACACTGGTGGGGTACCTCGGCCTGGCTTGCACCCTCTTGCAATCTGGGACCCCTCGCGGGAGGTAGGAGAGTTGTTTTTGGCCTGATCCTGCAGACCAGGCTGAGGGACCTTTAAATTAAGACACAAATTTGTGCACTGGGCCTCTAGTCTCTATGATAGCAGAATGATTCCCCCCACCCTCAATCTTTAACTTTCTCTCTACTAATGCGTTTCCTTGTGTGTTGATTTTTCTGGTATTTCCTCCTCAGAGAGGTAGGAAAAGGGAGAGAGATGGAAATATCAGTGATGAGAGAAAGTCATTGTTTGGCTGCCTCCTGCAAGCCCCCACTGGGGATCGAGCACACAACTTAGGCATGTGTCTTACAGGGAATCAAACCGTGACCTGGTTCTCGGGTCAATGCTTAACCACTGAACAACACCAGCTGGGCTTTTCTGGCATTTTTGTAATACTATTTTTCTTTTCAAAAATTTTGATTTGATAATGTCAGGTATTTTCTATTCTGGGTTTTTTTTGTGTTTTATTTTTTTGTGGATGATTTAAGATCTGAGATTTGAAAAGTAGCAACATAGTAGCTTAAGAAGATGCATATGCTTATTGTTTTGCATATGTCAGGATTTGTCAGCAAGGTCTTTAGCAAGAGACTAGTTTACAGTGTGTCTCTGTTTAAAAGATATTTTTATAAATAAAATACTTCGTTATCAGTATAACAATAGAACTATTCATTCTCATTGACAAAAGAATCAGCCATTGGACAATAAAGATTACATGTTTTAAGGGAAACTTTTTATGTTAAGGCCATATAATGTAAATTTATAAAACAAATGTTCCCATAAATGAAGACTTTCTGAAAAAAAATTTTTTTCCTCTTTTTAAATTAAGACATTTAATAAATGCTTCAGGGTAGCTTGCAGCTTAAAATCTATACAGACCGTTAATAGGAAGCATAGAATTCCTGGTGCAGGACACCCAGGTCCCCAGTTTGCTTGACTGCCTGCGGCGTCCATGCGTGCACTGCGGCGTCCATGCGTGCACTGCGGCGTCCATGCGTGCGTGCACTGCGGCGTCCATGCGTGCACTGCGGCGTCCATGCATGCGTGCACTGCGGCGTCCATGCGTGCACTGCGGCGTCCATGGCGTCCATGCGTGCACTGCGGCGTCCATGCGTGCACTGCGGCGTCCATGCGTGTGTGCACTGCGGCGTCCATGCGTGCGTGCACTGCGGCGTCCATGCGTGCACTGCGGCGTCCATGCGTGCACTGCGGCGTCCATGCATGCGTGCACTGCGGCGTCCATGCGTGCACTGCGGCGTCCATGCATGCGTGCACTGCGGCGTCCATGCGTGCACTGCGGCGTCCATGCGTGCACTGCAGCGTCCATGCGTGCACTGCGGCGTCCATGCATGCGTGCACTGCGGCGTCCATGCGTGCACTGCGGCGTCATGCATGCGGCGCGGCGTCCATGCGTGCACTGCGGCGTCCATGCATGCGTGCACTGCGGCGTCCATGCGTGCACTGCGGCGTCCATGCGTGCACTGCGGCGTCCATGCGTGCACTGCGGCGTCCATGCATGCGTGCACTGCGGCGTCCATGCGTGCACTGCGGCGTCCATGCATGCGTGCACTGCGGCGTCAGTGTGCCGCCGGCATCTTTCCCTCGGAGGTCAGGGGAAAGCCATTTTCCTGGCACAGGCATTGAGGGAGCCGTTGTCCATCTGCTCGTGTCATTACCACAGTTGCTGATTGCCTGGTCTTTTTAAAAACGGGAGCTCTTTTTATTTCTAAAATTTTTTCCAAGGTAAAGTGTGCTTTTATTTATTTTTCTTTATATTGGCACTTTATTTGTACTTGATTTTAATCAAGGATGCTTTCTTTTAGTTTTTATTTTTTCAGTTACAGTTTCCATTCAGTGTAACTTTGTGTCTCAGTGGAAAATGGGATCTCGGTGAAAATGAGCTGTTGACTAAGCCACGGGCTGCCCGGCAGCTGTTTTCCCCATCGCTTCCCTTTGAGGACGTCACTTTCTCTGTTAACTTTCACCTCTGCCCCCAGCTTAGCAAGTGTGAGTGGTAGGGTTTGTACTCACTTGGAGACGGGCCACTTTCCCCAGAATCCTCCTGGAGCACATTGCATGTGACTCAGAGCTGTGGCTTATAGCTAGGTCACGTGGTAAAACAGATGCTCCAGTGTCAGTCCCACGCTGGGCACAGCAGGCTGTGGGCATGAATGGGCTTCGGGGGCTGCGTCACCAACAGGAGGGCAGCGCACAGGGGCGGGCGGTGCTCCCTGCTGGAAGCAGCCTGTGCTGCGCGGTGACGAGCCCCTCCCCCGGTGCTCCACTGCGGCGCCCGCCCACCTTTCGGATCGCGGACCACGGGCTGGCGACCCTGCCCGCGTGTCCCGGAGAGGATCCGGGCCAGTCTGCTTCCTCGTCGCGGTTTCGTGCCTGCTGATTGCGGGACTTCCTTAAGCATTCCCTCTCCCACCCCGTCTTCCCTTAGAGCTCACAGCTAGCTTAGAAACAGACAGTCCGGGAGGAACTCATAGGTTTGTAGAGGCGTTTTGAAAAACACACTAAACGACAAACATCTGTATGCGTGACATAAAACTCAGAGGCTCACTTTGAGTTCTCACCCTTCCTGTGGGAGAAACAGGTTTGCTCGGAGCACATGGAGGAGGCTCCTGAGGGGAGCCGCAGCCACATACAAACGTGGTCCTTTCTCAGCGGCTCGAGTCTGCTCCCCTCTGTGTGTGGCAGCGGTGATGGGGAGAGCGGCACGGCCGTGGCTCCGCGGGGGCCGGCTGCGGTGTCCGTGCGGCAGCAGTGACTCCTCTCTTTCCGGCAGGTGAGCGATGCCACTAAGCTGAGGCCAAAGGCGGAGTTCTGTTTTGGTGAGTACCCGTCTTCCAGGGCCTGGTTCTGAGTTCATGTCACTGCGTCCTGACGTGGAGGAAGCGGTCACTCCTGAGGGCTGAGGAGCTGTTCTCAGGCAGGCTCCCCGGAGCCGCCTTGGGGAGGAAGGGAGCTGCTGCTCTCCCCGGCCCCCCTATTCTCCCTCAACCCCCCTCGCCCCCTCTCAGGTGTCTCGCCCAGTCTACCCTCCCCACCCCCCTACCCCTCTGGCTAGCTGAGGGTAGCTGATGACCTTTTTATCAGGCACTTAGAATGTCTGATAGGTGTCTGCCATGTTTGGCACTGGGGCTGCTAGTAATGATTGGTACCTGTGTCTGTCACATCAGGAGGAGAGGAAAGGTGTGAAATTTCAGATCCTCATTGGGCATCTCGGGAGCCAGGGAGCCACCCTGACAGAGGGGACGCTGGAGGTGGTGTGCGCTCACCTGACCATCCTTTGCCCTGGGGAGAAGGGGGGGTGGACCTCCTGGGCAGGTGCAGGGGGGAGGGGCGCACAGGGGGAGAGGAGGCTTGTGAAGCTGGAGGGAGGGGAGAGACTGAGGTGACACGCTATTTTTAAGCGATGGGAAAGGAATTAGCATCTGGAAAGTGGGCATAGGTGAAGGTAGAGTTTTTTGTTTTGTTTTGTTTTGTTTTGTATGGATAAGGGAGTTTTGGTGTTGGTAGGTGAGTTAAGTGTCTTTCAAACTGTTCCCCGTTCAGATGGGCCTGGATGAGGGTGGTGGCGGCGAGGAGAGGAAGGGTGAGAACTTTAGGGGGAGTCCAGCCCTGGGGCTGCACAGTGGGGTGTGTGGGGGTTGGGGCCTCCAGGCGCCTTCGGGGCGAGGGTCTCCGCCTGCTGGCGGGAGCATAAAGGGAGTCAACCTTCTGGGAAGACAGCTTGCCAATATCTGTAAAACGTCTAATATCAATTCCCTTTGCTCCAGCACGTTCATGTTCAGAAACTTACCCCATAGGAATGCCAGCCTGAGTATGGAGAAATGTATGTCATTGGGACAGTTTATATAATTTCAAACATTGAGCAGCCTCCATGTCCATCATGGGGGTGGGTCGAGTATATTGTGTTTTTGTTTAATGGAAGAACGTTACCCTGTTACTGAGTGATAGCAGCAGTTCTAGGAAGGTCACAGCATTGACCCTAGCATGGTGTTTCATTTGCTGCAAACACAAACCTGGAGGTAATAAGTGCCCAATTTCACCTATTTTAGTTTATTTTTTCTCTCAACAGTGATGAACGCAGGGATGAGGAAATATTTCCTACAAGCCAATGACCAGCAGGACCTAGTAGAATGGGTCAATGTGTTGAACAAAGCTATAAAAATTACAGTAAGTATCTGTATTTTAAAGTTTTAATGTCTGGAAGTAATTGTGCATTTTGCAAACACACCTACTGGATAATGACTGAATTGCTAGTAGGTTGATAGACGAGATCGGTGTTTAAAATGTGAATGCACTTCCTGTCCGTGGTGACTGCCCTAAACCCGCCCGGGAATGGGGGCCAGCCCGCTCTGCGTCCCGGGGTTCCAGCCCTGCTGTGGCCACGTGTCTGGGAACACGCAGAGTTCTCCTGGAGGGCGCGTGGGCTTTTCCTTCCAGAGCAGTCGTCTTCCGCCTCCACCCCGGTGGGAGCAGGGTTCCTGCCCCACACGACCGGGCTGCTGCTGGGGGGGAGGGTGTGAGGGCTTGGACTGAGCGCGGCTGAGGGGCCGATCGGACGGGCCTCGGGAGTTTGTCTCGGGCTCTCCTCTTCTCGCCGCACCCGCTTTCTCCCGCGTGCCAGCACTCGCTACCTCACGCCCAGTTCTGTGCGGCGACTTCTCTCCGAGCGGCTTTCTTTCTCCGTCTTCGGAGGGACGTGAGTGTTGGATGTCACCTGCGCCGGGCCCTGCCCTGAGGCGTACCTAACGCAGGTGGAGGTGCGGGACCTGGGAGGGTTTAGTACCTAAGGTGACGGGAGAGGGTGTGGCTGGGGGGGACACAGTGCAGCACAGACATCCTGTCACACAGAGACCCACACCTGGAACCCATATCCTCCTGCTGACCAGAGTTTAATAAATAAAATACAGTTACGTTTAATAAATGAAATGCAATAAAAAGGGCCGAGTGCCTTGCACAGTTCCCTTGCTGGTGAAGGGGAGCTGTGAGCCACCGCTGTGAAGGCCCCACAGTGCAGCCAGCCGCGGTCCTGCTCTGTCCTCCCGCTGGGAGGTCAGCAAGGACATGGGGTCTGACCTGGTGATGCCCTCACCTCTTTCCTCCTGGCACGGGGGGAGCACATAGTGGGCCTGCTCGGAAGGGGCAGGAGGGTGTCTGTGGGGCCTGTGTGTTTACGGACCCAGACAGTCTCCTCCATAACCATCGCCGTGCTCGGCCCACATTCACGTCGCACTCGGGCGGAGTCACACCGCGGCTGCTCAGGCGATGCCGGCGCTTTGGCCTCTCACTGAGCAGCCTGCCAGCACCTCTGACAAACACCCCCGCACGCAGCTGCACATCTGCTCCGCAGAAGCAGAAGTTACTTCAGGTTTGTGCGCTTCAAGAAAGCCATTTTGTAACTGACTCAGCAGAACTTGTCCTTAAGAGGCCGTCACTGAGGGCTTCCACCTCTTCCTATCAATCTCTGTGGGAATCCCTTAGAGCAGTGTTTCCCAAACTTTTGACATATGTGTACCGCTTTCATAATTTTCGTAACGCTGAGTACCCTTCGTACTCATGAGAACGTAGAATTAGGCTCAGCTAAGCACGGTGCAGGGCATATCCCACCAAACTCCGGTGCAACACGTACCCCCACCAGACTCTTCCCGTTCCCTTGGGGGTACGCATACCACACTTTGGGAAACACTGCCTTCGAGAGATGGCCCAGGCCCTTGGCCGAGCTGACCGCCTGGCAGTTCCCACTGACAGCAGCTTGCAGCCTTCCTGAGGGAGCTCGCGGCCGGTCACAGGACATGAAGCAGTTGCAATGCCTTTGCTTCCACGTTGGTGAGGTGTCTGCTCACCTAGGAAATTCCTATGTTAGCAGCCGCTCCCTGTTCTGTGGGTTTGTCTCGGATACAGGCATTGGAATTCCTTAAGAGTTTTTAAAGTTCCTAACAAGTTTTGCCTGGCTGGGTGACTCAGTGGTTGAGCATCGACCCGTGCACCAAGGGGTCACTAGTTCGATTCCAGTCAGGGCACGTGACTGGGTTGTGGGCTCGATCCCCTGTAGGGGTCATGCAGGAGGCAGCCAATCGATGTTAGTGTTTCTGTCTCATTGTTTCTCCCTTTCACTTCCTCTCTCTCTAAAAATCAATAAAAACTATATATATTTCCGTCTCTCCTGCTTTTAGATTGTTCCATTGAGTCTTCCAACATGTACTGAAGACTCTGTATTGCCCAGTAGTAGCTCTGCCCCAAAGCCAGAAATGACGAATACGCCACCGTCCTTGTCCACAGGGACATGCAGAGTCCTGGGTGGGCTGGAGGGAAGGAGAGACGGCAGCTCAGCCGCATGCGGCGTTAGGTCCCGGAAGCGGGTGTATGTGGCGGCTGAGTGTGGGCTGGAATGGGGTGTCTCCGTCCTTGGAGCCTTGTCTCGGGGTTGCCGGGAACCTGCCCTCGGGAGAGGGCTGGACGGGACGATGAGGTGAGTGGTGGGAACCAGTCCTGCCCTCAGGGCCCTCGGTAATGGTGGCTGTGGTCGTGTGAGCACTCACAGTCACGCACACTGTCAGCAGTTCTTACACGTGTTAGTGTTATGTAAGCAGACTAAGCTGGAAATTCTGTGGTAAAAGGGTGTCTGGAATGCTGGTTGCAAAATCATTCGTTTCCCTTCCTGTTTTAGGTACCAAAGCAGTCAGACGCACAGCCTCATTCTGAAAACCCGAGCCGCCCGGGGGACTGTGGGAAGAAGCAGGTGTCCTACCGGACGGACATTGTGGGCGGGGTGCCCATCATCACGCCGACGCAGGTAGGCCAGGTGCTGTGTGGGAGAGTTCCTCACGGGGTGATGTCAGTGCTGCTGTCAGGCTGAAGTAGTGCGACTCTGACAGTGCAGGAGTCTGAGTGCAGAAAGCGTACGTGGGTGTCTCTGGTTTCAGAAGTTAGGAGAACAGCGACACCAACGAGGATGTGGAGAGATTGGTACTCACATTGCTGGTGGGAACGGAAGTAGGAGGGCCCCTTCGGAAAAGCGTTTGGCAGATTTTCATAAAAATAAACTTGTAGTTAATTCATGACCCAGCATTTACACTCGTAGGCCGTAATGTATTGAAATGAGACGTATGTTTATATAGAAACCTGTACATGCATGTTCTTGACAGCTTTATGCTAAAAGCCCCAAGTTGGACCTAACACCAAAGCTGTTTAGCGGGTGAGTGGTTAACAGCGGTCAAACCAGGCGAACTGCTCAGCAGGAAGAGGGTGGGCTGCTGGTCCAAGGAGTAGCTGGCTGCATCCCCAGAGAATGTGCTGGTTAAGAAAGCACTTTCACAGGCCTCCCGACTCTACTTGCATTATATTCTCTAAACGGTAGGCTAGGAAGATGGAGAACAGGTTCGTGGCTGCTCAGGAGCTGGGGAGTGGACTAGAGAGGGAGCTGTGGTGGCCAGTGAGGGAGTGTGGTGGTGGCTACCTGCATAGGACGATGCACACAGACAGATGAATGTGTGTCAGTCCGTGAAATCCAGCCCCCCCACCCCCAGTTGCCAGCACCGGCTTCCCTCTGGCATCCGGGATCTGGACTTTCCTTGCAGCCTCGGCTTCATCCAGGACAACCAGTCTAATTACCATATTAGGCTTTTATTACTATAGATTGCTTTTAGAGAAGAAAGGAGAGGGAGAGAGATGGAAATGTCAATGAGAGAGAACATTGATCGGCTGCCTCCTGCATGCCTCCTAGTGGGAATCAAGCCTGCAACCTGGGCCAGTGCCCTGACCGGGAATCAAACTGGTGACCTCTTGGTGCACGGGTCAATGCTCAACTACTGAGCCACACCAGTGGTGGCCCTTCTGTACATTTTTAAAGTGCCAGGTGTACCAGTTAATGCGGATTTTTATAATCAAAGACACGATAATTTCAAGAGAAACATCGAAAGTGCTTTGTTCAAAGTAATGTCCATCGCTAGCCACACATTTCCCCCATCTTGCAGGTAATTTGTGGGTACCGTCCCAATAGAACTTTTCTTGTTTTGAGGCAGACTATTCAGAGACCCAATTTTCAACTTCTTTGTACGTTTTGAAATGCTGCTCAGAAAGTGCAGGTGTCATGCAAGGTCTGGTGAATACAGCATGTGGGTTAATACTTCCCGGCAAGATCTTTTAATGTGTCCTTAACTGGTTTTGAAGTGTGTGATGGTGCGTCATCATGAAGCAGAATTACTTTGCCGTGTCTTCTGGCACATTCTGCTCATTTTATGATCAAAGCGTGATTCAAATTGTCCTGGACATTCTCTGACTTTCACATCGAATCATCACTTTTCAAGCGTTTAAACCAGCGTTCACAAGTGTCTTGAGATGGAGCATTTTCACCATCAGCTTCCTGAAGTATACAACAACTTTCAGCAGCACTTTTCTTCAAAATTGAGTAATGAATTAAAACTTCCTGCAAATGCTCTTTTTTTGTCATGAAATTTGACATTTTTAAGTGTAAAAATATCTATGATGTTAACACTTTCAGGAAATTTGACGTGAAGTTTTGAAGCTTGCTGTTAATACAACAAAATAGCATACATATCAAATCTCACATATATATCAACATACGTGTAAATCCATCTATTGAAAAAAACCTGCATTATTAACTGGTACACCTGGTAACTTCCTGTGACTATATAATTATTTCAAAGTAAAAAGCTAAACCCACTGCCCCATCCCTCACACAGAAGCGCTGGTGGCCGGCCTGCACGGAACAAGAGGACAGGCAGGTGCGGGCAGGGAGGGACAGTTACCATAAAGCATCACAAATCAGCTCCACATTGTGTTCCTGACTCGTCTGAGGTGGAGCTGAAGATGTGCTAGGATGGCAGCTGGCCTACAAGTCTTCCCCTTCTTAGATTCTTAAAGTGTTTCCGCCACAGTTCACACCGTCCTTTCTGTGAGCTTCGGGCACAGTGCACGCAGGTCGGCATGTGCTTACGGCGGCCCCTGGTGCCCCCGGCGTTCTCGGCGTGTGGCCTCTAACGTGCCCCTGAGCTGGGCCCACAGGTGTGGGAGCTGAGCGCCAGGAAAAGACGTTCTCTTCTGCTTCCCTCCAGAAGGAAGAAGCCAGTGACTGTGGGGAGAGCGCTGACAGAAACCACCTGAAAAGGTCACCAAGCCATGTCCCCTACTTCCCCCCGAAACCGCCCTCCGACAGCGCCGTCATCAAAGCCGGCTACTGTGTCAAGCAGGGAGCCGTGGTGAGTGCGGGCCGATGCGCGCAGAGGAAGTGGGTTCTGCACGGACCTGCAGCGAGAGCGCAGCTGCGGATTGGTGGGGGCGGGCTCCCTGAGCAGCGGGCAGTGTGCGCAGTGCCCTGGTCGCCGTGGATGTCCGATGGCCTTCCGGCAGTTGTATTTTCTCCGGGAAGTGTTTCTGTTGACCCCTCCCCCCAGGAGAGGATCACGGTGTGGACGTCATCTCCGCACCCGCTTGGTGCTGGGCTGGTCTCTGTCGGAAGCTCCGTGGCCTTGGCCTCCTTAACCCCTCAGCCTCCTGGCTTCTCTGGAAGGGAAATCACATCACAAACCCCCTCCAAAGTGGGAAGGTGTGAGTCTGCCCGCCCAGCACCGGTCCTCGGGAGCACCGGCTCTGCCAGCCCGGCCGTGGAGCCAGAGGAGGGAGAGCCGGGCATCAGCATTCTGGCCTCACAGCACCTTCCTACGGGCGAGCTAAACCTTTAGGATTTCATAAGAAAGTAAACGTTTTCCAATGAGAGAGACGAACCCTCTGAGGGAAGAAAGACTGACACCCTGCAGGTCCCATGACGTCCCTCACTCAGCGCAGCTCAGCAGGGAAGGTCTCCGTTCCCATGTCCGACCTCCTCTCTCAGCTCAGGGGACCGGGGTGCGGGCTGGCAGGGTCTCCCCTCGGGCTGTGCGGCTGGTGTGGAGCCTCTCAGACCTCCTTCCTCTGTTTTCCTCTGGAGTCCGCAATGCCAGCTCCTAGAGACTCTGAAGTGCGTTCACAGAAACTACCTGTCGTTGGCAAAGTGTTTGTACAGGAAGGTTCGCTTTATTGATACCCATTGATATCTGTTGTCCTGCCAGTGAGTGCACAGTGCCTGCAGATGGAGACGCATGGTGTGGTTTCATACCGTTTCCTGTTCTTGCTCTCGACCGAGTGAGAGCATTTGTTTTGTGGGGGTGGGGGCGGGGGCGGGAGGATGGGGAAGTGCCCCCCCCCCCTTTTAAACTTTTGGAGCATTGAAATTATGAAGCTCTATTATACAATTACAGTCGTGTTAAAAGCTGAGGCCAGGATTGTGCTTGAGTTAGGAGTTCAAGGCCTGATGGTGAAAGAAATGAAGTCCATCTCTCTCCCCCAGGGGCAGGCAGCGGGGGCTCCTCGTCCTGCATGCCCCGTGGCAGTTCGCTTCAGAGCAGGTGGTGGCTATCAACATCGGGCCTCTCAGAGGCGTCTCACGTCTGTCTGATCTCTCGTAGATGAAGAACTGGAAGAGGAGGTACTTCCAATTGGATGAGAACACGATAGGCTACTTCAAGTCCGAGCTGGTACGTCGCTTTGTCATCAGCGTGCTTTAGGGGTTGGAGGATCGTTACACTGGGGCGGTTCTTGCAGGCAGTGTCTGTGCTGTCAGCCTGTTTTCTCCGGGTAAGATGGTGAGCATGGGGTTGGAGGGGAGCGCCGTGGTGCTTGGTGGATGGTCTCTGCTAGATGGATCGTAAATGATCGCAAATGAAAAGATGGCATCTTCAGAGACTTTCACCTTCAAAGGATTGAAAACATCAGAACCCCTCAGTCTGCAGTTTCCTTCGGGGCTGGAGGCGGAGGCAGCAGCAGAGGGAACTGGGTCTCAGCGTCAGCCTCAGCCTCCGGTCCTGCCGTCTGCCCTGCCGTCCGCCCTGCCCTCGGGAGCAGATCACGTCGTTTCTCCACACGAGATGGTTTTGTTCTATCCAAAGGAGGAATCAAAGATTGAAATTCCCGCTCCTCAGTTTGAGTAGCATCCTTACTTCGAACACGACAGGCCCGATGCTCGAAATTCGGCCCCCGCAGCCCGGCCGCCCTCGCTGCCCTGGCTTCATCCGGACCGTCGTTCTGCTGTTCCGTCTATTTAGCATATGAGCTCTTTATCATATGGGATCATTGCCACATGACCCACGTTTCGCAGTAGCCTGACGGGGACACTGAGTGCAGGTCTGTGCTTCACACCCTGCTCCTCTTCCTGTGCGATGGGACCTGTGAGGGGAACCACGTCCCTACAGGGGCAGGGCATACAGCGTTATCGTCGGAAGTTATTTTTAGATGAACTTTTGTAAAACCTTAAAGATTGTGACTTTAAAAGTGTTCGGCTGTGGTTCACGTGTTTCCTAGTGTCTGTAAAATAGCAGCTTGTCAGGTCAAGCTGTGCTGTCAGCGGCTTGCGGTCAGTCTGTGATGGAGCAGTGTGTGTGGTGGTGCACTGTGAGGGCCTGTGTGTGGGCTTCTGTCTGGCGGTGTAACCGTGGGTCAGGTGCTCACATATCTAACCTCAGGTCCCTCAAGTGTAGTACTAGTGCCTGTGTGTAGGGTGGTGGGAAATTCCAGCACATGCCCTGGCACCAAGGAACGTTGGATGAATTATGCTTAAAATAGTGCATTTGTATAAAAGTGTTCGTCTTAAAGCACTCATTTAGCCAAAGTGTGTGGGTGTCACTGTCTGGTTCCTGGGGGCAGTATTTGGCTTATTCTGATGCTGCAGACTCAGGAAGTGACACGGGTGACACGGGTTCATGTGGCACAGGTCCCGGGGTCAAACAGCCGAAGAGGCTTTTACGAAGAGACGTCATGTCTGTCTGTCTGCTCTCCCCGCAGGAGAAGGAGCCTCTCCGTGTGATCCCCCTGAAGGAGGTGCACAAGGTCCAGGAGTGCAAGCAGAGGTGAGCGCCGTGTGCTGGCGCCTGCATAGCCTGCAGGCGGACGGCCTGCTGCAAGGGCGTTTTCTGTGTTCGTGTCCTGCTTACCTTCTTAGAGTTGCCATTTGCTAGATCTTTAAAACCCTCGGGTAAAAGGATTGAGATTTTTTTTTTGTTTGAAAACTAAAAATTAGGAGTCAATCCTAAGCTTATTAATGAAAAGGAAAAACGTCCGTGTGAACAGCTTCTGTCCTATTTGGCAAGTTGGTGATTAGCATGTTAGTATTCCAAGGTTGGTGCAGGCAATGTAGTAATTGTGCAGTGCAAACTGATTTCTTCATGTTAAAAACTTTAAATTTTAAAGCAGTTTTTATGTACCTTATTGAAAATACACATATAATTCCCTGGCTGGTTTGATTCAGTGGATGGAGTGTCAGCCTGTGGACTGAAGGCCTCCGAGTTCGATTCTGATAGGGTTGTGAGCTCCATCCCCAGTGGGGGGGGGGGGGGGGGGGGGAGTGAGGGGCGTGCAGAAGGCAGCCAATGATTCTCTCCCATCATTGATGTTTTTATCTTTCTCTCCCTTTCTCTTCCTCTTTGAACTCAATATAAATATATAAAAATAAGTACAAAATAAAATATACATATTACTGAATAGAGCGAAAAAAAATATATATATATAGATATTACTATATAAACTTTAGTGCAAAAAGAAGTTGAAAAAATTGATAGCTTGGCTTTGTTAAATCAGTATTTTACCTCATACTTATTTTCTTATTTATACACTAGAGGCCCAATGCATAAAAATTGGCTTGCACTCTCACAATCCAAGACTCCTCAGGGGATGTCTGACTATTCCCTGAAGGATCGGGCCTAAACTGGCAGTCGGACATCCCTCTTTCGATCCAGGACTGCTGGCTCCTAACTGCTCGCCTGCCTGCTCGCCCCTAACCACTTGCCTGCCTGCCTGCTCGCCCCTAACCACTTGCGTGCCTGCCTTATACAAGTTATACAAGTTAACATCATCTGTCTTGGAACCAAGATATTAAGAAAAATCCAAAAGTTTATTTGGTCTAAAGCAATCTTGAATCTAAGAATTCTGAACAAATTCACTGTCACCCCTAACTGCCTTTGCCTTAGCCCCCGCTGTCATGGCTTCATCTGGGAGGTTGTTCAGCTGTCCTGTCTAATTAGCATATTACACTTTTATTATTATAGATATTTGGTATTGGGTAAATAAATGAAAAAAACTATCAAACAGCTGCTGCTTAAGACTTGAAAATTTTTTGTGTTAACAGTGACATAATGATGAGGGACAACCTCTTTGAAATTGTAACATCATCTCGAACTTTCTATGTGCAGGTAAGATACTTATTAGAAGGTTATAGATCCTCTTCACTGGAAATTAATAATTTTAGAGGGACATGAACTTGTAGGTTATAAGAATAAGCAAGACACAATGACAACTGCCGCTAGTTTTTTAAAATCATTGAAAGTATGACATATGTCCCCTTTTGTCCCCATCAACCTGACAATTCATCAGAAAGTGTTATGTGTGAAATCATTGGTAGGTCATGTTCAGGAAACGAGGGTGCTCTTTGCTGTGAGTTAGTTGAGTAGAACTAAGTAGTGTTTGGAGGAAGGGAAATCTATTTTACTTAGAAGCTAAGTGTATACTTTGAACTCGTGTTACTTTGCACATATTTTGGACTTTTGGTGCATCATTTTTTGTACTTTTGTAAAATTGATACATGATCAGAGTGGGCAGCAGAGCTTAGGTTTCAGTGATGGCAGACAGGCATCTGCATCTAAGTTTAAAACAGACTCTTAGCTCATTGTATTAATCAGGCTGGAATTTTTAAAAAACAAGATTTGTTTTTCTTTTATAAAACTTACATATGCTTATTGCAGAACACTTAGAAATTATAGAGAAATGTGAAGAAAAGGGTGGTTTATAAAACACACAGAATCCCACGTTCAGGCAAGCATTCTCTTTTTACTGCCTTTCTGACGGCATATGTTTGTGTAACAAGTGGAGTCATGACATATTGTACGTCCTGGTGGATGGCTCAGTTGGACCGTCGTCCATATCCCAAAAGGGTTGTGGGTTCCATCCCTGCTTGGGGTGGGTACGGGAGGCCCCGCTGGGAGTTTCCCACGTTGATGTCTCAGAGTGGTTTTGCTGTGGAGGCCGTTGATCCCCCAGCTCCCAGCTGGGTCTTAGACCTGGAGCCGGGGAGGGAAACGGACTGAGCATGCCCTCTCTCCCCAGGCTGACAGCCCCGAGGAGATGCACAGCTGGATCAAAGCCGTGTCCGGGGCCATCGTGGCGCAGCGCGGGCCCGGCCGGTCGGCGACTTCTGTACGTGTCCCCATCCCGTCACGCTTCCTCTCCCTCAGCCTCCCGGTTTCCTCCCTGTGAGATTCACTCACGGTGACTTCCACACCCCGGGGACCAGCAGGAAAGGCTGCATTTCCCGTGTGCTCCCCGTGGCGGACGGATCCGCAGCTCCTGCCGCAGTGTCCGTCTCCCGTGCACTCGGGACGGGTGGAGGCTCCCTGCCTGTGTCAGGCCTCCTGGCAGTCCGGTTGGCACAGCAGCCAGTGCTTAGTGCCGGTGGGGCCTGGCCAGGGAAGGCCCTGCAGCTGCTGCGCCCAGCTTCCGGTGACGTTGACCACCGAGCGGCCGGAACCTCTGCCCCGATGGCTCACAGGCGGGGTGTCAGCTCAGGGCCTTCCCAGGTTCTGCCCGCCAGTTGGAAAGGCTGCCTTTGTTTACCGTCTTAATTAGCCTGTGGTAGTGTCTCGGAACGTTAAAGCAGCTAGACATGCTCAGACAGTAAGAAGAATGTTTTAAATGTGACTTCCCTCGTCCGGGTACAGCACAGGAGTAAGGTTTACTTTCAGACCCCCTTGGTCTCTGGGCTCCGATGGGCGGAGGGTGAGGACATCGCGAGGTGCCCTCAGGCCTGCAGGACGTGGGCCGACGAGGAACATGGTCACATGATGCATTTCCCTGGTGTAATGTGACCTTTTGTTTTTTAATAGATTTTTATTTAATTCAGGGAGGAAGGGAGGAGGAGAGAGAGAGAGAGAAACATCAATGATGAGAGAGAATCATGGACCGGCCGGGACCGGTTTGGCTCAATGGATAGAGCGTTGGCTTGGGGACTGAAGGGCCTCGGGTTCGATTCCGGTCAAGGGCATGTACCTTGGTTGCAGGCATATCCCCAGTAGGGGGTGTGCAAGAAGCAGCTGATCGATGACTCTCTCTCATTGATGTTTCTAACTCTCTATCTCTCTCCCTCTCTGTACAAAATCAATAAAATATATTTAAAAAAAAAAGAATCATGGACCGGCTGCCTCCTGCAAACCCCCATTGGGGATCGAGCCACCTGGGCATCTGCCCTGACCAGGAATCGAACCGTGACCTTCTGGTTCACAGGTCGACGCTCAGCCCCTGAGCCACGCTGGCCAGGTGGTAACATTGCCTTTCAATGGTTTCCTGCTTGTAGTCACCACAGACCAGTTCGTACAAATCTACCTTCCTCACTCCTTTCTTTCTTTTTTTTTTTTTTTTTAATTTATTGACTTTTTTACAGAGAGGAAGGGAGAGGGATAAAAAGCCAGAAACATCGATGAGAGAGAAACATCCATCAGCTGCCTCCTGCACACCCCCACTGGGGATGTGCCCTCAACCAAGGTACATGCCCTTGACCTGAATCGAACCCGGGACCCTTCAGTCCACAGGCCCACGCTCTATCCACTGAGCCAAACCGGTTTCGGCTACCTTCCTCACTTCTTAATCACGCCTTCTCCTGCCCTCTCTGGACTGTCAGAGTCCCTTCCCGGCGTTTCCCGGTCACCGCTGTGCCTGTGGCCTCCGGTCGCTGTGGGATTCTGCGAGCATGCTGCGGGGAGAGAACGGGAGGGTGTGTGTGCTGGTGGCGGGCGCGGACTGTCCGCTCAGGCTCCTCTCGGTAGGTGGACTCTAACCAGCTTTGCACTGTGTTCCAGATGCGGCAGGCCAGGCGGCTGTCGAACCCTTGTGTTCAGAGGTACACACCCAGGACGGGGGGACGGGCACGGATGTGGGCGCGCACGTGCCTTCTCACTCCCTACTCACCGTCCGTCCTAGGAAGTTGAGCTAACCAACTGCCTCCTGCAGTGGCCGTAACCTGTGACACTAACAGCCCTCAGGTCGGAGGAGCAGAAAGATAACGAGAAACAACCTGGCCGACAGAAAGGCCGTGGGCGCTGTCACCTAACACTCAGCTGGCGCAAATGCCAGTCTCAGCGCCCGTGTTTTCTGTTTTGAATTTTCATGTGACACCACTCAGCACGCATCCTCGTCCTAACGTGTGCAGTCGTGCATGCCCGGGTGTCGGACGGACTCTGCTGTAGTTTGCATGGCACTGAGTCTCGGCGACCTCCCACCTCCCGTGGGCATCGGTCCCTGGGCAACTGGCAGCACTTTGTTCCCGGACCACGGGGTCGGGGAGGAGCACAGCGCACTGGGAGCTGTGCCGAGGCCTGCAGGTCTGAGGCCGCCGGAGCGAACCGAGATCGCAGTCACACCCGGCCACTCCTGCAGCTTCCCGTGTTCTCTGTCACCTTAAGCCAGACGAAAGCATGACATTCAGAGCTAGACACGCAGGTACACAGCGAGCACAGGCTGTGCTCGTGTCGCAGGGCATTCAGGCGCTGGGCACGTAGAGCGTGTGGCCGACCTCGTGCTGCCTGACCGTGGACTTGAAACAAAGCAGCCCAGCTGAGCGGGCGCTGGATGGAGCCGTGCCCTCGCCGGCAGGCTGTGCCTTTGGGTGGGCTCCCAGCGCCCGCGGGACGGGCTGCTCCTTAGCGAGGGCGCCGCCACGCTTCACTCGCTCTGCACGCACCTGGCTTGGAGAACGTGCGCACGCTTGCTGCATGGCTCACGCTTCTGCTCTGTGTGTGTGTGTGTTGTTTCTCAGAGTAAAGCCTCACGTGAGCTCCTGACTGTGTGCGCGTGACTGACCGTGTCTGACCCCCTCCCTTCCAGGAGCAGCCCGGGGGCCCCGAGCCCCGGCCCGCGCCCCGCGCCCCCGCCCCGCATACCGCCGCAGCTCGCAGCAGCTCTCTGGTCTCAAGCTTTGCCCTGGAGAAGCGAGGATTTTGCGAGTCTCTTGCCAAGGTCAAGCCAGGGAGCTTCAAGGTCCAGACTGTCCCTGCAAGAGAACCAGCTTCCAAAGTGAGCGGACGCGCCCTGCCCGCCCCGCCCAGCAGGAATGGCCCTCGGGAGGGCCAGTGCGGCCCTGCGGTCTTGGACTTGGACTTGGACGACGCGAGCCTGCCGGTCAGTGACGTGTGAGCCGGACACTCGGCAGCCGCCGTGCCGGCTCCCCTCTCCTGAGGCTTCAGCCAAAGATGACGGTCACAGGCCCTCACAGCCTGCCCCTGGCCTCGACGTGCTCCTGAGCCGGTGAACCAGGCCTGGGCGCAGCCAGCGCTCAGCGGCGCCTTTTAGAGGAAAGAAGCGGAGTCTCCTCTCGGCTGTCCCATGGTCGTGCGGCCTCACTTGGGTGATGAAAACGTGCGTGTGATGTTTTTTCTAATGAATTTGATCATTACATCTTTATCCCCTTAAAACATTAAAAATGCTTATCAGTTATCTCGGTCATTTAAAAAATTGCTCCCATGACTTCCTCTTAGATGATCAATATTGACACATTGTTGCTGGTTAATGTTACTGAATGAAAATTGCCAGACCCAGATACCTAAGCCCCCGATGTCTGGTGCTGTGATCCCTCCCAGGGTGCGGGCAGGTCTGACGGGACAGGCTTGGCCCTGGGTCTCCAGGTGTGTGCGTCTCACCCAGAGGCTGTCCTGGTCTGTTGGGAGGGTGTGAGCTGTGCTGGGTGGAGAAAAGGGGAAAGTAGATTTTTTAAAAACTGATTATTGGACGTGTGTTTGAAAAAGGTTAAATAAGGCTGCAGTAGTCATTGCTGAATTCAGCAGAAATCATGTGGAGACCTGGTTTTCCTACGCAAGTTTGTACCATGTTCTTATTTCTGTGTTGGGTCCGAGGGAGACCCCAGGTTCCTATGTAAGGCCTCCTCCCTAGTTCTGCGATTGGCCTCGGCTGTCACCAACAGCCTCTACTGCAGTGCCTGTGGCCACCTCGTCACTGTGCTCAGTCCTGCCTGATGGGTTTAACCCTGTGCTGAGTACAGCGTCACTTTCCGTTCGGGAGACCAGATGCTGCTGTGCCTGTGCAGTGTTTGTGTTCCAGAACACATGCCAGTCCACAGTGTCCGGGGTGAAAACGCAAACAGACGTGAGCGCCTCTGCAGAGCGCTCTGCCCGCCCCAGGCGCTGTGACCCCCTCGGAGCAGGTGCCTGTGGCAGTTCCTCGTAAACATTTGCTTTCAGGAAAGACTCTTGAGTTCACATGCTGCTATTTCTGTGACATTTTACCATTTACCAGTCCTGCTTGTTCTGAATTCATCCTGTCCCGTGTCGTCCCCTCATTTTCTGAGATGAGTTCGTGTCTGAGAAAGCGACTCCTGCGCTGCGGTGCGTGAGGTCACTGTCCATGACACTATTTACAGAGCTCACCTCCTCCTGAAGCATAAGCTGATGTCGTTCACGTCTGTTTAGTTTCCTTCTCTGCGGCTCCATCCGAAGTGATGGAGGGGAAGGTGGTGAGCAGCTCTCACTTTCTATTCTTTGTGCCGGCGGCTCCGAGGCCCCAGCGCCCTGGAGCCGGCGTGGACGGCGGGGCTGCGGCAGGTCTCGGTACCACTTCCGCGTCGCATGTTTATTTCTCATATTTTGATAATCTGATGTTTTTCATAGTGACAAAATACTATCTATTTTGGGTCTTTTTATGGAACTACCCTTGTACTCAATAGCATAGGAAAACATTCTTGTGATTTTGGGGTCTTCTGATATTTATCTCAATACTTTTATAATAATATGAAAATTATTTAATTATTTTAAAGCATATGCTTTCTTTGTAAACATGTCACATCTGAATTGTCAGAAATTCCTTTGAACACCTTACTGTTGGCTGCATTTTTCTGTACATGTAACATGCCTTCTTTCAGAATGGGGACACGCGTGTGCCTCCCAGCATTTACCTGTACACGCGTCTGTACAATCCCGAGTGGGACACTGTAACAAGGAGAATAAACCGCTCAGAACTAATCCACGCCCTCCTCCCGTGTCTGGCTGTGCTCTGTGAACGGGAAGGCGGGGTGGTGGTGCGGCTGATGAACTTGTGGGCTGAGGCAGGCTGCTGGGACCCTCGAAAGACACTGCACATGGAAACAGAAGTCGGGGGAAAAGTGCACACACTGTGTTCAGCGAAACGTGGTCTCAGAAAGGTGCCCATCGGCTTCAGAGCTGGGTGGGTGGCCGGGGGCGTGCTGTGCAGCTGCATGGAAGACGATGTGACGCACACGGATGCCCAGGGGCTGTGGGCGCTCGTCAGGGCCTGCCCGACGCCAGGGGGGGACCGACACCCGGTCAGCGGCGGACAGGGCGTTGCTGTGTGATGGGCATCTGCCACGGGCACCTGTGGGGCATCTTGGTGAGCTGGTGCCGCTTCCCCTCCCTTCCTAGGACGTGTGCAGGGTTTTTTTTGTTTGTTTGTTTTTAAAAAAAGAACGTTCTAAACTTGCTGCTTTTACAAAAGGAGAGGTCCCGTCCTCAGCCTCTCACTGGTGGCTGTATTCGGGACTTTCCCCCAGGGAGCCGGTCAGAGCCTGGGACGCCGCCAGGCAGGAAGTGCTGTGTGCCAAGGGCAGTGCTGGCGCTGAGTCCCGGCTGGCTGGGAGTCTTCCTGGCCTGGGGCAGGGTGTGCCAGCCCACACGGACCCCGCTGGGAAGCACACTTGCAGAGTCTGCTTTCCAGTTGCAGCCTGTGCGTCTCAGACACAAAAGCATTCGTCTTGTTCCCAGATGATTTTTGAAAATTATATTCCAAGCTTCACACAGGACGTGGAATAAAAATATGACTAAGTTGGGGTTAGCATTGAATTTCTATTGATAAAATCATAGTATTCCATTATGACACTAGAGGCCTGGTGCACGAAATTTGTGCACTCTGCAGGGAGGGGGGGCGGTGTCCCTCAGCCCAGCCTACGCCCTCTCGCAGTCCGGGAGCACTCTGTGGGCTTAGGCTCACGGGGAGTGGGGAGGCAGGAGAAGCTCCCGCCCTGCCGTAGCACTCGCCAGCCTCGAGCCTGGCTTCTGGCTGAGCGGCGCTCCCACAGAGCACACTGACCACCTGCATTGAGCATCCGCCCCCGGGTGGTCAGTGTGCATTATAGTGACCTGCTGTTCCGGTTTATTTGCACACTAGCCTTTTATTATATGGGATGGGATGTTTAAAACGAATGATGCCCTTAGTCATGTGGTAATGGCGCCACCATCTGGTTGTGTCATTGCTAAACTTAATTGGGCCCTGCATCAACCTGAGCCAGGAGGTCAGGGTTCGATTCCCAGCCAGGGCACATGCCCCGGGTTCCAGGTCGATCCCCTGGGGCAGGGGAATGGGGGGGGGTGGAGTGTAGAAGGCAGCCTACCATTGATTCTCATCATTGATGTTTCTATCTTTCCCTCTCCCTCACTGAAATCAATAAAAATATTTAAAGAAATAATAAAAATAAAGCAATTGAGGAGTCACTTTATTTTGCTCATAGAAGATTAGAGAAGATATGCAAATTACCTCTACGTTCTTTTTGAGATCATTGTTCTCAATAGTTACAAGAAAACCTCAGAGCTCTTGGTCAGTCTTCCCGAGGATAACATTGAAAAACGAGTAAAATAGAACCAGCACATGGACCCGGATCCCGTCAGGGTCCCAGGCATCCGTCAGCACAAGGGGCCCCCACTGCCAGACGCATGCCCCAAATCTAGTCTAAAACCCTGTCTGTTTTATACCGAGGTTTGGGCGCAGACCCACCGGCATTCCTGCCTCGGAAGAAGTCCTGCGAGCGGCCCTTTGCTTACAGTGAAGCAATCCCTCCGATTGTAAATGGGTTGGATTTGCATTCAATCTGCTTTGAGCGTTTTCCAGAGCAGTGCTTGTATTTCACAGGGAGAGGTTTCTGTACACACACTTAAGGGTGATATTTGAGAAGCAGTCATGGCTGGTTTCACCCTGGCACTGGCTGTGCAGACTGTGCTTGTCGCCTGCTGTTTTCCCACCAATGGGGCCCCGGTCGAATCTGCATCTTGAGGTCACAGTGCCCAGCACACGGGAGACCTAAGGCGAGGGCGACCCCACCAGGAGTTTGCAGAGCTGCGAAGTGCAACACGTTCCTGGCCGGAGTGGCTCCGTGGTGGAGCGTTGACCTATGAACCAAGAGGTCATGGTTTGATTCTCAGTCAGGGCATATGCCTGGGTTGTGGGCTCCATCCCCAGCAGGGGGGCGTGCAGGGGGCAGCTGATCCATGATTCTCATCTTTGATGTTTCTACCTCTCCTCCTTTTCTGAAATCAATCTATATATATATATATATATAAAAGCCTAAGCGACTGTTTTGCCCAAACAACTGGTTACAATGACACACACTGATCACCAGGGGGCAGACACTCAATGCAGGAGCTGCCCCTGTTGGTAAATGTGCTCCCACAGCCAAGCTCCTGCAGTCCCTGCCCCCAACTGGCTGGCCCCCATGGGCCCCAATCACTGGCCTGGCCGAGGGACCGCACCCGTGCATGGATTCGTGCCCTGGGCCTCTAGTAAAAATATGTTTTAAAAAACCAAAGTGCAACACGTGATAAAAATCAAGCCTGGAAAACTACAGTGGCCTGGGGATGGCACATGGGGACGGGAGGTCCGAGAGGGAGGGTGAGGCTGAGGCGCTGCCGGGCACTCTGAGCAAACACCGTCACACAACAATAGGTTTGAAAATGTCCCTTCGGACTTGAAGGGTTCATTGCTTCCTTCTCTCCCAAACGGGCATTTCCCCGGTCGCTGGTTCCTCCTGCCAGGCCGGCGGGTGGGGACTCTCAGGAGGAGCCTTTTTTACAATCTTTTTTAAGTCCTCACCCGTTGATGTCAGAGAGAGGGAGAGACGAACAGAAACATCGATGTGAGAGGAACATCGATTGGTTGCCTCGTGCACATGCCCTGACCAGGGCCTGGGCCGGGAGGAACCTGCAGCTGAAGGTCAACACTCTGTCCACTGAGCCACACCAGCCAGGGCTGCGCTTCTTTCCAAATGTCCTTTGGTCCAGGGACGTCCATTCCGCCGTGACCTCCCCACAATCCTGCTTGTTGCCTGGGTCCCTGTGGCACTCTCCCCGGTTCGCAGGGTGGGGAGAGGGTGGGGGTGTGGAGCCCCGTGAGGAGGGTGATCAGATGCCTCACCTGCAGTTCCTCCATCTAGAACGGCGACCGAGAGGCGGCCGTGGGGTTTGGGGGTGAGGAGGCCATTGGTGACCTTCGTAGGAGCAGGTGGGGTGGACTGGTGCAGGCAAACAGCTGTCTCTAAAACATACATATTTCTTATTGATTTCAAAGAGGAAGGGAGAGGGAGAGAGAGAAAAATCAATGATGAGAGAGCATCCTGGATCGGCTGCTTCCTGCACACCCCCTACTGGGGATCGAGCCTGCCACCCGGAACCAAACCGTGACCTGGTTCCTAGGTGGACGCTCACCACTGAGCCACGCTGGTGGGCCACAGCCGCTCCGAGGGGTCGGCAGCAGTGGGAGCAGAGAGGGGCCAGGTCTTTGAAGGCGGGAGGCGGGGCATTGGGTGAGGGGATGACCAACCCGCCTGGGACTGGGGATGTGGTGGGGAGAGAGGCTCTGGAACCATGTCCTCGGGAGGCGAGGGGTGGGGCGCTCCCCGCACCAGCAGAGGGCGTGGCCTCGGGCCCTGTGGGGCCCTCTGCCCGGCGGGCGCGGAGGGGGCAGGCTTGGGGGGGCGGGGGTGCAGCGGTGTTGGGCGGGGACGGGTGAGCTGCTGGCTGGGAAGAGAGAGAGGAAGGAGGGTGCAGAAATGGGTGCAGACATGGGCGGGCTGGGTCCATTTATGCTTAGCTGTCGCCCCGTTTCTGGGAGAAAGGCCGGGGTTAGGTTGTGTTATTTTTAAATGGCTGCCTGGTGCTTGCTATTGTTCTGTTGGGGGTTTGCACAGACGGGCCTCGGCCTGCATGTTCCTGTGTGTGGAGTCTCCAGCCTCAGGAAGCTGGAAAGGAACTGGAATTCTTCTCCTCCATGGCCACGGCCCACCCCGGCTCCCGTGACGGCTCCGGGCGCAGGCACGCCCGTGCTCACGTGACGGGCTGAGGCACAAACCCTTGGAACCTGCACGCTTTCTGGGACTTCCTTTGGGCCAAACTGCGGACCACGGCCGGGAGGCAGGACCCCAGGGGCCGGATAGGCCCGGGGAAGGCAGCGTTTCACGTTAGAAACACCGGGGTGGGAGCCCAGGGGATCGGTTAGGGAGGGACAGTCAGACGGCGAGAGACCGGTGCGTGTAACCGCGGACCGCCGTGGGGAGCGATCCCAGCCAAGGAGACGGGCTCCGGAGGTGGCGGGCTTTCCCCTTCAACCTCCCGGTGGCCCCCCGGTGATGGACGAGGGGCGGGAGGGAGCCGAGCGGGACCTCTGAGGCTGGTACGAGGGTAAAATGCCGGACGAGGCTGAGGTGGGTGCCGATGGGCCGGCAGCGTTCACACCAGCACTGAGCCAGGAGGGAGGGAACCGGGCCCGCCGATGTCCGGAAAGAGGAAGGGCCGCGGCCGGGCCCCGAGGTGTCACCTGAGGCTCCGGAAGGCGAGGCTGACCTTGTCCGGGAGGACGCTGCCTGGACGTGACGCCCACAGACGGCTCTTCGGCTCTTCGGGGAGAGGGCTGCGCTCAGACCGCCTTCGCGGCCCCGTCAGGTCTGTCTGCCGGGCCTCACGTAGGCCGCCCGGAGCGAGTCAGGGAGCACGTGCCCCCTTGGCCCTCCAGTCCCGAGACAGTTTTCCCACAGCAGCCTCCTCCCCACCTCCTCCCAGGTCCCCTCCCCGGCCTCCTCCCCGGCCTCCTCCCCAGCTTCCCCCCCCCCTCCCCTGTCCCCTCCCCCCCTCCCCAGCCCCCTCCCCCCCTCCACGGTCCCCTCCCCATCCTCCTCCCCCCCCTCCCCGGCCCCTTCCCAGGCCTCTTCCCCCTCCTCCCTGGCCTCCTCCCCTCCTCCGAGGCCTCC